TAAATCGCCAGGTCCGGACGGCTTTACAGCCGAGTTTTATAAGTCATTTGCCTCCTCACTAACCCCAGTCTTAGCAAGGTTATATAACGATTCATTTAAAGAAGGCCACCTCCCACCCACTTTATGTGAAGCTTCAATATCATTGCTTCTTAAAAAAGATAAAGACCCCACCAACTGTAGCAGTTATAGGCCAGTTTCACTGCTTAATGTGGATTTTAAAATTTTGGCTAAAGTATTGTCATGCCGTCTCCAATCTATACTACCATCTTTAATATGTCTAGACCAGACAGGCTTTATACCAATGAGACACTCATTCTTTAATACTAGGAGACTTCTTAATATTCTTTTTTCACCTCCTTCTGATTCACCAGAAATAATTTTGTCATTAGATGCTGAAAAGGCATTTGACAGAGTGGAATGGGCTTATTTATATTTTATTTTAGAGAAGTTTGGGTTTGATGCTAACTTTATCTCTTGGATTAAGTTACTCTATTCATCACCAGTTGCGTCAGTTTACACTAATGGATTAAATTCACCCCTTTTTTTCCTTCAACGTGGAACACGACAGGGCTGTCCCCTTTCCCCCTTACTTTTTAACCTTGCTATAGAGCCTCTAGCTATATGGCTCCGTAGCCATAATGGTTTTGAGGGAATATCACGATATGGCTTAGTACATAAACTCTCATTCTATGCTGACGATCTCTTACTTTACATTTCTAATCCGGCCACCTCCCTACCAGTGATTTTGGACATTCTAGATAAATTCAGTCACCTCTCAGGTTATAAAATAAATTTACAGAAAAGTGAACTATTTTTTGTCAACTCTGAAGCGAGTAAGATCTCATACTCACATTTTCCTTTTAAAATAGCTATAAGTGGGTTCAAATACCTTGGAATTTTCTTTACCAACTCATTCAATAACTTATTTATTAATAATTTCCAACCAGTGATTGATAAAATCAAATTACACTTTTCTAAATGGTCGTCACTACCTTTGTCCCTTGTAGGCCGTATTAATTTAGTAAAAATGGTTATTTTACCTAAATTTCTCTATCTTTTTCAACATGTTCCAATTCTCATTAAGAAATCTTTTTTTACTAATTTGGATGGTATTTTACGTTCATTTATCTGGGGCAACAAGCCTGCACGCCTCAAGAAATCAGTTCTCCAACTTCCTAAATCCAAAGGAGGACTTGCACTTCCCAACTTCCAACAATACTACTGGGCTTGTAATATTAATAAGATTCTCTACTGGAAGAATCCTCCTCCAGCTGACAATTGTGCCCCCTGGGTTCACTCAGAGATAGTGTCAACAAAAGGCACTCTGCACTCTGTTATCAGCTCCCAGCTTCCATTAACTATCAGCGGAATTTCAACTAACTTGGTAGTCACTAACTCTATAAAAATTTGGGTTCAATTCAGAAAACATTACGGCTTACATAAAACATCTATCCATACACCTATTTTGAACAATAAATTTTTCTCACCATCTTGTTCTGACAACACTTTTCGCATTTGGGCAGCTAATGGACTCATTGAGGTAAAGGATTTATATGAAGACGGGGTATTTGCATCTTTTTCATTCCTATCCACTAAATACAATCTCCCCAACAGTCACTTGTTTCGCTTCTTTCAGGTCAGACACTTTGTTAAGAAATTGTTTCCCCACTTTCCTAACCGCCCTCCTGAACACCATCTTGATTATTTTGTCAGCTTAGATACGGGTCAGAAACATTTAATATCAGCAATTTATAATTTAATAAGTACACTAAATGAAAATCCTATAGTGTCTCTCAAAGAATCTTGGGAAAATGACCTTGGCATTGATATTACGGAAGAACAATGGGAGGATATTTTAAAGATGGTCCACTCTTCTTCCATATGCGCCAGACATGGCCTAATGCAGTGTAAGGTACTCCATAGAGCTCATTTAACCAATGCCAAATTAGCCAGATTTTTCCCTGATAGAAGTGATGCCTGTCATCGTTGTAAGCAGTCTCCGGCCAACCATCTTCATATGTTCTGGAGTTGCCCTCAATTAAAAAATTTCTGGTCCAGTGTTTTTGACACACTCAATAAATCTACTAACATAAATCTAGACCCTAACCCCTTGACAGCGCTTTTTGGTATTTCAGAGAGAGTTGACCTGACTGTTGCATCTCGCCAAGTTATTGCCTTTTCTACTCTTCTAGCTAGACGAGCCATTCTTATCAAATGGAAACAGGTGATTCCTCCATCACATGACATGTGGATCCGAGAAATTTTTAGTTACATAAAACTTGAAAAATTAAGATGTTTACTTGCAGGATCTCTCAAATCTTTTTACAAGACCTGGAACCCTGTTCTAGACTATATCAAAGGCTTACCTTGTTTAGTTGATATCAGATCTAATAAACAGTAATTAATTGAAAAGAGAAAATATTGACTCCTTAATGTGAACTTTTAATCACTATTTTTTTTTCAATTGTTATTTTTATAATTTTATTTATTTATTTTTTATTTATTTTGCTTGTATCGTAAACTTGCTCATTTATTATTATACTGTTTAACAATTTCTTTTAATTCTTGTATTTTATTTATTATTATTTTGTTTAGAGGATATGTTTGTTTATAATTCATATTTTTGAACTTATTTTATTTTAAGGGGGTAGTAGGAAAATAAGACACTCTGTAATTTTTCCTTTATTGTATTGTATACTATGATGTATTGTCTTGTTAATCCCAATAAAAAAAAAAAATAAAAAAAAATAAAAAAATAAATTCACATTTAAAAAAACTGGGCTTGATTCAATTGTTATTTCCTAAAACCTTGGACTAGGGATGTCCAGATCTGATCACGTCCGATAAATTGTGTTGTCTGTGTTGTACTCTGTTTGTTAACAGAGTTGTTCAATGGTAAAATAAAGTGAATTAAATAAAACTTAAGGAACATTCTGGATCTGTTTCTCGTTCTCTGTTTTTCTGGATCTTCTTTATTCTTTTTTTATGTATTATAGAAGTATCGGATCGCGTTTCGATATCGGTAGATAATCCGGTAGATACTTCGGTATCGGTAGGCATACCTACTTTGTACTTCAGTTTAAGATTTTTTTTTTTTATGTTTATTTTTCATGTCTTTTCTGCTCACCAAGCCTGCATTTATTCATTCATTCATTTTCTTGTCGGCTTAGTCCCTTTATCAATCCAGGGTCGCCACAGCAGAATGAACCGCCAACTTATCCAGCAAGTTTTTATGCAGCGGATGCCCTTCCAGCCGCAACCCATCTCTGGGAAAGCCTGCATTTATTTAATCCAAATTACAGCAAAAACCAAACAATTTTGAAATATTTTTCCTATTTAAAATAGCTGTTTTCTATTTGAATATATTTGATTATGTAATTCATTCCTGTGAATTCAAAGCTGTATTTTTAGCATCGCCACTCCAGTCACACAATCCTTATTTGCATATGCAAACATTATTTTAAAAAACCTCTGACACAAAAATTGTTTGCATTTTTTGTATGATGATAAATATCAGTTACTGCATGTTTTTTTTTTTTTTTTTTTAGATTCATTCTTTTTATTTTATATTGATCTGTAAAAGTTATTGTAAAAAATAAAAACCTAAAGTAAAACAAAACTCATTATTGTAGTACTGTTTGTTTTTATTATAAGGCTACAAAAGTCTTGTCGCCTATCCAAGTTTTAGGTACAACAAATAATGACTTGACTTCTAGTTGATCATTTGGTATCAGAAGTGGCTCATATGAAAGGCAAAGGCCTCTAGGTTACACTTATTTGACCACAATAAAATATGATCATGCCTTGATTTTGAATTATTTCATTAGGACAGTAAGGTTTGCTTAGACAAAAGTCTTGTCACTGAACAGAAATAATGTCCAGTATAGAATATAAAGTCCTGCTGCAGTGGAGACAGAATGAATATTGTGTCTGACTCCATCATGAGCTTGGAGGACTGCATCCATACATATCTTGCAGCAGAGTTCATCAAGATTCTTTGGATTCATCTTCAGCGCCTTCTCCTTCATTTTACCCCAGACATGCTCAATAATGTTCATTTCTGGTGACTGGGCTGGCCAATCCTGGAGCAGCTTGACCTTCTTTGCTTTCAGGAGCTTTGATGTGGAGGCTGAAGTATGAGAAGGAGCGCTATCCTGCTGGAGAATTGTCCCTCTCCTGTGGTTTGTAATGTAATGGGCAGCACAAATGTCTTGATACCTCAGGCTGTTGATGTTGCCATCCACTCTGCAGATCTCTCGAACGACCCCATACTAAATGTAACCCCAAACCATGATTTCTCCTTCACCAAACTTGACTGATTTCTGTGAGAATCTTGGATCCATGCTGGTTCCATTAGGGCTTCTGCAGTTTGTGATGATTGGGATGCAGTTCAGCAGATAATTCATTTGAGAAATCCACCTTCTGACACTTTTCCAACGGATCTAGAAGTCAAGACATTTTTGTTTCTCATACAACTTGGATTGACGACACAACTTTTGCCAGGTAGTGTGATCAGTTCTTGTTTCCAATTGTCATCTTTAAATTAATGTGGTTAAAATTAGATTCAACTTTATATTCAAAATTGTTGATAAACCAAATTTTTTTCAGTGCGTTTTCAAAGTAATTATTATGAATACATTTATTTTTTACCTGTAAGTAACAATATAAACAAGTATTTTAAATTAGTGCTTAATTCTGTTGTTTTATTGGTACCATTATTTACGTTAATTTCAGCTTAAACATGCAGTTTTATTTAATTGAATAATTATTTAACATGATGTTAGCAATTTTATATGAGCAATTTTACCATAATTTCACCTAGTTTGTCATCATTTACTCACCTTCATGTCCGTTCATGGAGTATACCATGAAGTAAAACCTGCAAAACTTGAAAATAATAACAAAAATGTCATGTTGTGGTAAAATAATTATCCCTTTAAGACAGGCGGAGTGCGTAACTTAAAACTAGCGTTGCGTCGTTTCCATGACGGCTAAATCAGTCACACCCAAAACTGCGCCTCAGTCAGTCAGCAGCGCTCTCACTGATGAACTCCAAACTCAAACAAAATAAAGCGTCTTATCTTCATTTGCACATGCAGTGATGTAAGTTTTTGTGTCATTTATAAACTTAACAGCTGTATATTTATAGCTTGTACTTAATTCGTACTCGAATTCACACGTGTTTCTGTATTGGCGTCAGAGTTGGACCACTGAAGAAAACAGGTGAGAAAAACTAAGGCTACGTAAACAAATCTGCTGCATAAAATAGGATATATTTTCTTTACCAAAAGTCTCATTCGTCAAAGGTATTATATGTAGGCTCAAATGTAAAACATCTATGACATGTATCTTCATAAAATGTCAATAGACTCACCGGCCACTTTAATAGGTACACCTTAGTTGTACCGAGTTGGACCCTCTTTTGCTTTCAGAACTGCTTTAATCCTTCGTGGCATAGATTCAACAAGGTACTGGAAATATTCCTCGGAGATTTTGCTCCATATTGACATGATTGCATCACAGTTGCAGCAGATTTGTCGGCTGCAGCTGCACATCCATGCTACCAATCTCCCTTTCCACCACATCCCAAAGGTGCTCTATTAGATTGAGTTCTGGTGACTGAGGAGGCCATTTGAATACAGTGAACCCATTAGCTACGTTTTCATCCACCTATTTTTTATGCACATTTTGGATAAAAAAACGGTTGATGGAAATGCCAAGTTGCACATAGATTTTGAATATGCGCATTTAAAAAAATGCATAACTGAGTAAGATAAACTTTTTATTCGATAAGAAAAGATGCGCACAATCTGCAATGGAAACTCGTTTACCGAACAAATTCCAGTATGCGCATTAAATATTATATTGATTTTAAATCATGTGATGATAAAAATGTGAGTGAATAGAAAAACCTGCAGACTGACCACATTGTAGAACATCTGAATTGTTGTTCTGGTCATGGCAAAAAGCTTTAACCGTTTTAGTATTAGTGTCATTCCAGTGTTTCCTCTAGGATTTTTTCCAGATGTGGCGCCAGGCCTTTTTTACACAGATCTACCAACTACCTGTGGCATTATTTCAATGGCAGATGTCGTGAGCGCAGTATTACAAGTCGAGATAGCATTTATGCAATAGCCTACCGCATGCTAATCTCCTTGTTTGCGCGCCGATTTCCTGTGTTTGTGCACAAAACTTCCTGCACGTCCTCAAATATACGCTGCTCAAGCATGTAACATGTATGTCTCCAACATTTATTAAATTTGCTAGGAATATTTATGAACGTCTCCAATAGACCTACAGAGCGGCATTAATGCGTCCTGAAGTAAAGTGAAACGGCTGTACGTTGTGTTTGCTGGCATAACGCATGGCAGTCAGTCAGTACGTCACCTTAAAGGGTTAAACAAATGACGCACAGCACTACTACGTTTACAGAAAAGTTTGCACTGTTATAATTCACTTACCTTTTAATACGATTATCAACCGCTATTAAAAAAAAAAAAAAAACAGGACTGAATGTTTTTAATGAAAAGCTGTAACGTAGCCGTGGCGGGATCAATTTTGGCGTGGCGCCTCGCCATTGAAGACTGAATGTAGCAGAAACCATGTTATAATATTAATAACCCCCAGTATCAAAAACAGCAGAAATCAATCATTCGTTTGAATTGTTTAGCCTGACATGTCTACTGATTTAAAATATTTTAAATGTTACTCAAAATAAAATATATTGTGTACAAATTGGAAAAAGGCTTTGTAGTTTACCCAGACATTCAAAAAATATATATTTTTAGAGCAGTAATCTCAATACCGTGAAACCGTGATATTTTTATCCAAGATTGTCAGAAACATATACCAGCCCATGCCTAGTCAGGATTGCGTTCTGAGGAGCAAGTCTTTTATTATATGGAGAAAAGATTCACGCAGACATAGCTACTGTCATGTTCAAGAAACAAGTCGGAGATTTGCACTTCATAACATGGGATGTTATCCTGCTGGAAGTAGCCATCAGAAGATGGGTATACTGGTCATAGAGGGATGGACATGGTCAGCAACAGTGCTCAGGTAGGCTGTGGCGTTGACATGATCAGGCACTTGCACACATAGAGCTCAACCTGTGCAGTGCTCTTCAAAAAATTTATCCTGCACATGCCCTTTGGACAGTCTCTGCACGGGCCTGGACATGATGCTCAATTGGTAATAATGAGTCCAACGTGCGCCAAGAAAATATCCCCCACACCATTACACCACCACCAGCCTGCACTGTCGATACAATGCTGGATGGATCCATGCTTTCATGTTGTTGATGCCAAACTTGACCCGACCATTCGAATGTGGCAGCAGACACTCATCAGAGCAGGCAACGTTTCTCCAATCTTCTATTGTCCAGTTTTGGTGAGTCTGTGTGAATTGTAGCCTCAGTTTCCTGTTCTTAGCTGACAGGAGTGGGACCCGGTGTGGTCTTCTGCTGCTGTAGCCCATTCGCCTCAAGGTTGGACGTGTTGTGTGTTCAGAGATGCTCTTCTGCAGACCTCGGTTGTAACGAGTGCTTATTTGAGTTACTGTTGCCTTTCTATCAGCTGGAACCAGTCTGGCCATTCTCCTCTGACATTAACAAGGCATTTGCGCCCACAGAACTGCTGCTCCCTGGAAATTTTGTCTATTTCTGACCATTCTCTGTAAACCCTAGAGATGGTTGTGCGTGAAAATCCCTGTAGCTCAGCAGTTTCTGAAATGCTCAGACCAGCCTGCCTGGCACCAACAAACATGCCATGTTCAATGTCACTTTTCTCCCCATTCTGATGTTCACTTTGAACTGCAGCAGATCGTCTTGACCATGTCTACATGCACAAATGCATTGAGTTGCTGCCATGTGATTGGCTGATTACATATTTGCGTTACCGAGCAGCGCTGGAAAGGTGTACCTAATAAAGTGGCCGGTGAGTATCTGTTTATATGCCCTAAATGTTTTCACCTTGACATAGTTTTTTTTTTTTTTTTTTTCAGATTTATTTAGCTTATTAAAATATGTTATATGTGTATTTTAGTAGAATTATTGCATAATACAATTATTAAATAAAATTGAGGATAAATAAGGTTTGGGAAGTTATAGTTATTACATAATAAATATCATTAACCTCCTAGGGCCTGAGTGGCCACATACATGGACAGCACATTTTTAGCACTAAAGTGGCTATTTAAAATACTTTGAATGTTTTATATTTTGTAACAGACATACAGTGTCATCCTGCAACTGTTTTGCAGCATATGAAATGTCCCAAATCCTATTTTTAACTGTCCAAAATGGGAAATAAAATGTTGATTTTCTCTGTGATAGTCAAAGCAAGTTAAACAAAAATTCTATGGTAAACATGCATTCAAAAGATTTGGGAAAAAGTTTTTTACTTAAATTCGGACAACGAGTGCACATATATGGACATCATTTTTGTCTAAAAGTACATCAAATCAAAAGATGATGCTTAGATTTTTATTCTAATTAGGTTCCAATAAGCCTAAATTACAAAGAGAAATAAAAATGCATGTGAAAAAAAACACCTTGGGCCTTAAAAGGTTATCGCAACACTTAACAACAATATAGCTTATTTTCCCAGTATCATGCAGCCCAAGTGTCCTTGTTTTGACTTGCTTTGTTGTGTACCTTTGGACTGTCTTTAGATTATTGATTGTTTGCTATCTGGCCTTTCGCCTGTGTTTTAAATTTCTCTTTATGGATTCGACTACTGTATCTCTAATAACAGATACAGCTTAAATTCAGCTAAAATATAACCCCCACTGAACATGGAATATACTGAATCTACGACTAGTACTACTTGTAATCATTAGCGCTAAACATTAGTGCTCTATTGCGTGTCAGTCATGCTTTTCTCAATGATGAAATCTGATCATGTGTAATCTTCTCAGGCACTCAGTAGCACTTAGTGATCATCACTGTGGCAACTTCTGTTTACTGGTGTACTTCCGCATAGTGCTCAACTGCCAATATTTCAGTTTTGCTATTTTCTTCTCCTTTCTTTAGTATGTAACCTGTAATAAACTGGATTATGAAGCTATAAAATCGGAAACGGTTACCAGACACAGTCTCAAGAGAGAAACAAACAACTGACAAAAAGGTAAAACTATCAGAAACTGATGATATTTCAGACATGTACTAAGTGCCTAAAGTTACTTAATGTTCTGTAATATTTATTTATTTATTTATTTATTTATTTGTTTATTTGTTTGTTTATTTAGCGCTTGTTTAAATAGCCATTCCCTGTGTGGATCATATTTTACTTACTGTATGGTTCAGTACTTGCTATTATTAAACCATTGCATATGATTTTAGCTCAATAAATCCCTTAGGTTTTTTTATTAATCGTTATTAAGGTAGTATTTGGGTTCAGGTATTGGGGTAGGATTAGGGATGTAGAATAAGATCATGCAGTATATGTTTTTAAGTACTAATAAACAGCTAATATCTTAATAATAATCAACAACAATGTAAAAAATCCTGGTTGCCTTAAATTTATAAGCTGAATCAAATTAACCTTATGAGTCCAATGAACTTATATTTTGTTAAATGGACTTAAACAGCTTGCATAACTCATTAAAGTTAGTTAGAGCATGATTAACTTAGTTTAATAAATAAATTAGTCAGGACTAATTGATAATACAAATACAGTGTAGTCAATAGTGAGAATTAGTACTTATTAGCGCTTTGTTTTATTACATTTTTATTACTCTTATAATAAATAAAGACATACACTATTTGTTTTATCAACTTTGACCATTGTTTTTTTTTCAGTTTAAAGCATTTGCACAACATGTTTGGAAGCTAGAGGAACCTTGTTTCACGGTGTTTTGTAGTCTACAAAGATTCAATTATTTTGGGAAGTGGTAAGTCATAAGTGAAAAGTTCATTTCAAAACAAATCCTCCTGGACCCAAAGCTTTTTTGCTTGGCTTAAACCCTGAGAACTCAAATGATAGTAGAAGCAAACAAGTATTTATTGAGCTCAGCTTGCTTTACACCAAAAAAAAAAAGTGTAGCTTTGCTGTAGACAAAAACACAAAGACGAAACACTACTCAGTGGAAGACATGTTGTCAAGCCTGCCATTAGAAAAAAGGTTACTTGCATATTAAAAGCTAAACAACAACATGTATCTGGAGTCATTTCATCAGTCATATCAAAGATAATAGCCCCTTTCACACATACAGACCTTTCCGGAAAATTGCTGGCAATTTTCCTGAAAGGTTGTATGTGTGAACAGGCCCTTTTTGAAAATACCGGTAAATTCATTCTGGCTGTTTTCCGGAAAGAGAAGTTGTAACATTACCGGTAATTTGCCGGAATGCTGCGCTGTGTGAGTGCAGAAGGAAGATTGCCGTAATAAACGCGTGCACGTCTAGAACGTGCTGATGTGAGACGTCTGCTTTAGCCAATCACAACAGTCAGACGCATTTACGTCCGCGTGGTTTATGAGAATAAAAGCCTTTGAATATTTTTCCAGACACATTTAGCAGCTAGAAGTTAGTCAGATCACGTTTATATGTTCTTCTTAATGCCAACTGTGTAAATAATCATCGATGAGATGCTTATGATAAGCCGTTGTTTGTTTACCTTCCAAGCTTTGCGTGTGCCTGTGAAGCAGCCTGTGAGCGCCAGCACACGCACATATTATGAACATCTCGACATGCGAAAGTGATCCTGCGAAAGTTGTTCACAATATTGATCATCCACAGAGTTTGTAATTTAGTCAAATGTTTACAAATACAAGCGCAGCCGTTTAAAGCTCATTTGTGGTGAATGATGTCAGAATTTACCGGTATTTTGGAATGGATGTGTGAATGCTCTTTTCCGGAAAATTTCCGTAACGTCCTCGCCTGTGTGAACAGCACTTTTTTGAATATACCGGTAAAGTCGTTCCGGAAATTTTCCAGATATTTACCGGTATCACTGTGTGAAAGGGGCTTTTAAACAGATTAAAAGATAACCAATAACTTAACAAAGGAGGTTAGGTGTTAAATATCAATGTGTACAAACTGAAAAAGAAAATATTATGGCAAAAAAAGCATGCACATGTCCTTTGTATGTTCATATTACAACATGTATGCACACGTTAAATCTACATCTAATGCAAAAAGATAAAAATAAATGCATGTTTTTGTTTGTAGAAATGCTGGGTACTTCAGGGGTGAAAATCCACCCAAATGGCAACAGCAACCAGTTAGGAGTCCAGCTAGAAAATGTGAAACTGACAAGTTTATTCAAAAAACTTGATAAGGTGAGACATACTGTTTATCTCTTTGTGTATGTGTACATTTTATAAACTTTAATTAAGATTAGTTAATAATAATAATAATAATATAGTTTTGCACATTTCTTACATATTATTTATAATTATAAATGTACAACACATAACATTAAGTTAATGTTAGTTTATGTATGAACATTTATGAAATAATAAGCTACTACACTGTAAAACCCAACAGTCCACTTTTCAAATGAAATGAGTGCAGATAACCGAAAATTGACTGAAAGTTAATTCTACTCAATTGAAAAGAGTTTTGTCAATGTTGAAGGTAATGAGTTAATTAAATATCTCATTCCAGTGTTTCCTCTAGGAGTTTTTCCAGCTGTGGCAGCAGGCTTTTTTTTTACACAGATCTACTAACTACCTGTGGTGTTATTTCAATGACAAATGTCGTAAGGGCAGTATTACAGGTCAAAATCACTTTTATTGTAATAGCCTGCCCTACAGCATGCAAATCTCTTTGCTTGTGCGCCGATGGGGGATTTGCTCGTGCACAAAACTTTTTGCACGCCTCCTCAAATATAAGCGGCTCAAGCGCAGATCTTCTTGTGCGCTCTCAAAAAAACACTGCTGTAGTGCGATTTAGTGTGTTTATGTAACAAGTAAACTGCTTTTATTCTAACCGAAATAAAACTTTCTCCAGAAGAAAAAATATTATAGGAATACTATGAAAAATTCTTCGCTCTGTTAAACTAAATTTTGGAAATATTAGGAAAAATTCACAAGAATGCAAATAATTTTGATATGATCTTTAAAAAGCTCTAAAATGCCAAATATTTTGCTGGCGTTTATTTCCAGAACATTAGCTTTCCCTGTTCCACAGCAGATCATTGATATTTTTCAAGTCTCTTAAAAAAATCTAAAATTTTTAGAGGAATATTTCTTTCCAGAACTTTCCTCTCGAAACGATCATTCATGTCTAAAATAAATAAACTCTTTTAAAGAAGTTTTTTCCAGAACCTTTGCTTTCTCTGATCCGCAGCAGTAAAATTATCTTTTACACAGCTCTAAAAAATCTTAAATATTTTGAGGAAGGTTTTTTCTACAACCTTTGTTTTCTCTGATCCGCAGCAGTGAAATGATCTCCATAAATCTCTAAAACATGTCAAATCTTTTAAGGAAGGTTTATTTCCAGAACATTTGCTTTCTCTGATCCACAGCAGTGAAATGGTGATCACAAAGCTCTAAAATGTCAAATATTTTGAGGAAGGTTTATTTCCAGAACATTTGCTTTCTCTGATCCGCAGCAGCAAATTGATCTTTACAAAACTCTAAAACATGTCACATATTTTGACGAAGCTTGATTTCCAGAAACGGCATGTGGATCTGCACTCAGTTGTCAGCGTCCATCACATGACAATAGCAGTGGTTTGTTCTGTAGACAATCGAAAAACCAATATTGCTTAGGGGGCTAATAATAAATGGCTTAAAATAGTTGGCAGTTCATTCCGCTGTGGTGACCCCTGGAAAATAAGAGACTAAGGGCCCTATCATACACCCGGCGCAGTGTGGCGCAAGACGCGGCGCAATAGTCTTCAGTTTCAGCTTGGCGCAAGAGTCGTTTTTGAGGCGTTGCGCTACGCTGTTTTAATAGCAAATGCATTTGCGCTCATTTGTGCGCCCATAGGCGTTCTGGTCTAAAAAGGAAGGCGTTCTGAGGCGGACCGCTGGTGCGTTGCTATTTTGAGACACTATAATAGATTTTTCATTAGACCAAAACTAACCCGGTCTAAACTCCAGCGCAGAGTTGCGCCTCGCTTACACACTGCTTAATACACACAAGAGAGCAATAGGCAAATATCTTTATATATAAAAAAATGTAAATATTAAGGATATATATAGGATATAATAAAAATAATAGATGATAATAATAATATAATAGATGTAGAATATAAATATAAAGGATTAAAATATTACAAAACATTATTTTCTAGCCTACATAAATATGAAAAATCACTGCTTTTATGTCTTCATCTCGGGAGGCTTTTTCAGTTCATTCATAACAATTTGCTTTTGTATAATTATTATTATAATTATTATTATTATTAGCAGTATTATTTTTTATATCCATATTTATATTTGTTTTATTAAAAACAAGCTTAGATTTGCCCACCTGCAGGTTTTAGACCATATGGGGCATGGCAGGTATATTTGGATATAACTCAGTATTTTGACCACCCTTGGTCACTATTGTTTATTCATTCGTTAGAAATTAGAACTGAATTTAAAAAAAGTTTTGAAACAAATCTTTGCGCTTAACAAACAAAATTAATTATTTATAGGCTAATTGATGTCTGTGCGTAAAGGTTTCCCTATCCAAGAGCGAATGTGAAAGTAGTTCCATTATCTCTCATTCTCACGCAGTAGATGCTCTGTTTAACAGTTTTCTGTTAAAAAAAAAGCTGTTAACTGTGAACTGTTTGCTTGTGAAATGCAAATTTTTTTCACTTAGACTTACTTTGCATCCTGTAAATAGCGAATGCGCTCTTGGCGCGACGCAGCTGGGTCTTAAAGGGAATGGGAGATGAGACTCTTAATTGGTTTATTCTCAAAACACACCTTTAACTCATTAAGAAAATAAACTCAACCCTTTTAGCTCATGCGCCTTGGCTCAAAGCGCATTTTCCCGTCCGTAAATTAGCAAAAATGCGTTCTGACACGCCCTGAAAGCGTTTGCGCCCTGCGCTTTGCGCTCTGCGCATGGACCATCAAAATACAGCCCTAAGCCTTGAAATGGTTTAAAACAATTAAAAGCTGCTTTTATTCTAGCCTAAATAAAACAAATAGAACTTTCTCCAGAAGAAAAAATATTATAGGAAATACTGTGAAAAATTATTCGCTCTGTTAAACAAAATTTTGGAAATATTTGAAAAAATCCACAAGAATGCAAATAATTTGGACTTTAACTATACATGAAATAGCATTTAATAAAATCCACACACAAACACACAAGCAAACATTTTAGCATACTGTGCGGTATGTTTCCATAGCGCAGCTCCTCATTAAGTAAATGAAGCTTTGGGCTGTATTCCAGCAATTCCTCCGTCTGTGTGTCTGACATCACTGGTGCAGCAGTGCAGTTTTTCAGTGCAGCAGCAAATGCATTGTAGGCCGTCCCGCTCACACACACACACACACACACCCTCCCCCTCCTGTATCTCTGCGCTTCTCATTCACGCTCACTGTGTCTGACCTGAGCATGGATGAGGCAGCGCTGGAGCCGACCCTTGTGCAAACACTCGCGGTGAGCACTGCTAAAGGCGGCCGATATCTGTCTCTGTCTCCCTCTTTCCAGCGCTGCTCACTCGCCTCCTGGATTAAAGAAAACATCAAGAAGAAAGAGTGCTGCTTCTATGTGGAGGATGGCAGGTATGGAGCCTTCAGTGACCTTGTTTATATACAGTTAAAGTCAGAATTATTAGCCCCCCCCCCCTCTATATTTTTCCCCTAATTTCGGTTTAACTGAGAGAAGTTTTTTTTTTAACACATTTCTAAACATAACAGTTTTAATAGCTCATTTATTTTATCTTTGCCATGATGACAGTGCATAATATTTGGCTGTATGATTTTCAAGATACTAGTATTCAGCTTAAAGTGACATTTAAAGGCTTAACTAGCGTAATTAATTAAGTCATTGTATAACGATGGTTTGTTCTGTAGACCTACGAAAAAATAATATTGCCTAAGGGGGCAAATAATTTTGAGGAATCAAGCCTATGAATAAACAATGTGAGCAAAACTTTGCTGTTAAACCTGTGGTACACAATCTACTACTGTACATGCTTTCTGTTGTCTGATTTGATTGTTTGTTTGTTTGTTTGTTTGTTTGTTTTTCTAAAGTAAATATATTTTAGTAAATTTTATACAAATGTCCACTTTTAGCTTGTTGGTCACATGCCTTTATGCTGTAGATTTTTATGTAGCTTATTTATTTATTTTGTAATTTAAACTTAAGGATGAACACTTTTTGAACTGCTGTAATTTAGGTTTTCTTTATTTTAGAAAAAAACAAGAGTATCAAGTACGATCACGGCTTTTGATTAAGGTTTATTTCCAGAACCTTTACTTTCTCTGTTCCTCAGCAGTCGATTGAACATTTCCAGCCTCTAAAAAAATCTCAAATCTTTAGAGGAATATTTCTTTCCAGAGCTTTCCTCTCAAAGTTATCTTCTTAAATCTCTAAAACTACTAAATTCTTTTGAGCATGTTTTTTTTTTCTCTCAGAACATTTGCTTTCGATGATCTGCAGCTGTAAAATTATCTTTACAAAGCTCTGAAAAATCTTAAATATTTTGAGGAAGGTTTATTTCCAGAACCTTTGCTTTCTCTGATCCGCAGCAGTGAAATTGTTTTCATAAAGCTTTAAAACCTGTCAAATCTTTTGAGGAAGGTTTATTTCCAGAACATTAGCTTTCGCTGATCAGCAGTGAAATTATCCTCACAAATCAATAAAACATGTCAAATCTTTTGAGGAAGGTTTATTTCCAGAACATTTGCTTTCTCTGATCCGCAGCAGTGAATTTATCTCTATAAAGCTCTAAAACATGTCAAATCTTTTAAGGAAAGTTTATATCCAGAACCTTTGCTTTTTCTGATCCACAGCAGTGAAATTATTTTCATAAAGCTCTAAAATCTGTGAAATCTTTTGAGGAAATTTTATTTCCAGAACATTTGCTTTTTCTGATCCGCAGCAGTGAATTTATCTCTATAAAGCTCTAAAACATGTCAAATCTTTTAAGGAAAGTTTATTTCCAGAACCTTTGCTTTTTCTGATCCACGGCAGTGAAATTATTTTTATAAAGCTCTAAAATCTTTCAAATCTTTTGAGGAAGGTTAATTTCCGGAACATTTGCTTTCTTTGATCTGCAGAAGTGAAATTATCTCCATAAAGCTCTAAATTATGTCAAATCTTTTGAGCAAGGTTTATTTTCAGAACATTTGCTTCTTCTGATCCGGAGCAGTGAAATGATCAACAAAAAGCTCTAAAACATGCCAAATATTTTGAGAAAGCTTTATTTCCAGAACTTTTGCTTTCTCTGATTCGCGGCAGCAAATTGATCTTTACAAAGCTCTAAAATATGTAAAATCTTTTTAAAAAGCTTTATTTCCAGAAATTTTGCTTTCTCTGATCCACAGCAGTGAAATGATCTTCACAAAGCTCTAAAACATGTCAAATATTTTGATGAAGTTTAATTTCCAGAACCTTTACTTTTTCTGTTACACAGCAGTGAAATTATCTTCACAAAGCTCTAAGACATGTCAAATCTTTTGAGGAAGCTTTATTTCCAGAACACTTGCTTTCTATGATCAATAGAAGTAAAATGGTCTTCACAAAACTCTAAAACATGTAAAATTATTTTAATTATATTATCATTATATTATAATAAAATTATATATTAGAAAAAACTATTTCCAGAATCACTACTTTCTCTGTTTCTTAACTGGAATAATCTTCGCAAGCGTCTAAAACACGTCAGAATTTTTGAGGAATGTTTATTTCCATCTCTCAATTATAATAACTACATAAAACTAAGTGTTTAAATATCTTTTTACTAAGACATTTTGGAGTGATGACTGATATTTATATCATTTTATGTAAATATTATATTGTTTTCTCTTACTTGTTGGCATATAAATATCAGCATCTGCATCAAATTGGATACTTTTGTTAGATTTTTTGACGCTGAAAATTTATATAGCGAAGATTATTCCAGTTAAGAAACAGAGAAAGTAGTAATTCTGGAAATAGTTTTTTCTAATATATAATTTATTATAATATAATGATAATATATTATATTATACATACATGTATATATATATATATATATATATATATATATATATATATATATATATATATATATATATATATATATATATATATAATTTTTTATTTTTTATTTTTTTTCCAGATTCTCTCTATATCACACTATTTGAGCCATAAAAGCCTGATGTTTTAAATATACCCAGTTCAATTTTTTTTACTATTATTATTATTTTGCCTTACATTTTTAGTAAAGGGCAATTTTTTTAAATTAAACTTTTTTAACTGTTTTTGTACAACTTTTAAACTCATTTTTTTTTTTAAATCTAAGCTTTTATAAAAATTATATTACTTTATATTTAGCTTTTAAATAAAGAAATAAATAAATCATTAAACCTACATGGCTTTTTTTTCCATGCAATGAAACTGGAAGGAGATTCCAAAAGAATGCATCAAAATATCCTATATCAAAATATCTAATAACATGTGCATCATTCATTTAACAGTCATTCTGTGTATTTAAAACTTCATTAACAATGCGTCAGTCATATGTGGCCGGACAAGCAGTAAACAAAAGGTCACGTGTGTATACTGCTGTTGTCATCTGTGTGTAGTTCAGCAACATTGGGACAATGTGTGTGGTGCGTGTGTTGTTGGGTTGTAACTCATGTGTGTATAACATGGATTACTGTTGACAGGGAGGGGATTTGTAAGTGTGGTTACCCGAAGGTCCAGCACTGCGATGAGGCCATCAAACCAGAGGACTATATGGGGGAACAGTGGGACAAACACAGGCACGTCAGAGAGACACCCACCGATGCCTTTGGAGATATTAGTTTTGGAGGACTTGGACAGAAAACCGGGAAGGTAAAATGATGACCTGATTCATGCTGAAATTCTGTGTATTATAGGCGTTTAATGTTGGTTTAGTTGTACCCTGTATAAAAACAACATAAAAACACTTCAGTAAAAATAACATGGGTACGTTTTCTTAATAGATATATGGTTAATAACTGTAAATTGAGTTTCCCAAATTTCTCTTCATTTGTGTGCCTTTTTGTTGACCTTGCTGGGTTTTTTCATCACTTACAGTAAGTACAGTTAAAGTCAGAACTATTCGCCGCCTTGTGAATTTTTTATTCTGTCAAATATTTCCCAAATGATGTTTAACAGAGCAAGAAGTTTTTCACAATATTTCCTATAATATTTTGTCTTATTTGTTTTATTTCAGCTAGAATAAAAGCAGATTTAAATTTTTTAAGGTCAATATTATTAGCCCCCTTAAAGAGCCCCTTTTATGCATTAAAAAAGGTCATAATTTAGTTTTGCAGGTCTCCAGCAACAGGCTGATCTGCATGCAAGGTCAAGAAACACTTTCATTGCCTTTCATTTCATCCCAGCAACTCCAATATGATTCGTTCAGTGATTCATTTGTTCTCAAACCTCTCCTTAGCGCAATGCTAGTCTGCGATAATTGGTCTGATGACCAAGGCCCTGTTTACACTAATGCTTTTTAGTTTGAAACGCATACGTTTTGCTACGGTTACGCCATCCGTCAACACTACGCCGGAGTTTTCGAGTGCCGAATACGGAGCGTTTTGAAAACGCTGGAGAGGCCGTTTTCATTCTGAAAAGCTGCTGCTCTGTCTCAGTGTGGATGGGGGAAAACGGAGACATCTGAAAACGGAGGCGGGGCTGCTGAGATTCGCTACCTGATTGGGGCTTTTGTGTTTTTGCGTATTCGTCAAGCCCCTATCACATGACTATAACACATGGCTTTAACGCTACCGGAAGACAGCAGACCAGCCTTCACTGTAAACAACAACATGGACACAGAAATGGGAGCGTTGTTTGCACTATTGTCTGTTTTAGGCGCCATTGTGCAGTTATTCATTTGTTATGTTTAGCAACAACTCGACCTCGTCGTCTGTCCACAAAAATACCTCTCTTGCTTTCTTTGCCATCGTGTTCATTGTTCAACCAGCGTTTGTTGACTAACAATAACCAAATGCCGAGCGAGACACATGCTTCCTGTTTATACTAGAACGCTTATGCCCAGAGTGCGCGAATGGCCATGTGATATACGTTTTTGGTGGCGTAGTGTGGACGCAGAAATGTTCAGAAATGCCAGGTGAAACGCTAGTGTGGACGTGGATCGTTTTTGATTTAAAACACTGTTTTAAAACTAAAACGCACTCATGTAAGCAGGGCCAAAGTCTGTTGTGATTGGTCGACTGTGTTCAGAATGAGACAGAGAGAAATGCCCATCACGGCTTATCAACATTGTTGAAGTAGTCAGAGTGCAGAGTGTATGTGAGAGCCCAATGCAGGAGTGCATTAAAGCAATGCAGTTAACCACCAGCAAATACTTTATTCTTAACCACGACACACATTCTGTATTAATCCACTCAGTGGCAAAAGCTGAACTATTTTGAAACTTGACGGCCGCACGTGTGGATGAACAGCTGAAGGTGGCCATATCAACGGCAAACAGAAGAGAATCGCGAGCTTACAAACGCATTTAAATCCGTAAACAAAGTGGCACACGTCACGTTTTCCACATGGTTTTAGACATAATTTGAGAATATAGAGTTAACTAGATGCAGTATAAGCGAAGTGGAGCGATTACAAGTAACAAACAATTAAACACAGAATTTGCAAGCTGGAGAAAACAAGGAGGCAGCCATTTTGATCGCGCTTAAGTTACTTACACTTGTGAATTGGAGGAAGGAACTGATCCATGAACTGTGTACTGTAAAGTTTCTGTCGAGCTCTGACAAAGTCCCTGTAATAAAGTGCACGGCCCCTTTGGCCGCCAGGAAGAAGGAGGCGGAGAACCGACGCAGTTTTAAAATGATTTATTAATAACAGTGACGGCAGCTCCTCACGGAGACTGCCGTCTAAACCAAAACAAACGGACGGCAGCTCCTTATGGAGACTGCCATCAAACTGAAAGCAAAAGTAAAATATGTCCGGGCCCGGTCCTCTCTCGGCTTCCTCTGCCATCGTTCCTCCTTTTATTGTCCAGAGCTCCTTCCGTGGGATCCGAGGCAGGTGCGCACGGCAGGTGTATCCACTTACGCGGTGGCCTCACTCCGTTCCCACGGCTCTAGGCCACGCCCCCTCGCCACAGTCCCATACATCAATAGTCTTTTCAGATCCTACCTTTAACAAAGGCCAATGAATCCTTCGTTGTAAGCATGTAGATTGCTAAAGCACTTGTCAGAAAAATGATGGGAACACAGCTCAAGGCTGGGGCTATAATGCTGAGGTATTTTTGCAGAAATAAACAACCAATGACTCTTCACAGCCTCAAATCTCACACTTCAGAGCACAACGTCTTCATGACATAATTCAACCGGGAACTGCTACAGTGTTTGTCTTCCTCTATTTCTTTCTAGTGTTTGTGGCCGGGGGGTTCAAATTTCCTGGGTCTGCGCTTGCAACAAATGGGCAGGGCTTGAGTTCCGCATGTCATGTCGGCACTGCTAAAGACGAACAACTATGAGCCGACTCTTGTATAGATAAATAAATAGTTTTAAACACGGTGAACTTTCCAGATTTAGGCCTCAGCTGGATATTTCACTACACTTAGAGCTGTGATACACACTGCATGGAAGGTCATTTTCAAAAACCCATACTAGGTGTTTAAGCAATATCTGCTGTATTAATGTGAACTTTAATTCTGTTGTAGTATGTCCGGGTGTCTTCTGACACGTCTTGTGAGAATCTGTACCAGTTGATGACAGAACAGTGGAAACTGCGTTCACCAAACCTGCTGATTTCCGTGACCGGCGGAGCCAAAAACTTCTACATCAAGACGCACCTGAAGGACAAGTTCCGCCGCGGCCTCATAAAAGTCGCCCAGACCACAGGTACAGTGATCTACAGTGATCTATTTTTTCCCCAATGTCTGTTTAACAGAAAGAAGATTTTTTAATAACTAGATTTAATAACTCATTTCTAATAATTGCACTCAAAATCTATTATTCTTCAAGATACTAGTATTCAGTTTAAAGTGACATTTAAAGGCTTAACTAGGTTAATTAGGCTAAAGTTAGGGTAATTAGGCAAGTCATTGTATAACTGTTACAGTCATCAGCGATCTAGCTATTGCGTATCGCTGGAGAACTACAAATCGGCCACAGTTACGAACTACAAATCCTGTCATGCACCTCACACAGACCTGTTCCTGTGTGACATTAATTACACACACACACACACACAGCTGGAGGATCATTATGAACTGATTACATGGACGATAATTACACCACACTTACACACACACAGTGCTGAGTCTTGTTATATTGTTTGTGAACATTACGTCACCTAGCTGTTTTCTGACCCTTTGCCTTGTTCTCTCAATTTGATTCCTTGCTGCCTGTATCGACCATTCGCCTGTTTGTGATCACAATTTTGGATTACCTGTATGTACCCGTTTGCTCCTGTGATTGACCTTTGCCTGCCAGACCATTCTTGTAATAAACTGCATGAGGATCCCGACTGTTTTGTCAGTGTCTATCACATGACAATAACAGCTGTTTGTTCTGTAGACAATCAAAGGGGGCTAATAATATTGACCTTAATATAGTTTTTAAACAATTAAAAACTGCTTTTTTTCTAGCATAAATAACACAAATAAGACTTTCTCTAGAAGAAAAAATATTATAGGAAATACTGTGAACAATTCCTAAAATAAATAACAGACATAAATAGGTAAACATGCCCAGGGATGGCAAGTGTTCTGAGAGACCGTCTGAGATTTAGGTCTTTTATGGTTTCCCTCGACATTATTACTAAGTGTGCCTCCATTTATTTCCTCTTAATTTAATTAAATTACATTTTTTTATTTAATAAAAAAATCTATTTAATTTAATTTTAAATTAAATTTAATTGTATTTTTATATTTCATTTTATTAAATTTGTATATTTAATTTAATTTTCTGTTTAATTTAATTGTATTTTTATATTTCATTTTATTAAAATTTTATATTTAATTTAATTTTCGGTTTAATTTAATTTAATTTTGTTAATGTATTTATTTATCTTTTTCTTTCTTTCCTTTTACACATTTATCCATTTTTCTTTAAATTTCATGCTTTAAATTTCTCTCAATCAATTTGTTTGCTTACTTCTATACACCTATATGCATTGTCACAGAGAGATAGACACAAACACACACACACACACACACACACACACACACACACACACACACACACACACACACACACACACACACACACACACACACATACCATAGCAAACAAAATATTCCAAAGGGTAATTGTTGGCAGTCAGTTTATGGTATTATAAACTGGTTAATATAAATGATGTTATATTTCCCATCAGCTTAATAAATTAAAACAAATTAGTAAGGTTATGCAAGTCTTTATAGCAACATAAAAAAGTTTACAGGACAGACTGTAAACTTTACACCTCTGTCTTTAAATAAATTGAATTCTAACATCACTAACATCGCTGGGTGTTAATATAAATCAAAATGACTAGACAGACTAATACAGTACAATTATTTAAACAAAAGCCAATTTTTCTATTGAACTAATGAACTGTGACTGTCCTGAGGTAATATCTACATATTGTAGATACTATGTGACAAACACATTGTTTGCAAACTATTTTTAAAGCTCAGCAATTGCAGTCAGTATCAGAGGAATAAAGGATAAATCAGGGCCTTGAGTTGTTTGTTTTTCGAAACAGAATTTTTTAATGTCATTTAATGGTAGTCGTTTCATGGTAGTCTTTAATGTACTTGAATTGCAGACATATGGATTAAAGGCCTGGAAAGTACTTAAAAACAAACCAAGGTCCTTGAAAGTGCTTGAATTAAAGTTTATGGTTTTATTTCAATAATTGTACTCAATTTTTAAAAAAAGAAAATAAAAATAGAATTTCTTAAATACTTAAAAAATCCTGAAATAATTCTTGTACAATAACGTTCATTCATTCATTTTCATATTCAAATATCATACACCCAGCGCAATGTGGCGCAAGGTGCGATGCAATAATTGTTTGCTAGTTTCAGCTTGGCGCAAGAGTCGTTTTGACATTTTGCAGCACGCTGTTTAAATAGCAAATGCATTTGCGCTCATATGCGTTCTGGTCTAAAAAGAAAGGCGTTCTAAGGCGCATAGCTGGCGCGTTGCTATTTTGAGAAACTATAATAGATTTTCCAATAGACCAGAACAAAACCGGTCTAAAGTCCTGCGCAGAGTTGCGCCTCGCTTTCACACTGCTTAATACACACAAGATATAGAGCAATACACAAAAATCTTTACATATGAAAAATAATTAAAATATTAAGGATATATATAGGATATAATAAGAATATATATATATATATATATATATATATATATATATATATATATATATATATATATAAAGGATTAAAATATTACAAAACATTATTTTCTAGTCTACGTAAATATTAAAAACCACCACTTTCATGCCTTCTTTATCTCGGGAGGCTTTTTCAGTTAATTTAATTTGCTTTTGTATAATGTTATTATTATTAGCAGTATTATCTATCATATGCATATTTATATTTGTTTTATTAAAAACAAGCTTAGATTTGTCCACCTGTCAGGTTTCAGACCATATGGGGCACAGCATGTGTATTTGGATATAATTCAGGTTTTTGAGCACACTTCGTCATTATTGTTCATTTATTCGTTTGCTGGAAATTAAAACTGAATTTAGAAATAGTTTTGAAACAAATATTTGCGCTTAATAAACTAAATTAATTATGTATAGGCTAATGGATGTCTGTGTGTACAAGGTTTCCCTATCCACGAGAGCGAAAGTGAAAGTAGATATTTTACCTCTCATTCTCGCACTGTAGATGCCCTGTTTAACTGTTTTCTAGCTAGTGAAACGTTCAGTTTTTCCACTTACACTTACTTTACGTCATGTAAATAGCAAATGCGCCATGGCTCATTTAACTCGCGACTTAAAGGGAATGTGAGATGAGACTCTGATTGGTTTTTTATTCTCAAAACACAGCTATAACTCTTTAAGAAAATAAACTCAACCCTTTTAGACCATGCGCCACGGCGCAAAGCGGATTTTTCAGACCTTAAAATAGCAAAAGTAGATTCTGACACGTCCTGAAAGTGCTTGCGCCATGCGCTCTACACTTTGCGCATGTACCATCAAAATAGAGCCCTTAGTCTATTTCAGAGGTTGCCACAGCAGAATGAACCGCTAATTTCTCCAGCATATGTTTTATACAGTGGATGCCCTTCCAGCTGCAACCCAGTACTGGGAAAGACCCATACAAACTCATTTACACACACACTCATTCGCTACAGCCAATTTAGTTCATCCAATTCACCTATAGTGCATATGTTTGGACTGTGGGTGCACCTGGAGGAAACCCATGCCAACACGGGGAGAACATTCAAACTCCACACAGAAATGCCTCCTGATTTCATCCTGATGATCCCTCGGTTCCAGCTCGCATCTCAGCCTGCCTGTTGGATATTTCACACTGGATGAAAGATCATCATCTTCAGCTGAACCTCGCAAAAACGGAAATGCTTGTAGTTTCTGCCAACTCGACTCTACACCATAACTTTTCAATCCAGATAGATGGGGCAACCATTACTGCATCCAAAATGGTGAAAAGCCTTGGAGTAACGATTGATGACCAACTAAACTTTTCTGACCACATCTCTAGAACTGGTCGATCGTGCAGATTCGCACTCTATAACATCAGAAAGATCCGACCCTTCTTATCTGAACATGCAGCTCAACTCCTTGTTCAAGCTCTTGTTCTCTCCAAACTGGATTACTGCAACTCTCTACTAGCCGGGCTCCCAGCTAACTCTATCAAGCCTCTTCAGCTGCTTCAGAATGCAGCAGCACGAGTGGTCTTTAATGAACTTAAAAGAGCACATGTCACTCCGCTGCTCATCCGTTTGCACTGGCTGCCAGTTGCTGCTCGCATCAAATTCAAAGCTCTGATGTTTTCCTACAAAGTGACTTCTGGCCTTGCTCCTTCTTATCTGCTCTCGCTTCTGCAGATCTATGTGCCCTCCAGAAACTTGCGTTCTGTGAATGAACGTCGCCTCGTGGTTCCATCCCAAAGAGGGAAGAAATCACTTTCGCGAACGCTCACGCTCAATCTGCCCAGTTGGTGGAATGAACTCCCTGACTGCATCAGAACAGCAGAGTCACTCGCTACTTTCAAGAAACGACTAAAAACCCAACTATTTAGTCTCCACTACACTTCCTAATCTGCAATTGCCTCTCTGAATATCACACTAACTGTACCAAAAAAAAAAAAAAAAACTAATACTACTAATACTTCCCTTCTTAGACTTTACAGACATGAAACTTGCCTACAGCACTTATTCATTGTTGCTCTTGGTTGTGTAAATTGCTTCCTTGTCCTCATTTGTAAGTCGCTTTGGATAAAAGCGTCTGCTAAATGACTAAATGTAAAATGTAAATGTAAATGCCAACTGGCTCAGCCGGGACTCGAACCAGCGACCTTCTGGCTATGAGGCCACAGTGCTAACCACTGAGCCAGTGTGCCACCACTGTGCAATAACACTGACAAATAATGCACATTTTACCAATATTTCAGAAACTGCATTTGAATATCACCAGTATTGAAGTTACAGTTCTTTTAACATGACTTTAAAACAATCAATCTTTATGTAAACATTAAGTGTTTGTGAAATGTAAAGTACAGTTAGGACTTTTATGGTGCGACACATGCTAGGGTATGAATTACAAAAGTGCTTGATTTAAAATAAATGGTGCTTGAAAATCCTTGAATCTGCTGTGTGTGAAAGTGTCTTTCCCTGCCTTTTTTCAATATCAAAGAAACAGCATTTTTGAAGATGCATTAAGCTGCTACTTTGAAACTACTTTGCTTCACGTGTGCAGGTGCGTGGATCCTGACGGGAGGAACTCATGCGGGTGTGATGAAGCATGTGGGCATGGCTGTGAGGGATTATACACTCAGCAGTGGGTCAATGGAGGGACAGATCGTCGTCATCGGTGTTGCGCCCTGGGGAGTCATTCACAACCGCAGCACACTCATCCATCCTGAGGTCAGACGCTCACCTCAAACTGCTGTACATACACTATGAACAACCCCAGAGTCATGTTTATACTTCAAATTAGAGAGAAATTGTGGTATTATGACTGTGGTTTAACACAGTTTTTAGGCTTTTCTGATGACGGGTAATGGTCACATGTACACAAATGTAATATTTAAGGAGTATTTAGTGTATAGTTTTCGTCTCACTTTTTACTCACTTTTAGTTACTTTACTTAAAAAAAAGGGAGTAAACCTGTTTCCCTTAAAGAGCCCATATTATACATGAAATAGGGTCATATCTTGGTTGTAAGGGTCTCCAACAACAGTCTAATATGCATGCAAGGTCAAAAAACACTTTCATGGTCTTATAATCTGCATTTATTTTTACCTGATTATCCTAGCGACTCCTGTATGAATCGTCCAGTGATTCATTTGTTCCCAAACCCCTCCTTAGTGCGAAGCTAATCTGCGCTGATTGGACCGATGACAGTCTGTCGCGATTGGTCGACTGCCTTCAGTCAGAGAGTGAAATGCCCAACAGCTAATCAGCAATATAAAAGTAATCACAGTTCATACACGCTCGATAGTGTAGGCGTGGATTTTAGCTGTGTTACGTCCCGACCAGTCTAGGGTTGGTGGGAACAATAACAAGTGTAAAAAAAAAACAAAGAGATAAACTCAAATACTCAATTTAGGGTTTTCCCCTTCTCCTGTCCCAACTCACAATAATCACAACGCTGATCAAGTAGTAACAATATTTATTATTTCCTTAGACAACAAAGATAGAAGCATCTCTTCGGAAGGGAATCCAGGCCAAAATAATAAACAAAAAGACAGCTAACTTGCGGGGAAATAATTCTAACTTACCTGCTCAAATAAAAGTACCCCAAATAAAATTACAGCAAACTTCCCTTTCTCCCTTGCTACCACAAACCAGGAGAAAACGTTTTAAAGTAAATGGCGATTCCCAACCTACCGCTTCTGTTTCTAACCAAAAATAATATACATAAATATTTAATCAGAAAAGCCAATAGATTCAGATTTAACAGAGAGCCGTTTTAGAAAATAATTAAATTGGCAGTAACAGAAATCGATCAATTCACACCAAGTCAACCAACAATTTGGGGCAGAAGATAGGAGACGCTCGGAACAACAGCGGCGGCGGCGACGACGGAGATTTGCGACCTGCACCGAGCAGAAAGATCTCCCCATTGTTCCTCTCCTCCAGCTTATATACGCTCCCACACGCAACACGGCTGGACCGCAATCAAGCGCAGCTCTAGAGGGAGGGGGAGAGAGAGAGAAAGCTGCGCATGCTCCACAGCGCACAACACAACATCAGCTCTAAATGCATAAACAAAACACAAATCTGTATATATATATAATATTTATATATATAAAATAAACAAACAAATAATTAATACGTTCTATAACGTAACAGCTGCCACACACACACAAAAACACACACACACACCTCCGGACGACAACGCTCTCTCTTTCTCATTCGCATAAGTTAGATCTGGTTTACAGTGTAGTGTCAGACTGTAGTAAATTCATAATGTATTTGGAACAGAACTGAAGCTGGTATGATCTTGATATCATACTTTGCTTTAAAGAGCCCATATTATGGGTTTTTGAAAATTCCCCTCCATGTAGTGTGTAACACAGCTCTAAGTGAAGTGAAGTATCCAGCTAAGGCTTAAATCTGTAAGTGTACAGTGTTTAAAACTGTTGATTCATCTATAAAAGAGTCGACTCATAGTGCTTCAAACGAGTCGTCTTGATAACGAGTCATTAGGTGTTTCGCCATGACGTACGAACGAAACCAAGTTAGCCCGCTCCCGTCCCAAATTAAACCCGTTCCCGACCGCTCCCGCGATTTATTCAGAAATTTATTCCCGCGCCGCAGAAATCTGGCGGATGCAGAATGCAGACCTCTACCACGGAGCTCCATAAGCAAAGCAGCACGTGTCGCGTTTTTAACGTGACTTTGCACGCGATAAGAGAATATAGCCAGTTAACCTGATACAGTACACGCGGTTACAAGTAACAAATCACACCTAAATACATTTGCAAGCTCGAGTAAACGAGGCAACAACTTTAATCGCACGTACTTACACTTGAGAAATGGAGGAAGAAACCCATCCTGACGTCCATTAGTAAGTTACTCTTTACTGATCCTTCCTTTAACAAACGCAGATGATGTATTCTTTGTAGCATGTAGCTTCCAGAAGTTTCCAGTAGTTTCCAACTGCTTGGTTATAATGCTGATGTTTCATCTTTGGGTAGAGACTCGATATAATATCCATCTGCAGTGTGACAATCGACCGGCATGTTTCAGTGTGTGTGTGTTTGTGGGTGTGTGTGTGTGTTTGGGTTTCTGCGTCAGAGGGCGGGGCCGCAGGTTTCAAATCTCCCGGGTTTGCGCGTGCACGTGAATAACTTGGTTTCGTTCGTACCTCATGGCGAAACACCTAATGACTCGGTATCAAGGCGACTCGTTTGAAGCACTATGAGTCGACTCTTTTATAGATGAATCAACCGTTTTAAACACTGTACACTTACAGATTTAAGCCTTAGCTGGATACTTCACTTCACTTAGAGCTGTGTTACACACTACATGGAGGGGCATTTTCAAAAACCCATAATATGGGCTCTTTAAAGCAAAGTATGATATCAAGATCATACCAGCTTCAGTTCTGTTCCAAATACATTATGAATTTACTACAGTCTGACACTACACTGTAAACCAGATCTAACTTTTCTATGTTGATTATTGTGGTCTGCAATTGCTGTAAAGGCTATCAATGATCTGATCTCCTTGCTTTGTCTGTTTCAGGGCCGTTTTCCGGCGTATTACTCTCTGGATGAGCAGGGTCAGGGCCGTCTCTCCTGCCTCGACATCAATCACACTCACTTCCTGCTGGTGGATGATGGCACTCAAGGACATTATGGGGTTGAGATTGAGCTGCGGGCCCGTCTGGAGAAACTTATCTCTAAACTATCACTCGGAAATAGAGGTGCGGTTGTGCTGGTGCTCTATTAGATTATACAGTACATTCTCCATCGTATTCATTCCACCGAGTCACAAAGAATTTGATGCGTAAAACTATAAACTTTTTACAAGTATGTACATAAATGCCCAAATATAATAGCTAGAATTATATAAGTGTTCATTCATGCCCTTGTGTGATCCTGGACCACAAAACCAGTCATGGGTGTCAGTTTTTGGAAATTAAGATTTTTGCGTGATCTAAAATCTGAATAAATAAGCCTTACATTAATGTTTATTTAAAAGTCTGAAATCTGATCATTTAAAAAAGTCAAAATACTGACAAAATCACCTTTGCGATATTGTATACAGTCACTGGCCACTTTAATAGGTACATCTTACTAGTACCGGGTTGGATCCACTTTTGCCTTCAGAACTGCCTAAATCCTCCGTGGCATAGATTCAACAAGATGCTAGAAATATTCCCCAGAGATTTTGCTCCATATTGACATGATAGCATCACACAGTTGCTGCAGATTTGTCGGCTGCACATCCATGATGCGAAACTCCCATTTCACCACATCCCAAAGGTGCTCTTTTGGGATTTGCCACAGCCATATTACCCTGCAGCTCAAGACCGGTTACTTACTGAAGCTAAGCAGGGCTGAGCCTGGTCAGTACCTGGATGGGAGACCACATGGGAAAAACTAGGTTGCTGTTGGAAATGGTGTTAGAGAGGCCAGCAGGGGGCGCTCAACCTGTGGTCTGTGTGAGTCCTAATGCCCCAGTAAAATGAAGGAGACACTATACTGTCAGTGGGCGCCATCTTTTGGATGAAACGTTAAACCGAGGTCCTGACTCTCTGTGGTCATTAAAAATCCCATGGCACTTCTCGTAATAGAGTAGGGGTATATCCATCCACTGAATTGGCTCTATCACTGTCTCTCCAATCCACCAATAGCTGGTGTGTGGTGAGCGCACTGGCGCCGTTGTCCTGTGGCAGCCGTCACATCATCCAAGTGGATGCTGCACACTAGTGGTGTTTTGGAGAGATCCCCCTCATGTTTGTAAAGCGCTTTGGGTGTATGGCCATACACAATAAATGCGCTATATAAATACACATTACATTACATTACATTGGATTGAGCTCTGGTGACTGAGGAGGCCATTTGAGTACAGTAAACTCATTGTCATGTTCAAGAAATCAGTCTGAGATGATTCACGCTTTATGACATGGTTCGTTATCCTGCTGGAAGTAGCCATCAGAAGATGGGAACACTGTGTTCATAAAGAGATGGACATGGTCAGCAACAATACTCAGGTAGGCTGTGGTGTTGACACGATGCTCAATTGGTACTAAAGTGTGTCAAGAAAATCTCCCCCACACCATTACACCACCACCACAAGCCTGAACCGCTGATACAAGGCAGAATGGATCCATGCTTTCATGTTGTTAAAGCCAAATTCTGACCCGACCATTCGAATGTGGCAGCAGAAATTGAGACTCATCAGAGCAGGCAACATTTCTCCAATCTTCTGTAGTCCAGTTTTGGTGAGCCTGTTACTGTTGCCTTTCTATCATCTGGAACCAGTCTGGCCATTCTCCTCTGACTCTGGCATCAACAAGGCATTTGCGCCCACAGAACTGCCGCTCACTGGATATTTTCTCTTGTTCAGACCATTCTCTGTAAACCCTAGATATGGTTGTGCGTGACAATCCCAGTAGATCAGCAGTTTCTGAAATACTCAGACCAGCCCATCTTGCATCAACAACTATGCCACATTCAAAGTCACTTAAATCCCCTTTCTTCCCCATTCTGATGCTCGGTTTGAACTGCAGCAGATCGTCTTGACCATGTCTACATGCCTAAATGTGTTGAGCTGCTGCCATGTGATTGGCTGATTCGAAATTTGCGTTAGCAAGCAGTTGGACGTGTACCTAATAAAGTGGCCAGTGAGTGTGTATCAGTCAAAGGATCATTTTTAGCAATGCAGATCTCAAAACTGTTGGTAAAAGCCACATGTTTGATTGCATGGCTCTTTAACACTGTTTGCTGATCACTTAATTACTTGTGGTTTATGTTTGTCTGTTTTCCATCAGAGAGTGGAGTGACGATACCAGTGGTCTGTGTGGTTCTGGACGGCGGTCCGGGAACTCTAAATGTGAGTTTTTCAAGTCATCAGCTTTTTTTAAAACAGTATTTCTAGATTGTTTAATCTCTAGATTGTTTCATTTATTTCTAGAATAACAGCGTTAAAATATTTATTGCAGACATTTAAAGTGAGGGAATTTAATATTTTTTTGTCCAGATCATGAAGTATCATGGGCCCAAGTCATTTTAAATTAGACAAAAAAATCCATCTTTTTAAAAAAAGTTTTATTCATAAGTATAGACTTAATTTAAGATTTACATTTTTAAATCATGAAGCTTATTTTTGGAAAAGCAAAACATAGAGTCTTGCTTTAACAAAAAAAAATGTTAAAGAGAGTTTTTTTCTTAAAACAAGCAAAATAGTCATGTGTCAAAAGGAAAAGCATGGTTATTTTGCTTGTTTTAAGGAAAAACTTGCTTAATTTTGGCATAGTAATTCCTAATGCAAGACTTTGTTTTGCTCAACTTTTGCTTTGTTTTGTTCAACAAGTTTTGCTTGTCCAGAAGCAATGCAAGAGCTATATTTTATTGATCTAGGCACAAAGTCTAAAGTGCATGGCGCAAAAGCATTATGGGTGTGTCTGAATCCACTTTTGCTATTTAAAGGACGGACAAATATGGTCTGTGGCCCGGCGCATGGTTTAACAGCGTTGTGCTTATTCTCTTAATGAGTTCTGGGTGTGTTTTGAGCATAATGTGCATTAAACCAATCAGAGTCTCCTCTCACATTCCCTTTAAGAGTCAGTCGCGTGGTGCATTTGCTATTTACATGGCGGACTTTGCAAGTAGAAAAATTGAACACTTCACTAATGAGAAAACAGTTAAACTGTAACGTGGAGACTGACACGGTGGGATCCATTATGCAGTATTTATTAGTCACACTCTTAATCACACACACAATATGCACTACCGTGCAAACACACAACAATAACAGTCTATGATGAATAAAGACTGGGAGTGAATAGACACAGAGGGTGTTACCAGGCATAGATCGAGGGCAGGCTGCAAGTATCAGAGTCCGTGAATCAGGCTTGGGTCATGGGCAGGCAGTGAATGTCAGAGTCCGTATAACAGGCGTGGTTCGTGGGCAGGCAGCGAGTATCAGAGTCCGTATAATAAAGCGTGGGTCGTGGGCAGGCAGAAGGCGAAGCAGAGTCAAGCGCAGGCTGGAGTAATACACAAGGAGTCAGGCAGGAATAACGCTCAGAAATGCTGGCCGGGGCTAAACAAGACTTCGCACTGAATGAGCGTTTGGTGCTGGCTTATAAAGGGTACGTGGGTCATTAACGGGATGCAGATCAGGTGTGCTGGATCAGTGTAAGTGGATGATGTAATGCTTAGAAGTCCGGAGATGGTGGCCTCTGCTGGCCAGCGAGGGGAATGACTGGGACCGAGTCGGTGACATAAACAGAGCATCTGCAGCACAAGGATAAATATTGAGCCTCCTCCATTCAGCCTCTTTACTTTCTCTTTACTTTTACTCTTTACTCCTTTACTTTGGTGTAATAGGGTAACAGTGTAAACTCACTCCACTGAACACATCCATTAGCCCACATATTTATTGTCCTTTGTTAAGCGCAAAGATTTGTTTCAAAACTATTGCTAAATTCAGTTCTAATTTCCAGCAAATGAATAAATGAACAATAATAATTAAGTGTGCTCAAACAACTGAGTTATATCCAAACACACGTCCTGCTCTCATGCTCTATATGGTGATGCAGACGTCTCCAAAACCCCACAGGAGGACAAATCTAAATTTTTTATATTTAAACAAATATACATCTGCATATAATAAATAATCCTGCTGAATATAATAACATTATACTAATGCAGATTGTCACGAATGAACTGAAAAAAAAAAAAACCCAGACATAAAGGCATGAGGCAGTGGTTTTAATACTGATGTAGAAGATAATAATGTTTGTATCATTTTAATGCTTTAATCGTTTTCATTTGTAAAGATATTTGTGTCTTGCTGTCCTGTGTAAATTAAAGAGCCCATATTATACATGAAATAGGGTCATATCTTGGTTGTAAGGGTCTCCAACAACAGTTTAATATGCATGCAAGGTCAAAAAACACTTTCATGGTCTTATAATCTGCATTTATTTTTACCTGATTATCCCAGCGACTCCTGTATGAATCGTCCAGTGATTCATTTGTTCCCAAACCTCTCTTTAGCGCGAAGCTAATCTGTTCTGATTGGACCGATGACAGTCTGTTGCGATTGGTTGACACTCACTGCTTGCTTTCAGCCAGAGACAGAGTGAATAGCCAGCAGCTAATCAACAAAATAGAAGTAGTCAGAGTGCATACACGCTTTAGTGTAAGGCGTGGAGTTTAGCTGCCAGTGGATGAATGTAAACACAGACGGTGGACTTGAAAATACAGACGACTAACTATTTTATTGAGCAAAAACTCCCAAGAACTGGCGAGGAGATCTCCTAGCTTGTCACATTCTGCTCTTTTCACAGACACACACACACACACACACACACACACATATTGCCCTCGTCCTCGCGCACGCGTCCACACACACACACAAACACACAAACACACACACACACATATATATATTGCCCTCGTTCTCGCGCACACGTCCACACACACACACACATATATATTGCCCTCGTTCTCGCGCACACGTCCACACACACACACACACACACACACACACACACACACACATATATATTGCCCTCGTTCTCGCGCACACGTCCACACACACACACACACATATTGCCCTCGTCCTCGCGCACGCGTCCACACACACACACACACACACACATATATATTGCCCTCGTTCTCGCGCACACGTCCACACACACACACACACACACATATTGCCCTCGTCCTCGCGCACGCGTCCACACACACACACACACACATATATATATTGCCCTCGTTCTCGCGCACACGTCCACACACACACACACACACACACACACATATATATTGCCCTCGTTCTCGCGCACGCGTCCACACACACACACACAGATGTAACCCTCCACCAGACGACATCACGCCTAAACAAACACACACAAACCTCCTCCGGACGACAACGCCCATGCACGCACACGACAAGTAACAAATCACATCTAAATACATTTGCAAGCTCGAGTAAACGAGGCAACAACTTTAATCGCACGTACTTACACTTGAGAAATGGAGGAAGAAACCGATGCATGTTCTGACATGTCCAGTCTTTACTGATCCTTCCTTTAACAAACAAAGTATTCTTTGTAGCATGTAGTTTCCAGTAGTTTCCAACTGCTTAAAGCTGGGCTTTAAGCCGATTGTGGGTGGGTGTGTGTTTGTGTGTGTGTGTGTGGGTTTCTATGTCAGAGGGCGGGGCCGCAGGTTTCAAATCTCCCGGGTTTGCGCGTGCACGTGAATAACTTGGTTTCGTTCGTATGTCATGGCGAAACACCTAATGACTCGGTATCAAGGTGACTTAATTGAAGCACTATGAGTCGACTCTTTTATAGATGAATCAACCGTTTTAAACCCTGTACACGAACAGATTTAAGCCTTAGCTGGATACTTCACTTCACTTAGAGCTGTGTTACACACTACATTGAGGGGCGTTTTTAAAAACCCATAATATGGGCTCTTTAAGCAATCTGTAAGCATTTGGACCCACAGACGCATAACTTAAATGCACTGTGCTGGACTTTAGAGCAGCTTTTAGTTGGTCAATGGCGCTGTCTATTTCAGTTCCTTAAAATAACAACTCACCAACAATGCGCCTTAACACACCTCCTTTATATACCAGCACACCCATGAATTCATTAAGTGGCTCAAATGGATTTGCTATTTAAACAATGTGGCGCAAAATCTGAAAATTAGGGTTGCGCTGGTCTGAAAATAGTACCATATCGTGCCATACACGTCTTGTGCTTTATTTGTGTGATGTGTATGATAGGGCCCAAACACTTTAAGTAAGAAAAGTATTATGATTCATAGATTTCATTGAGGCTAATATACGCATTTATTGACAGACGATCTATAATTCGATGCTGAACCACACGCCGTGTGTTGTACTGGAGGGCTCTGGGCGTCTGGCGGATGTTATCGCTCATGTGGCCTCTGTGCCCGTGTCAAAGGTCACAATGGCTCTCATCAACCGTCTCCTGAAGAGGTTTTTCATGCAAGAGTACAAAAACTTCACCGAGTTGCAGATCATTGAGTGGACTAAGAAGGTAACAAAAAAATAGACACAACATTTTTAAAGAGATTCAACTGATAGACAAAATTACAATTTAGCAATTGAGGAGCATTTTCTAGACCAGCAAAAATATAGTCTTGTTTTCAAAGTCAAATTTAAGTGAGCTTTTTTTTCTCAAAACAAGAAAAATAATATGGCAATGGAGTAAGTGAAATCATCTTGTTTTTGCTTTAAACTATTTAGCCCATTTGCAGATTATTTTGGTTGTTTTAAGAAAAAAAAAACTCTATCTTCAAATATTTTGAAAACAAGACATTGTTTGTTACTATTGAACTATTGAATAAAGCTAGACTTAATGATTAATAAAGATAAAATATTAATGTGGATTTATGCCTGTGGGTGAAAGAGTAAACAACATCTTGGTGTTCAAATTGGCAAAAGTAATTATACATGCATATAAAGGATATCAAACGCAAGTAAAGTGTCTATATATTGACTGTGTGTAAGCTTTGTGATAATAAAATGTCAGAAGGTCTCTGCAATACTGCTCCATTATCACCATTCAGCTTAGCAGATTTACTTTCTGAATGTAAGAGTAACATTAAAATGAAATGTAATTATTATAATATATATTAGAAAAACAAAAGGGGATCATGCTAAATGTTATTTTATTTAAACTAATGAATAGTTCAATATTTTATTATTATTTATATTTGTTTATTTTTTATTTTAATTTATTTTATTTAATATTTTTACTTATTTATTTTATAAATATAATAAATAGAATTGTATAAATTCTATAGATAAAATATATGTATATAATATAATAATAATATTATATATATATATATATATATATATATATATATATATATATATATATATATATATATATATATATATATATATATATATATATATATATATATATATACAGTTAAAGTCAGAATTATTAGCCCCCATAAATTATTAGACCGCTTGTTTATTTATTCCCCAATTTCTGTTTAATGGAGAGCAGATTTTTTCAACACGTTTCTAAACAGAATAATTTTAATAAATCATTTCTAATAACTGATTTATTTTATCTTTACTATGATGACAGTAAATAATATTTACTAGATATTTTTCAAGACACTTCTGTACAGCTTAAAGTGACATTAAAAGGCTTAACTATATTAATTAAGTTAACTAGGCAGGTTAGGGTAATTAGGCAAGTTATTGTAAAACAGTGGTTTGTTCTGTAGATTATTGAGAAAAAATATAGCTTAAAGGGGCTAATAATTTTGTCCCTAAAATGGTTCTTAAAAAAATTAAAACTGCTTTTATTCTGGCCGAAATAAAACAAATCAGACTTTCTCCAAAAGAAAAAGTATATACATACTGTGAAAATGTCCTTGCTTTGTTAAACATCATTTGGAAAATATAAAAAAAAAAAAGAAAAAAAATCAAAGGGGGCTAATAATTCTGACTTCAACTGTATATATATAATTTGTAAAATAAAATATTAATATTATAAGTAAAATTTTAAAATACAGTAAATAAATAATTTAGTGTGATCACTTATTGTTTTTTGATGAATAATTTTGTCATTTTTATATTATTATATGTTTATTTTTTATGTATTTATTTAGGCATTTATTGTATTTATATATTTATTTCTTTATATATATATATATATATATATATATATATATATATATATATATATATATATATATATATATATATATATATATATATATATATATATATAATTTAAATATTTGTACTTGTTTATTTTAATAATTAAATAAATAAATACAATAAATGAGTAAAAAATTATATATTTATTTATTATATACATATAATAAATTAAAACAATCAATCACTCAATCAATCAATTAATTATTTTAATAAATGTAAAAAATAAACAAATATAAATAATAACAAAAAATGCCAGAATTATTCATCGGTTAAAATAAAAAAATTTAAAACAAGTAACAATAAAAACAGGTAAATTTTTGTATTATTATTATTTATGTTTGTTTATTTATTTATTTTTCAAATTTATTTAGTCATTTTATTTATTTATTTATTTTTTTGCTTATTTATTTTTCATACAAATAAATTAGTAAAAATATATTAAAAAATTAATGAACTAAAAATACAATAAATAAAATAAACAAATATAAATAATAACAAAAATAGCTAGAAATGTTGAAATAAAATATTATATGGTATCATCACTTATTATTTTTTAAGAATAATTCTAGCAGCTTTTTGTTTGTTTATTGTAATTTTTAAATTTATTTTATTTTATTTATATATATATAATCATTTTGGGGGGGGGTTAATAATTTTGTCTACAACTCTATATACTACTATTACTATTACTATTACTATATGTAGTAATGGTGGATAATAAGTGGTGAATTCGCTCAGCATTTATTGTTTCCTCTCTGCAGATTCAGGACATCTTGCGGATGCCTCATTTGCTCACAGTATTCCGCATCGATGAGGATAAAAACTATGACGTGGATGTGGCCATTCTGCAGGCGCTGCTAAAAGGTATTGCTTTTCAGACATGCTCCAATTTCTCCTAATCTGGAAACTGAATTTACAGTAAATGATGGCTAATGTTCTCATTTCCAGGCAGACGGTAATGGGATCGTGCTGTAAATGGGTTGCACTGTATCTAATGCCAGCGCTGTTTGTCTTTAACCGTAATCAAGGTTAAAGAGCCTGTCAGCATTTCTCTTTATGCAGTTTCTGTTGAAGCCGTTTGTTACATTGAAGCCTAATGGTTTCTAAGGAATGAATCATGTAACTGCACTGACCACCAGGGGTTTGTCTCTTTTCCCTGGAAAGTCAGAGAGCTATTTGTGTTCATTTTACAGTGATGCATGGCACACGTCTCCATTGCTAAAGAGAATTGTTGTATTTAATCATGATTAATATTGCAATGCTCAATGCAACTGTTAGATGCTGGTAGCCAATACAGTTTTTCAGTGCTTACAAAAGGAGATAATGGACAGAGTACATGCATTAAAAAGCATCTGGTGAGGATTTGACAAATAATGTGTCCATCCTGTGCAAGATTTGTGAATAATTGATGAGTTTTGTATTAAAGCCATATACAAATAATTGTTTGATTTAATTAAAGCTCAGAATACTTTCATTTATTTACTTCAAAATACTCCCATATGCAGAGGTTGGATAATGAAACTGAAACGCCTAATTTTAGACCACAATAATATAATCTAGGGCCTCATTTTGCGGCCAATACAGCATCATTTGGTCTTGGGGATGACAGATACAAGTCCAGCACAGTGGTCAGAGAGATTTTGAGCCATCCTTCTTGCAGAGTGGTGTTCAGGTCACTATGTGATGCAGGTTTCCTGACTCGCTCCTCCAAAACACCTCAAAATGGCTCAATAATATTTAGATCGGGTGACTGTGCAGGCCATGGGAGATATTCATCTTTACTGTCATGTTCAACATGGGTTCAGTCTGAAAACATAGCCCTGCATTTCTGGAGATCACGAATTATGTAGCCAGAAGTACATATGGCTGCATTTCATCTTTAAAGCGAATGATACGGGTGGTATGAGGCCGTTCCTTTTCGCGCTACCAGCTGACCGATTACTTCCGTATGGACCGCTTTCCTGCTGTTACCAGTTTGTCCAGTGGCTTGCAGTGTATGTTGGTGGACTTGAGATGCAGAGAGGAGTTTATCATGACCAAGGGGTTCGAGTCCGGTTGAGAACGGTTTCAGTAAGTGAGTAAGACAAAAAGTAAAATAAACAGATAAATAACTGGGCGAGAATGTGGTAAAATCTGAAAACATGGTAAAAACCAGGTGGCCGTGAGGGCTTTTCTTTTGCTGAATTGCTTTTGAAAACACTTGCGGTTGGGTTTAGGGAAGTGGGTGGCCGCTGGTCAATTAGTGCTTTTAAAAAAGTAGGAGGGTGGGTCAGTCGATCAGTATGTCAGTCAATCAGTCAGTCGACAGCGGCCTCTAGTGGATTTACGCAAGAACAGCAGGCATGAATGGCACTCGCGAGAGATTTTTGAGATCTGCTAAAGTGTACACAGCGGCCTCTAGTGGATTCATGCAAGAACAGCAGGCATGAATGGCACTCGCGAGAGATATTCGAGATCTGCTAAAGCGTACACAGCGGCCTCTAGTGGATCCACGCAAGAACAGCAGGCATGAATGGCACTCGCGAGAGATATTCGAGATCTGCTAAAGTGTACCAAGCAGCCTCTAGTGAATTAAGTAAGAACAGCAGGCATGAATGGCACTCGCGAGAGATATTTGAGATCTGCTAAAGCATGCACACCGGCCTCTAGTGGATTCACGCAAGAACAGCAGGCATGAATGGCGCTCGCGAGAGATATATAAGATCTGTTAAAGTGTACACATCGGCCTCTAGTGGATCCACGCAAGAACAGCAGGCATGAATGGCACTCGCGAGGGATTTTTGAGATCTGCTAAAGCGTACACAGCGGCCTCTAGTGGATTTACACAAGAACAGCAGGCATGAATGGCACTCGCGAGGGATTTTTGAGATCTGCTAAAGCGTACACAGCGGCCTCTAGTGGATTTACACAAGAACAGCAGGCATGAATGGCACTCGCGAGGGATTTTTGAGATCTGCTAAAGCGTACACAGCGGCCTCTAGTGGATTTACACAAGAACAGCAGGCATGAATGGCACTCGCGAGAATTATTTGAGATCTGCTAAAGCGTACACAGCGGCCTCTAGTAGATTTACACAAGAACAGCAGGCATGAATGGCACTCGCAAGAGATATTTGAGATCTGCTAAATCGTACACAGTAGCCTCTGATGGATTTGTGAAAAGAAAAACTGCAAAAAAAAATCGTACATCCTGGGACGTCTTTAGCGTTCTCCAGAAATGTATATAGGGGTACGTTTTCAGTATGAGCCTGGGTTAGTCATGTTCATCAAAACACTCTGTCACCAGTCTTGCTGTGTGTATTAGAGGAATGTGCAATCAATGAAGATTAGCCACCAGGTCTTATTTGTGTGGATATGTAAAGAGTAATTACCAACCTATGTTACACTGGTTCCCGGTTGCAAATAAAGATTCCCAGAGATCTGCACAGGCTGGTGACAATAATAATAGAATAATAATAATAATACTGAAGCACTGTCATGACGAACTGATGGCTGAGAGGTTTTACAATCAGCAAAACCACATTTTAGATCCTTTACAATGTGCTTCAAATGCTGCTTTGTTCGTTAATGCGTCCCATCATGCACATTTATATCATCGCATGATCTGTTCAAACTGAATCACATCACTGATGCACTTGCTGGAGTTTATTCAGTAAATGTGTTTCAAATGTGTTTCAGATTATTGTCTGTGTGTTGTTGATCTTCAGCCTCCAGAAGTGATGAACATGCAGGTCGGCATTGCTGGGAGAGGCAGCTGGAGCTCGCTGTGGCCTGGAACCGCGTGGACATCGCAGAGAGCGAGATCTTCACCGAGGAGAGCCAGTGGACGGTTTGTAAAAATATTAGTTGAATATTAAAGTCCACTTAAACTAGAAGCTGCGACATTTTTTTTCTGTATTATGAAGCAATTCCTAGAGTAACAGAATATTAAATGAGAAAACACACACACACACACACACACACACATATATATATATATATATATATATATATATATATATATATATATATATATATATATACATATATATATATATATATATATATATATATATATATATATATATATATATATACAGTTGAAGTCAGAATTATTAGCCCCCCTTTCAATTTTTTGTCTTTTTTAATTATTTCCTAAATGATGTTTATCAGAGCAAGGAAATTTTCACAGTCTGTCTGATAATTTTTTTTCTTCTTGAGAAAGTCTCATTTGTTTTATTTCGGCTAGAATAAAAGAAGTTTTTAATTTTTTAAAAAACATTTTAGGGACAAAACTATTAGCCCCTTTAAGCTAATTTTTTTTTTCGATAATCTACAGAACAAACCATCGTTATATAAGAACTTGCCTAATTACCTGATCCTGCCTAGTTAACCTAATTAACCCAGTTAAGCCTTTAAATTTCACTTTAAGCTGTATAGAAGTGTCTTGAAAAATATCTAGTCTAATATTATTTACTGTCATCATGACAAAGATAAAATAAATCAGTTAGTAGAAATGAGTTATTAAAACGATTATGTTTTGAAATGTGTTGAAGAAATCTGCTCTGCATTAAACCGAAATCGGAGGAAAAATAAACAAGGGGGCGAATAATTCAAGGGGGCTAATAATTCTGACTTTAACTGTATATATTGTTACGTAGCGGATGCACCTCGCTACGCACATAAGATTATCGATGACCGATATTAAAAGAGGTCAACCGAAGTCCCCGTTACTGCTCCTGTTCCCCAAGCACACACACACAGGCCAAGATGTCAAAAGGGGTAACAGATTTATTAAGCAAATGTATCCGTATCAGAACAAGCTAACAAAAAGGCCAAAACAACAAACAAAACAGGGTACGCTACCTAATATTAAACTTCTTACCTAAACCGAAGATAAAGTTCCGTAAATGAAACACATTTCTACCCTCCATAACTATCCATTAAACATGAGAAAACGGGACAAAAGAAAAAGAGCCTTCCCTTTGATCATTCAGCAGTAAGTAAACATTTAGCCACAGCTAACACTGAATACCGTCCTACTACCATATTTAACAGAGTATCTCACCAGATGACTTTGAAACAGGGTTGTAGACAGGAAATAAACAATCATCCACTGCTAATGCAAGTTACCGTCCTATTACCGTATTTAACAGAGTATCTCATCAGATTACTTTGGAAAAAGGTTTCAGACAGAAAGATATGACTGCCACACAGAGAACTCACACACACACACACACACACACACACACACACACACACACACACACACACACACACACACACACACACACACACACACACACACACACAACAGCGAGGGTAAACAGGAAGAGAACTCGATGAACAGCGCCAACAGCGTGCTTTTATAACTGGTGCCGCCCCTCTCACAGCTGCACCTGATCTCTGCTCATGTGGAGAGATGGAAAGAGACAGATAATAGAGGATACAACACACACAGGAACAATACACACTAGCATTGTCAAAATAATGTTTTTCAGTGTGTAACAATATATATATTAATAAATATTAATGCAATAATATATAATATATATAATATGTATATATATAATATATTTAATATATATATATGTATGTATGTATGTATATATATATATATATATATATATATATATATATATATATTATATATATTATATATTATTGCAGGTACTATCTATATATATATATATATTAGGGATGTAACGGTATCAGAATTTCACGGTACGGTAATACCTCGGTATAAATGGCACGGTACGGTATTTATTGAATAATTTACAAAAAAAAAAAAAACTAATGAAAAGACTCGAAAAAAGTGCCAAAAGCGTTGATTTACCTTAGCACTGAACATATCAATGACATACAAATTAGCCATCTATCTGTAAGTTTCGAAACAGGAACTTCAATTTTTCAATTTTAATAACAAAAAATTATTAAACCATATAAAAAAATAAAGTTTCAATTTAGTATTGTTGAAAACTCATCACATTCAACATTTAATCACTCACTCACTTAGATAGAGATGGGTTTTTTAAGGAAAATTATCATATAAATATAATCCGGTAAAACCTGGGATCTCTGTGCATTTACAATGTCCCCTGCAACAGAAAAAAACCTCTCATTTGGGACTGAGGTTTCTGGGACAGAGAGATATGATCTAGCCAAGGTTGATAGCAGTGGGTAACGCTGTGCATTGTTTTTCCATCACTTGAGAGGACAAACCATGAGTGAGATAGAGGTCTCTTTGCGGTACAAGTCAATGTCTGCATCAATCTAACAAGTGTGCTGTGTTCTGCAGTCCCCATGACTGTTTTTAGTCGTATTCCCCAACTTATATTTCACCACAGTCTGGCAGTGCCTGCATACTGTTTTTATCTTTGTCTGTCACCTTTTCTCCTTTTTCATATCTTTTTAGAAAGAAACCGGAATGCTTCCACATCCGAAATCCGCTTTAGGTTCGATCATTTCCAGCTCTTTTTCTTCCCCGCTACTAGCGACACACTCCATTTCCGCATTACTGGATCTGTAGTGACAACAGACCGCAAAGGATGATGGCCACGCCTAGGCTGATGGGAATTGTAGTTCCCACTACCTCCCGTTCACTTCATTCGCCTAAGCAAACTTTTCTCAGAAATATAGTTTTATTGAGTCATGCGCCTACGGTAATACTGAAAAAAATTACTATTGCAGTATGACGGTATTTACAATATTGTTACATCCCTAATATATATATATTTATATATAGTCACTGGTGGGAGTCGTTCGTTGTGTCCCACCAGTGACTATATACAGACATATTGAATGTGATATTGTGTTTATACAGCAGGGAGGTCTGCAATCTGGAAATCACAGTATTTAACTGTTGCATACAGGCCGTAGCTGAAGAATGTGATCACCCTCCAATGCTATATTTCTTACTGCTCTGACATTCATGGCTATAGGTGCCAGGACGTCTGGAGCCCAAAATCACTGTGAGTGACCACTTGTTTACCAAGAGGTTTAATCGGCCCCTTGTGACGATTCCTTACTGGTCTTCAATCTATATTGCAGGGGGGGTAGAAACCTCACTCCTATTTCTGCAAACCAAACACATAAAAAAACACTTAAAACTCGCTCTAAATTGTACATAATGTGTTTGCAGTCTATATGCTCTGCTCTATAGCAAAACACATATATATGTGTATTATTTTAATAATGTTGGTATATAACAATAATAATGAAGAATGCATATTTGTTTTATTTATTTATTTTTACATGTATTTTATTTAATCTTTTGCCTGTTTTCCTCTCAGTCCAGTGATCTGCATCCAGCCATGTTCTCCGCTCTGGTTGGTGATAAGCCCGAGTTTGTGCGCCTCCTGCTGGAGAACGGTGTGTGTGTGCGTGAGTTTCTGGAGCGTGAGGAGACTCTCTGCGAGCTCTACTCTCATCTGCCCTCCTGCTTCTTCCTTCGCAAATTGGCCAAACGGGTCCAGGGCGGAAAGATGCGGCGCGGGCAGGAGCCACTGCCCGGCAGCAGGAAGGTCTGCCTGAGTCACGTCTCTGAAGAAGTGCGACACCTGCTGGGCAGCTTCACACAACCGCTGTACATTGCTTCTCGATACAAGCCCACTAAAGATGATGTGCGCTTAAAGGCAAGTTATTCTTACCACCTCAATATTCAACACTTGCAATTACAAACCCACAATATCTACCTGTTAATATGGTCATTAAAAATAAATGAATAAGTAATAAAAAATAAATATTGTTCAAACCAAAACTATGCCATTGGTCAGTTATTCATTCATTTTCCTTCAGCTTATTCATTCATTCATTCATTCATTCATTTTCTTGTCGACTTATTTTTTCCGCTTATTAGTCCCTTTATTAATCCGGGGTCGCCACAGCGGAATGAACCGCCAACTTATCCAGCATGTTTTTACACAGCGAATGCCCTTCCAGCCGCAACCCATCTCTGGGAAACATCCATACACACAATCACACACACGCTCATACACTACGGACAATTTAGCCTACCCAATTCACCTGTACCGCATGTCTTTGGACTGTGGGGGAAACCGGAGCACCCGGAGGAAACCCACGCGAACGCAGGAAGAACATGCAAACTCCACACAGAATTGCCAACTGAGCCGAGGCTCGAACCAGCGACCTTCTTGCTGTGAGGTGACAGCACTACCTACTGCGCCACTGCTTCGCCCCTCCTTCGGCTTACGCCTGTTTCACACCGCAAGCGTCAGCGGCGCGTGAGCAGAGCGTGAGCAGCGCGTGTGTTTTCGGCGTCCATGTTAACAGATGAGAGCTTTCATACCGCACGCAGCAGCAGCGCGTCAGAGCGAGGCGTGAGCGTCGCCGAAGCAGCAGTGCAGCGATAGTTTCGGCGCTGGGTCTATTTTTGACGCGCTGCTCACGCTCAATTAAAGTGACAGTGCATTGATAATGACCAAAACACATTGAATGACAGTAAAAACTAGCAATTTTACCCAATAAATGCGTCAATAATGTCAAATGGTTTATATATAGTCAATCAAATGAACTTAAAACGATTAAAAACGGCAACAAACATTTATTTAGGCCCGAACTACAAAACCAAATGTAAAACTATTTTACTATCAGTTTTGCATTAGTTGCACACTAGTGTTGTAGGAGAGGGGAAATGGAATATTTACGGGATTTGTAGTCCATAGCGAAGTGTATTGTGGGTAGTGTAGTTCGACACGCATGCTGGATTATGTGAGCTCGCTGTCTTCTGTGCAGCTGAGCAGAGCAAGAAAGTTTCAATCGGCTTTGTTTTATGTTCACTCGAATTATTCCTACCGGGAGCTGTTTGCTCTGTGAATCTGACAACACGAAAATAAGTAAAAGAATGGCATGCATTAGTTACTTTTGTCCGTCTCATAATCTGCACGAGCATGAATTAACGAGCTGTTATTCTGCCGCTGGACATCACTGAAGCGGAGAAAGGTCGCTGGTTCGAACCTCGGCTCAGTTGGCGTTTCTGTGTGGAGTTTGCATGTTCTCCCTGCATTCGCGTGGGTTTCCTCCGGGTGCTCCGGTTTCCCCCACAGTCCAAAGACATGCGGTACAGGTGAATTGGGTAGGCTAAATTGTCCGTAGTGTATGAGTGTGTGTGTGAATGAGTGTGTGGATGTTTCCCAGAGATGGGTTGCGGCTGGAAGGGCATCCGCTGCGTAAAAACCTGCTAGATAAGTTGGCGGTTCATTCTGCTGTGGCCACCCCGGATAAATAAAGGGACTAAGCAGACAAGAAAATGAATGAATGAATGAATGAATTTGTCTTTTGTTGTGTTTTTTCTATTTAAATATTTCTATATAAATGAAACTTTAGTATTCATATTAACTTCAACATGATGCTAAATATTGTCCATTTTTAATGTTGCCTTAAAACATTTCATTTTTTTATTTCTGTTCTAAAAATGTTTTTTTTACTCTTATTTACTCTCTTTTTATTTGTATTATATTATTATTGCATATATTAAAAGGTCCCTAATTTTAAATGTCTCATATTGATCCAAAAGTTTACACTTAAAAATTAAAATATGATCTTTTCCACTTAAAATATACAAAAAAAATTTTTTATTGAATTATAAATAATTGATTTAATAAAAAATGTTATTTGTTAACAGTAATAATAATTGTTTTTATTAGGCTATCTGTGAATGCTTTGTGTGAAGTCAGATGTGTTGCAGTCAGTGTGTTTTTGTGTTTGTGTGTGTGTGTCTCTCAGGTGCCGTCTAAAGGTGCTCTGGATCTTCCATGTTCGGGTGAGGAATGGAGCGCAGACACAGTTTGGGATCCTGGACGGGATCTGTTCCTCTGGGCTGTAGTGCAGAATAACAGAGAGCTGGCGGAGATCGGTTGGGAGCAGGTACAGGACAGCAGATATTTCTACACAATGCAAATTCATTACAATATACATCTATTGTTTTTAAAATCAAAATTTTATTTTTTTTTATATAAAATTATATATTTTTTATATTTATATATATATATATATATATATATGTATGTATTTTTTGTAAACAATAAATAATAATAAATAGATAAATTGTTTAATAAACTATTTTAACTAAATTCTCAAAATGTATATTAAAAAAAATTTACACTCACTGGCCACTTTATTAGGAACACCTTACTAGTACCGAGTTGGACCCACTTTTGCCTTCAGAACTGCCTTAATCTTTCATGGCATATATTCAACAAGATACTGTAAATATTCCTCAGATTTTGCTCCATATTGACATGATAGCATCACACAGTTGCTGCTAATTTGTCGGCTGCACATCCATGATGCGAAACTCCCATTTCACCACATCCCAAAGGTGCTCTATTGGATTGAGTTCTGGGGACTGTGGAGGCCATTTGAGTACAGTAAACTCATTGTCATGTTTAAGAAACCAGTCTGAGAGGATTCACGCTTTATGACATGGTGCGTTATCCTGCTGGAAGTAGCCATCGGAAGATGAGTACACTGTGGTCATAAAGGGATGAACATGGTCAGCAACAATACTGACAACAATACTAGCTACTTTACACCCCACTCTTCATTTTTTAGTTTAGATTACTTCCAACATTGAATAAGAAAATGCACATTTCAAAGAACTCCATGGGACTTTTAATTACCATCAGTGTAATGTGTGTGTGTGTTTGCAGTGCAGAGACTGTATCGCTGCTGCTCTGGCCGCCAGTAAGATCTTGAGGAAGCTAGCGCAGGAGAGCGGAGAGGATGACAGTGAAGAGGCTACAGAGATGCTGGAGCTCGCCAACCACTACGAGAAACAGGCCATCGGTACCCCATCACCCTTTACTCTCTGACCCCTGACCCCATTACCTCTGACCTTTGACATCTGATCCTGTGACCTCTGACCCTATGACTTCTGACGCAGTGCCCTTTCATTCTTACCTCATTACCTCTTACCTTTGACCTCTGACCCTATGACTTATGACGCAGTGCCCTTTTATTCTTACCTTTGACCTCTGACCCTATGACTTCTGACGCAGTGCCCTTTCATTCTTACCTCTTACCTTTGACCTCTGACCCTATGACTTCTGGCGCAGTGCCCTTTTATTCTTACCTTTGACCTCTGACCCTATGACTTCTGACGCAGTGCCCTTTCATTCTTACCTCATTACCTCTTACCTTTGACCTCTGACCCTATGACTTATGACGCAGTGCCCTTTCATTCTTACCTCTTTACATCTTACCTTTGACCTCTGACCCTATGACTTTTGACGCAGTGGCCTTTTATTCTTACCTTTGACCTCTGACCCTATGACTTCTGACGCAGTGCCCTTTTATTCTTACCTCTTACCTTTGACCTTTGACCTCTGACCCTATGACTTCTGACGCAGTGCCCTTTCATTCTTACTTCTTTACCTTTTACCTTTGACCTCTGACCCTATGACTTCTGGCGCAGTGCCCTTTTATTCTTACCTTTGACCCCTGACCCTATGACTTCTGACGCAGTGCCCTTTTATTCTTACCTCTTGCTTTTGACCTCTGACCCTATGACTTCTGACGCAGTGTCCTTTTATTCTTACCTCTTGCTTTTGACCTCTGACCCTATGACTTCTGACACAGTGCCCTTTTATTCTTACCTCTTATCTTTGACTTCTGACCCTATGATTTGTAACACTGTACTCTTTTTCTCTGTGACCTCTGACCTTGTTACCTCTTAACTTTTACATCAAACACTGTGCTTACCTATAACCTCTGACCTTTTCACCATTTTGAACTCCTACCTCTAACCCTACACCATCTGACCCTATGACTTCTGGTGTTGTCCTTTTTAACTCAGTGACCTCTGAACCTGTCACCTTTCACCCTGTACTCGCTTCCTTGTGACATCCGACCTTGTACTCGCTTCCCTGTGACCTCTGACCTTTTTGCCCTTTTAACTCTAACCTTGACTTTTGGCCTTTTAACTCTGACCTTGTACCCAATGACTTCTGACACTGCATCCTTTTACCCTGGGCCCCCTGTGCACTTGTAAACTTAGACCCTTTTGCTTACTTAACTCTTACCTTTAACCCATTACCCTTTAATCTATGATCTCTGACCCTGTGACCTGTGCAGGTGTGTTCAGCGAGTGCCACAGCTGGGACGCGCAGCGGGCGCAGAAGCTGCTCATCCGCATCTCTCCATCATGGGGCAGAAGCACATGCCTGTGGCTCGCTCTGGAGGCTCACGATAAAAGCTTCATCGCTCACTCCGGAGTTCAGGTGAGTGAACGGTAAACAGACGGGATGCTCTGCTGTCAGATGCTAACAGTCTAATCTGATTCAATGATCTATGCTAAGCTAAGCTAAAAACTAAGCTAAATGATAGTGTGATTTGCTTAAAAAAAGGTAAAGCTCAAGAGTTTATCTCTAGAGGAGCTGTGAAATTACTTTTTCATTTTCCAAAAAAAGTGAAGTGCTCCTTTAAGTATTGCCTTTAGACTATAATTCAATTTTTGCTTATATTTAAGAAAGAAACTCAAATTTAGGTTTTCGACCATATTGACAGGTCTAATGTGTTAAGGCTGATTTACTTCTGCCTCAAATGCATGTGTATGCTACGGCCCCCTACGTGTAGACACATAGCCCTCGCTGTGGCCGTCGGCGTTGCTGACGTGCACCTCTCAAAAAATGTAACTACACGTCACATCGACATGTAGCTCAAGCTCTGTGATTGGTCGGCTTGGTAGCGCTGATGAGTGTGGGCGGGACCGAGGTCCGCACAAGTCCGTTGAAGCAACTGTTTACAAGTGTGGAGTCCCGTGAAGGAGCTCCGGATGGAAAGTTTTATTTTGTGTTTACCTTGTGATTAAAGTTGTTGCACGTCCGCCGGTTCCTGCCTCAAAGTAAGCTAGTTTGAGCCACTTGAACATTAAGGAAGCGTTCAGAAAAAACAAAACACAAAACTCGACACAGAGGAACATAAACACCTCACTGCCAACTAGCGTTTCGGAAGTGTTAATGCAGACTAACAGAAGCAGCGTGTAAAAGTATGAATGCACAGCTATGCGCGTTGCATGAGCCGTGGGTCACGCCGATCACTTGACGCAGATGTATAAACCAGGCTTTAGTGTGTGTGTGTTTTGTGCTGGATCACCTTTATTTAATTACCCTAATTAAATAAAGATAAACCAGGATCCTCTCTTGGCTATATTTCTTAGCTAGAGTTTAGTTAAAGGATCTTTATAATGATTGGTAAACAAACAAATTAGCATTTATACTTTACTACACAGGGTAACTTGATGGATTTCTGAAAATGAAGTCAATGCCCACTCCAGTGAAGAAAATCAATAAAATAAACTTTTATTTATAAAGTAAAATCAAGTGAAAAAGTCGAATAAACAAAGATACAAATAACAAAAAGAAAATCCTTTATTTTATCCTCCGTTGAGAATAAAGGGCCTACGACATTCAGTATATGGAAGTTAGAGGGCCCTATCATACACCCAGTGCAATGAGGCGCAGGGGCGCCTGCAGGATTTCATTCCAAGGTACGCACAAATCCAGCACCGCCCACCCCGTTCCGATGGCTGTTATTTCAGTAATCAAACATAAAATAACGAATGCATCAGGTAAAAAGAAACAAACAATTTTTTATAATTTAGCAAAATTCTGCTCTTTTATCTTTGCATTTTTATTATTTCATTTTTGTTTGTTTTAATATTTTATTATCTTCATTATTAAAGCCATAGACAAAATCCTGCTTGACATTTTAGAAAATATTTTGCGTAGCTACCCAGTATGTATTAAAGATCACTGAGAAAAAGAAAAAAAAAACACACAGAAACATGTAACATGCCCCCTTAAATGTCTAAATTATATTTAACTGAATTGTAATTTTTTTTTTTAAATTTTTTGAGTAAAAACTATACCGACATCCATATTTATTTTATTTATTCATTAATTTGACCTGTTTATTTTATATAATTTAACTCACACAACAGTTATAATTTAACTCACACAACAGTACCTTGGACAGCTACAGTGCCACTAAAGCTTTCAAACACAACCCCAATAAAGTAATAAAAGATTAGACTTTCACCGGTGACGGCCGACATCTCAACATACCTTAACCGTCCTTCGGGTGGTATAGCCGGCATTAAATCACAAAACAAGACATCTGGCTTGTCTGAAGTGCAGTTATTTCCTCGTTGTTCAAAGAGGCTGCAAGTTCGTGTTTCATGGATATAGTATGTAGCTATAGGATTGTGAACATCAGTAATGTTAAGCGTGTCTTAATTCGATGCACAGCAGAAAAAAAGTCTTTCAGCAGTGCATGTAGCTGTTGGTTAAGTTCTCTCCCGGAGTCCTCAGTGGAAAAACAACCGAAACCATACCCAAGTGTTCTCAGAACGATTTATGAACGATTTATGGAACTCGTGCTATCTAGCCATGCAGCCACCTGTCCACTCGATCCCATTCCCTCTCATCTCTTGCAAGCCATCTCTCCTGCAGTCATACCAACACTGACTCACATAATTAACACATCTCTTGACTCTGGTTTATTCCCCACTTCATTTAAGCAGGCTAGGGTAACCCCACTGCTAAAGAAACCCAACCTAGACCATACGCTACTTGAAAACTACAGACCAGTATCCCTGCTTCCATTCATGGCCAAGATTCTGGAGAAAGTAGTGTTCAATCAAATCAAGTTCTGGACTTTCTTACTCTACGATCTCATGGACAACAAGCAATCCGGCTTTAAGAAAGGCCACTCAACTGAGACTGCCCTGCTCTCGGTCGTGGAGGATCTCAGACTGGCTAAAGCAGACTCTAAATCATCAGTCCTCATTTTGCTGGACTTGTCAGCTGCTTTTGACACTGTCAACCACCAGATCCTGCTATCTACGCTCGAGTCACTGGGTGTTGCGGGCACTGTTATACAATGGTTCAGATCTTACCTCACTGACAGGTCATTCAGGGTGTCTTGGAGGGGAGAGGTGTCCAACCTACAGCATCTAAACACTGGGGTACCTCAAGGCTCTGTTCTTGGGCCAATTCTCTTCTCCATCTACACATCATCTCTAGGACCAGTCATCCAGAGACATGGATTCTCCTACCACTGCTACGCTGATGATACCCAGCTATACCTCTCTTTTCATCCTGATGATCCCTCGGTTCCAGCTCGTATCTCAGCCTGCCTGTTGGATATTTCACACTGGATGAAAGATCATCATCTTCAGCTGAACCTCGCAAAAAGGGAAATGCTTGTAGTTTCTGCCAACTCGACTCTACACCATAACTTTTCAATCCAGATGGATGGGGCAACCATTACTGCATCCAAAATGGTGAAAAGCCTTGGAGTAACGATTGATGACCAACTAAACTTCTCTGACCACATTTCTAGAACTGCTCGATCGTGCAGATTCGCAATCTATAACATCAGAAAGATCCGACCCTTCTTATCTGAACATGCAGCTCAACTCCTTGTTCAAGCTCTTGTTCTCTCCAAACTGGATTACTGCAACTCTCTACTAGCCGGGCTTCCAGCTAACTCTATCAAGCCTCTTCAACTGCTCCAGAACGCAGCAGCACGAGTGGTCTTTAATGAACCTAAACGAGCACATGTCACTCCGCTGCTCATCCGTTTGCACTGGCTGCCAGTTGCTGCTCGCATCAAATTCAAAGCTCTGATGTTTGCCTACAAAGTGACTTCTGGCCTTGCTCCTTCTTATCTGCTCTCGCTTCTGCAGATTTATGTGCCCTTTAGAAACTTGCGTTCTGTGAATAAACGTCGCCTCGTGGTTCCCTCCCAAAGAGGGAAGAAATCACTTTCGCTCACGCTCACGCTCAATCTGCCCAGTTGGTGGAATGAACTCCCTAACTGCATCAGAACAGCAGAGTCACTCGCTACTTTCAAGAAACGACTAAAAACTCAACTATTTAGTCTCCACTTCACTTCCTAATCTGTAATTGCCTCTCTGAATATCACACTAACTGTACCCACCAAAAAAAAAAAAATACTAATACTACTAATACTTCCCTTCTTAGACTTTACAGACCTGAAACTTGCCTACAGCACTTATTCATTGTTGCTCTTAGTTGTGTAAATTGCTTCCTTGTCCTCATTTGTAAGTCGCTTTGGATAAAAGCGTCTGCTAAATGACTACATGTAAATGTAAGTAGGCAGCTGTAGTGTATACTGTTTAATAATCAATTTAAATTATGTCACAAATAAATTAATAAATAAATAAAAAGCGGCAATAATTCGCGCCCTCTCTTGGTAGGTCCGCACAGTGCGTACAGCCGTACGGCTGCAGGCGCCACTGATGAGGCGCAAGGTGTGACGCAATAGTTGTTTGCTTGTTTCAGTTTGGCGCAAGAGTCGTTTTGACATTTTGCAGCATGCTGTTTAAATAGCAAATGCATCTGCGCTCATATGTGCGCCCATAGGCATTCTGGTCTAAAAAAGGAGGCGTGTTAAGGTGCATTGCTGGCGCGCTGCTATTTTGAGGAACTATAATAGACTGCACAATAGACCAGATCAAGGCAGGTCTAAAGTCCAGCACAGAGCGCGTTAGTTGTGCACCTCTCTTAAACATTGCTTAATACACATAGGATACGCAAATATCTTTACAAATGAAAAAGAATTAAAAGAGAGTACCGCCCCGTAGCGTTCGCTTAAAAAAATTAAATGCAGCCACACGTACCTGTGGCTACATAATTCACAGTCTCCAGAAACGTCCATGGGACTACGTTTTCAGAATGAGCCTGTGTTGACAATTTTGGTTAAATATGAGAGAGGCTGTATCATTTATGTTTCAATCCTGACTTTGTACTTATTATTGCAATATTACTGTTTTTATTTTTATTTAACTCTTTTTGTTGGGTAGGTCTCGGGCTTTGTTCCAAATCAAAATGTTCAATAAAATAGCCCTTAAACGTGGCTGTTTTCTAATCGAAAGATAGTTCACTGGAAGCGCTAAAGCTGGCTGGCTGCTATTAAAAGTCTGTGTGCGTACTCTGTTTGCATGAGCGAAAAGTGTCCGAGCCTTAAAACTGTTGCAGAACCTGTGAAAGCAGTTGTTATTGATGTTTTGTATGTGTTTCAGGCTCTTCTGACTCAGATCTGGTGTGGAGAGCTGTCTGTAGATAATCCACACTGGAAAGTGCTGCTCTGCATGATCTTCTTTCCTCTCATCTACACCGGCTTCCTGACCTTCAGGTCAAAACTGTTTTATATTCAGATATATGTAAGACAAATTGTGCCTATATTGATTTTACTCCTTTACAAAAAATACAAAACCAAACCCAAATACAAAACACAAAAAACATGCAACCAAGAAATGGAAGAAAGTGTAGATACTCCAGAAAAGAGACTAAAGGCCTTTGGTAATGTCCTGACACTGAACAGGATTTTCTCAGGGCTGTAATATAGCTAATAAATGTGTTGATCCAGTACTTTTGTAATTAAAGAGTGTGATTGCTTTCATTTATTTAACATAACTTCCCCCCCAGCCATTCCAGCTAAAAATCTAAAGTTTTTTTTTTTTTTATGATGAGATGAGTGTAGTGCAATGTGTCTTTAATTAATGATGACCAACTTTTTACATCATCAGAGCTTAAATCACAGGGCTGTAATTGCATGCAGACACCGTTAGAGGGCAGCACTGCACCGAATAATATTTACAGTTCAAACTTTACATCTCCTTTTACCCCAAACTGTGACATTTAATGCCTTTCTATCTATTAATAATATTAAATTGAACTGTTGCAGACGGGATGAAGACATTCAGAGACAGGCCGAACGGACGGAGCAGCAGAAACTGGCCATGGAGTCTGTGTTTGCTGGACAGTCAGACGGCAAAATCAAACGTCATTTACGGTTAGTGGAGTCACAAGCATCTGTATTTGTAAGCATGAGTGAGTGGCATGCATTATATTAAAATTACCTGATGGTAGCATTATACAAATTATTAATTATGTTTAGGTGTTAATTAACCAATATTCAAAATCATTAAAAAAATATTTTTTTTTAGAACAATTAATTATTACTTATTGCATTATTATTATTATTATTATTATTATTATTATTATTATTATATTTATATTTATTTTAGTTGCTTAAACAAATTGCAGAATTTTTATAGTATTATAATTTTTCACATAATAATACATTTAATATAATATAAATATTGATAATTATTAGAATTAATACCAATAAAACAATAATAATATAAATAATAAGGGTAATTGTACCTAAGATGTTTTATTATTATTATTATTATTATTATTATTATTATTATTATTACTGTTGTTGTTTTTTTTTTTTTTGTATTATTATTATTATTATTATTACATAACCAAAATGCAGAACCAATTTTTCTGGTGTTATTGTTTTTCACACAATAATACATTTAATATTATTTGCTGTAATGATAAATATTATATAAAGATGTTGTTGTTGTATATTTACAATTATAATAATTATTAGAATACATAATAATACCAAACGGCAATAATAATAAGAGTAGTAATAATAAGTTGTTTTTGTATCATAATAATTTTTACACATTAATTCTTTTGATTATTTAATAGTTCTTTTTTTTATATTGCAAGATGTTATTATTATTATTATTATTATTATTATTATTATTATTATTATTATATGTCATGATGGTCAGTGACCACCGGAGCTAGCCCCGAAGAGCTCTCACAGTGATCTTTTGCTGATGATGTTTTTCCGGGGAGGACTTTTGGAACCAGTTCGTTCCCTCATGCCACCATACGAGGACGACTGGAACCTTTATCGTTTTATTGAGGTGGCCTTATTAATCTCCGGCTCCCCTCTCTCTGTTGCCCTGAAGGAGGAGAACCCTCAGGAGGGCGGTCTGAGTGTAGGGCAACAGAGAGGGATATTTTCAGGGCCGGCTGATGTATCTATGGGAAGGAGGAGAGAGGCTGGGTTGGAGTTGCGTCCTTATCCGCGTCGGGCTGTCCGAAGATCACCTTTTTCTGAGCCTCTGGAGAGCCTGCTTGAACTGTGTGGAACCCCAGTGTCTGCTCCAGTCCCACAATGCCCGCCAGTGTCGGCTCCAGCTCCAGAGCAAGCTCCCTCACCTGTTAACTATGCTCTCCCATCTCAAACCACCAGACGGAGGAGGCGTAGGAACAGAACTGCTCACGCCCCAGAAAGTCCACCAGTGTCGGCTCCAGCCCCAGAGCGCCCGCCAGTGTCGGCTCCAGCCCCCGAGCGCCCGCCAGTGTCGGCTCCAGCCCCCGAGCGCCCGCCAGTGTCGGCTCCAGCCCCCGAGCGCCCGCCAGTGTCGGCTCCAGCCCCCGAGCGCCCGCCAGTGTCGGCTCCAGCCCCCGAGCGCCCGCCAGTGTCGGCCCCCGAGCGCCCGCCAGTGTCGGCTCCAGCCCCCGAGCGCCCGCCAGTGTCGGCTCCAGCCCCCGAGCGCCCGCCAGTGTCGGCTCCAGCCCCCGAGCGCCCGCCAGTGTCTGCTCCCGCCCCGAGCGCCCGCCAGTGTCGGCTCCCGCCCCCGAGCGCCCGCCAGTGTCGGCTCCCGCCCCCGAGCGCCCGCCAGTGTCGGCTCCCGCCCCCGAGCGCCCGCCAGTGTCGGCTCCCGCCCCCGAGCGCCCGCCAGTGTCAACTCCCTCCCCCGAGCGCCCGCCAGTGTCGGCTCCCGCCCCCGAGCGCCCGCCAGTGTCGGCTCCCGCCCCCGAGCGCCCGCCAGTGTCGGCTCCCGCCCCCGAGCGCCCGCCAGTGTCGGCTCCCGCCCCCGAGCGCCCGCCAGTGTCGGCTCCAGCCCCCGAGCGCCCGCCAGTGTCGGCTCCAGCCCCAGAGCGCAGCACAATGCCAGTTCTAGTCCGACTCCTGGCTTTACCGGCGCCACCCAGGCTCCTCGCCCTGCCGGCCCCAGCCCGGCTCCTCGCCCTGCCGGCCCCAGCCCGGCTCCTCGCCCTGCCGGCCCCAGCCCGGCTCCTCGCATTACCAACGCCATCCAGACGTCTTGCCCTGCCGGCACCTCCCAGACGTCTTGCCCTGCCGGCCCCAGTCCGGCTCCATGCCCTGCCTGTTCCAGTCCGGCTCCTTGATTTGCCGACCTCGCTCGGGCTCCCTGCTCTGCCGACTCCAGCCCAGCTGCCTCCAGTCCCGCCGGCTCCAGCCCAGCTGCCTCCAGTCCCGCCGGCTCCAGCCCAGCTGCCTCCAGTCCCGCCGGCTCCAGCCCAGCTGCCTCCAGTCCGCCGGCTCCAGCCCAGCTGCCTCCAGTCCCGCCGGCTCCAGCCCAGCTGCCTCCAGTCCCGCCGGCTCCAGCCCAGCTGCCTCCAGTCCCGCCGGCTCCAGCCCAGCTGCCTCCTGTCCCGCCGGCTCCAGCCCAGCTGCCTCCTGTCCCGCCGACCCCAGTCCAGCTACCTCCAGTTCCGCCTGCTCCAGTCCAGTTGCCTCTCCAGCCGGCTCTCCTAAAACCTCCTGCCTTGTGTCTCCTGCGGGATCATCCATGGGTCATCCCTCCCGCCCCTCCCTGGTGGTCCTTCCCACTGTTTGGGACTGATTCTCCGGCTGCACCCTGGCTTCCTGCTGGGGCGCCTGACCCATGGACCTACCCTGGTCTGACCCTCCCATCCCTCCCCTTGTTCCTGCTCCGCTTAACAACACCCCCCCCCCCCTTGGACTGTTCTTGGAGCGTCTGGTAGCCGCTCTTTAAAGAGGGGGTACTGTCATGATGGTCAGTGACCACCGGAGGGCGCTGTAGTTCACAGACTTTGAGAATTGACTACAGCGCCCAAAAGACTACAAGTTCATACATACCATGCGCATTACACCCGGTCCACGTACACTGATTGGCTCACAGCTGTTCCTGTTTCCTGTTAATTTCCTGGACTATTTATACAACCATTTCACCTCTGTTTGTCACTGCGTCGTTTGTCCATCTTGTCTCCATGTTCCTGTAAGTTTAGATTTTCTGATTCCTGAGCCCTGTCTCTGTTTTGTGTTTCTTGTTTTATTGTTTATTTGTACTTTGCACTTTGAACACCTTGTTTTTCTGTTTGATGCACATTGTAATTAAAACTGCACTTGGATCCGCAACTTTTTGTTCCTGTTTGATCTTGCTAACGTGACATTATATTACATAACCAAAATGCAGAACCAATTTTTCTGGTGTTATTGTTTTTCCTGTTATGATGAATATTGCAAACATATGTTGTTGTTGGGTTTGTATATTTAAAATCAAAATTATTCAGAATTAAATTAATCTAAATTGTGTTTGCATCATATTTTTATACACAATAATACTTTGGATGATTTAGGAATTAATTTTATTTCTGATAATGTGAAATGTTATTATTATTATTATTATTATCATTTTTTAATATTATTACTATTATATGAATACATCCATAAATGCTTCATTTACCCTTTTAATACTTTACTTTTTTAATTCAATAATAACAATAATAACAACTACAAAAATAATAATATCATTAATATATACACTTTGAAATATTATTCTTTATCAAAATTTGTTCCTATATTTATATATTATGTTTATATTTTTGTTGAATAATATTTTTATAATATTTTTGTCATAATAATAATTATGATAATATATATATATATATATATATATATAGAAATAGAGAGAGGCATACTAACATGGGGCTGCACAAAGGCGCAGTGGGTAGCATGTTTGCCTCACAGCAAGAAGGTTGCTGGTTCGAGCCGTGGCTTAGCCAGTTGGCGTTGCTGTGTGGAGTTTGCATGTTCTCCACGTGTTGGTGTCGGTTTCCTCCGGGTGCTCCGGTTTCCCCCACAGTCCAAACACACGCGCTATAGGGGAATTGGGTAGGCTAAATTGTCCGTAGTGTATGTGTGTGAATGAGTGGATGTATGGATGTTTTCCAGTGATGGGTTGCGGCTTGAAGGGCATGCGCAGTGTAAAACATATGCTGGATAAGTCGGCGGTTCATTCTGCTGTGGCGAACCCAGGTTAATAAAGGGACTAAGCTGAAAAGAAAATGAATAAATGATTATTAACATGCTCTGAATAATGAGTGATTATTATTGTGTGTCAGTGGATTTTCACAGAAGTCTGAGCTGAAGCCTTTGAACTGTTCGTCTCGTCTGATGAGTTTCCTCAAGTCTCCTCAAGTCAAGTTTTACTGGAACATCGCCTCATATTTCGGCTTCCTGTGGCTGTTTGCTGTGGTGCTCATGATCGATTTCCAGACCTCGCCATCATGGAGGGAACTGCTGCTGTATGTGTGGCTCACGTCGCTGGTGTGTGAGGAGATTCGACAGGTAAGACACAAACACATACAGTTAAAGTCAAAATTTGTATTTTCTTTTTCAAATGTTTCCCAAATTATGTTTAACGATTTTGTCTTCTGAAAAAAGTCTTATTTGTTTTATTTCGGCTAGAATAAAAGCAGTTTTTGATTTTATTAAAGCCATTTTAAGGTCAATATTTGTGGCCCCTTTAAGCAATATTTGTTTTGGATTGTCTACAGAACAAACCACTATTATACAATGACGTTCCTAATTACCCTAACTTGCCTAATTAACCTAGTCTTTAAAAGTCTTTAAATGACAATTTAAGCTGAATGCTAGCATCAACTTCATCAAAATATTATGTGCTGTCATCATGGCAAAGATATTTTAAAATGCTTTCACAGCTCTATCATGACTTTGACGGCTCTGGATTTCGGAGGAAAGCAAAGATGTACATCAAGGATCTGTGGAACATTCTGGATGTGCTGTCAATCGTGCTGTTCATTGCTGGTCTAATCTGCAGGTAAACAAACACTAATACAAAGTCACATGTGAATAAGATTAATTCAACACTGCTTATATTTGCCTTGCAATGCTGAAAACAGTTGTGCACATTTTTTGATACACATTCATTTTGAAAAAAATATTTACATCATTAAATGTGCAGTAGGGGATCTTTCACAATGCTAACAGCTTAGCATAAATCTCTGAATCACAGTCCCTCCCCTGCCGTCTAGAGCCACACCTCCTGAAACACGAGCACCGCAAAAGAACCCTCTCTCATGTGTTAAAAGCGACTAGTGCTTGTCTGGCGGCGTGCAAGCCAAACTGACATGCGATTTCAGAGTGAATATTTAGAGTTGCATGATAAACAATATAGGGAGAGACTAGGCGGAATAGCACTATTTACTTGTGTTTTGTTGTTAAGCCAATGCCGAGTTCAGACTGCATGATTTTCAAACTAGTCGTGTCACAGATGTTTTCACACTGCATGGCTATCTGGGCTAGCGTTTCGTCGCTGCTTTGTTTACACTGCAAGATGGATCGGCGACATGGACATTCACATTGCATGACTTTACTATAGGGAGAATCGCCGACAACTTCGTCCAAACTACGTCTCACAGCCAAAAACACGTCATATATCTTTTGTTATTAACTACATAATGAGAAAGAAGCCTTTAATGGGGTAGAACATGTACAAGTTTGCTCACCTGGGTTTAAAGGGAATTAGCCATTTCTCCTCAACGTTGATAATAAACTAATTTCTTTCTGTATGAAACGTCAAACAGACACGGTTGCTCCTGAGTCCTGTCAAACCTCCACTAGTTTTCCCTCCATTTCGTGGGTCCAAATAAACCGAAAAAGAGCGCTTTCAACTTCTCCCCCAGCCTCCCGCTGGCCTGCAGCAGGTATACACACACGCACACACAAGTGAAAGCTGCTCTCTCATTGGCTGTAGGCGATCACTGATGTTATTTTTAGTCAAAACTCAATTCACACGGCATGATTTGAATCGCCGACAGCTCCAGATATTCAGCACGCCAAATATCTCACAGGCATCGGCGACTCATCGGCGATTCTCTCAGATCGCGTCTTTGATCGTTCATACTGTGTGATTGTCACTCACGTGCACGAGCAGCAATTTGCCTGTGATTTCAGGCATTTGTCGGCGATTTCTCAAAACCTGTCGGCGAGCCAAAATCGGGGCTAAAATCACGCAGTCTGAACTAGGCATAATTAAAATCTACATTATCGATGCTGTAAAAGGTCCCTTATGAAGCTGAAAATAGTCTTATCAATCTTTCAACGGAAGATTTTAGTGGCTGAACAGCACTTCTGTAAAGATGTAACCCGTTTGTAACAACATTTAACGTTACATCAGCTTTGCATGAAGCTTAAATAGTTTTAAAACAGAACATGACCTGTCTAAGAGAAATCCTTCAGACATTGTTAAATAGTTTCTCCAGCGTGCAAAGGTAAATCCAATATTGATTCAGGTTTTTAAAAAGTTTTGATTCAGCATGTTTTTACCGATCGGGCGCGCGCACCTATCTCGTGAACGCATGGCACCAACAGTGGTCGACGGAGCTGCGTATAAAAGGCTGCGCAGTTGTTCAAATCTGCATTCGCTGACAGACAGATTGGGCTACTTATCGGGATTATGAGAGATGTCGGTCTGACTTTATTTAATTGGATGAACATTTTTTTGTTTCATGCCTTACCCAAAATATAAAAATACATATAAACACATTTAGATCATTTACTGTAATCATTACTATTAGACTGTGAAGAGAGTTTCAACCAGCAGAACAAAAAAATGCTTCTGAAGACAATCACCTACTGCACCTTTAACATTATTTTGAACACCATTTGTTTAAAAAAAAAAGCTTTTGAGATGGAAATACTCTTTTTCTATTTTAAAGACACAACATGTAATTTTAACCATTGAGTTTTCGCAACAATCAAATGCCTAGTTTGATATTTGTTTGAGTTTGAACTGAAAGCGTAGAAGGATTGGCCAGCCCAATGACCAGATATGAACATTATTGAGCATGTCTGGTGTAGGATAGAGGAGGCATTGAAGATTACTGAAGAGTCTTGATGAACTCTGGGAGTCCTGCAGGAACGCTTTCTTTGCCATTCCAGATGACTTTATTAATCAGTGATGTGAGTCATGTCAGAGATGTATGGATGCAGTCCTCCAAGCTCATGATGGAGTCAGACACAATATTCATTCTGTCTCCACTGCAGCAGGACTTTATATTCTACACTGGACATTATTTCCGTTCAGTGACAAGACTTATGTCTAAGCAGAGTCAGACCTTACTGTCCCAATGAAATCATTCAAATTAAGGCGTGATCATATTTTATTGTGGTCAAATAAGTGTAATCTAAAGGTCTTTGCCTTTCATATGAGCCACTTCTAATACCAAATGATCAACTAGAAGTGAAGTTATTATTGTTGTTCCTTTTGTCAGGTAGTGTATATGCATTAACACAACAACGAACAATACTGAAAAGCAACATTTAGCTGCAGATGTTTGTATTAGTACTTTAATACTTTAACAGTTTTAATGAAAACCGAAAGCAATGAAAAATCTGTTTATTAAAAAAGATTGAATCATGTTTAAAGTCTTTCAAATTTAATTGAGTAGTTGCATATAATGAGCCTCAGATCAGCATGCTTCACAGTTAACTAGTCTCTGTGTTTGTCCTGCAGACTTCAGGCCTCGGACACTGTGTTTTACATTGGTAAAGTCATCCTCTGCATCGACTTCATCATATTCTGCCTGCGATTAATGGCCATCTTCTCCATCAGTCGAACTCTGGGTCCCAAAATAATCATCGTCAGGAGAATGGTGGGTTTGCAATTAAAGTTAAAATACTGTTTAAAAAACTTAAAAAAAACAAAAAAAAAACAATCTTTTTTTTTTTGCGTGTATTTCAAGAGTCCACACTTAGCTGGTGACTGATAATAAAGCTTGTTTGGCATGCTGTCCTGGGAGAGAGCCCTGAGCTCAGAAAATCCTCGAGCCCTGGGCTCCCTCTCGTTTGCAGGGCGAGAGGGGAGTTTGAGCTTAGGTAGGTCTCGAAAACTCCCTTGCTTGTTAAGGCAAATGGCGGATTAAGCATTGCTATGAATATGAACTGCTGACCTCACCTATTGTGTCGACCTATTGGTTTAGTCGATTTACCTATGTTGCGTGTCTTTTGACTGTGGGATGAAACCAGAGAACCCGGGGGAAACCCACACGAGCACTGGGAGAACATGTAACTCTGCACAGAAATGTCACCTGGCCAGGTCAAGACCTGAACCAGAGACATTCTTGCTGTGAGGCAACAGTGCTAACCACTGGGCCGTCATGCCGCCCTGTTAAGGAAAAGGGGGGAGTGGGGGTGGAAGGGGAGATTCTTCAAGACGAAGATGGCTAAGGTAAGACACTCTGGTTATTTATAGTGAGTTAGGAATTATCTGATTGGTGAATGATGCATTAGCTAATGTGGGACCAGCTGCGGTCAATCATAAGCACGAGCTCCTCTCAAAATTAGTTTATAAATAAACTTCACAAAATCAAAATATATATATATTTATTTAATTTTCTTTAAAGAATTAATAATTATTAATTATTTAGAAAGATAAACAAACAACTTGTTTTCAAACTATTAAAATAAATAAATTATTTTTTTCTTTTGGATAAAATTTTAACTTTGGAATCTGTGAGTGTAGTGTGATCTGTCTCCCCCTTTTTTGCACCATTTGAAACTAAAATAAACATAGATTTAGGATTAGAAATACAAGAAGACACGTGTGAGAAAATTGATGTAAGAAAAATTAATAAAAAAAGTCAAATGAATCATTTTAAATTAAGTAATGCACCTGAAAAAAAATGCACCTGCTTAAATCTAACTTTGGAAAAGGAGTAATAACTATATGAATAGTCAATGATATGAGGAATATTAGTGCACATAAAATTGGTTTAGCATGACAGCAGTTGTGAATGTGCATTTCTGACTCTCTGCCTTTGTCTCCGCAGATGTTGGATTTGTTTTTCTTCATGTTTCTGCTCAGTATCTGGGTTGTGGCGTACGGAGTAGCCAAACAGGGCATTCTGATCGAAAACGAAGAGAGACTAAACTGGATCATCCGTGGAGCTGTTTATGAGCCCTACATCACTATATTTGGCAACTTCCCTACTAATATAGACAGTGAGAAGTTTATATTTTACTTTGAATAATTCAAATAAACCCAGACTCATTGGAAATATGTCCCCTGGGCTACATTTTTGAGAACCGAGAAATATGTTCCCTGGTCTACGGTTTCTTGCCATTTTTGTTTTCACAAATCCACTAGAGTGCACTGTGTACACTTCTGATGATCTTAAATGCGTTACTGGGGCACATTTTCTCATATGTTTTACACACAAAGGACTCTATTTTACTGATCTAGGTGTAAAGACTTAAGCGCATGGCACAAACGCATAAGGGGCGTGTCCGAATTCACTTTTGCTATTTTAAGGACGGACCCCGGCACATGGTCTAACAGGGTTGTGTTTATTCTCTTAATGAGTTTTGGGTGTGTTTAGAGCAGGGGCGTCAAACGTATGGCGATCGCAAGATGATTCTGTGAGCTGAAATTTTTCAATAAAATATACTGCTGTTCCAATTGTGTCCACTTAGCAAGCTTAATTTCATCCCATCCAGAAGCCTGAATCAGCGTCAATTTGACAGCCATCTCAGAGAGAAAGACCTCATACCTTTTTTTGTATCCGTCCAAGAAAACTAAACATTTGCGCTCGATTAACCAGTGGAAAATCTTCTCTCGCTCTGCACGTTTCCTACTGCTGATTCTTAGTGTGCGCGATCTGTCACACAGAAACTCTCATGTGCTCTGCAGACCCACAGATACGCGCCTTTTCTGCCAAAATGCATCCGACCATAGTTTCTGAATCTCCTAAAAATGTCCAATATTCAGGGTTTACTTTCGCATTCTAAAGTTGCCGTTATTTGTATGCGTTTTTTGCAATACCACATCACAGCTGACTGTGCGTGCACAGCCGCGAGAGAAATATTAAATGATTAATCATTTAATAAACTTTATACTCGGAGAGAACAAAATGACATCTACAATGGCTGCAAAATATTTGTACACCATCAGAAATGGATAATCAACTAATTTGCCTTATTTAAATAATATACACTTTTTTATCTAATATTTATTTCTCATTTGCTGTATATTTTATTTATTTGATGATGTGAATATATTACATACTTTATACATATCTAAAATGCTTTGACAATACTATCAATGTCATTTTAATCCAGCAACTTTAGAGAGAGAGAGAGAGAGAGAGAGAGAGAGAGAGAGAGAGAGATAGCACCCTTTACCTTTCAGTGGGTGCACATGTCTCCTAAATAATAGCATAAAAGTAATAAGAGAAATAGTGGATTTCTATTATTTCAACAGCCTTTTAAAATAACTTTAACCCATTGATAAGAAAAGGTGTATAACAGTGTCATAATAAACAAAAATCATGTTAAAAATCACATTAGTTTTTGTTTGTCGCATGTATTTCACCATTTATGTGCTGTGGGAAAAAGGTGTTTTCCAATCAGGCTACCAGTGCAAGTATATTTCAAACCTGTGGGAAGCCCTGCACTGAGGTGATCTCACGAGGAAATATTACTATTTTACGTTTTGTCAGTTTAGTGGCTATTTTGAGTTCAGTCGTATGAAAATGTACCATTTGAAAAGGGAGGTGTGGGGTGTGAGATGGCACCCCACACAAAGCACAAAAATGTGATCAATTCTATGTCTAAATTCAGTTCTAATCTCCAGAAAATGAAAAATGAACGCTAATAATGAAGTGCGGTCAAAAAACTGAGGTATATCCAAACACATGTCCTGTTCTTATGCCCCATATGGCGATGCAGACGTCTCCAAAACCCGACAACACTGCAAAAAATGCTTTTCTTGTTTAGATTTTTTGTCTTGTTTTTAGTCTAAATATCTAAAATTTCTTATATCAAGAAGAATTTTCTACACAAGCACAACATATTGTCTTGTTTTGAGAAATAATATGCCATTATTAAGTGAGTTTTTTCTTAAAACAAGCTAAATAATTTGCCAATGGGGTAAGCAAATTAATCTTGTTTTTTCTTTTGAAGTAAGATTATTTTGCTTACCCCATTGGCAGATTATTTTGCTTGTTTTAAGAAAAAACTCACTTAATAATGGCATATTATTTCTCAAAACAAGACAATATGTTGTGCTTGTGTAGAAAATTCTTCTTGATTTAGGAATTTTTAGATATTTGGACAAGAAACAAGCCAAAAAATCTAAGTAAGAAAAGCATTTTTTGCAGTGAAGTGGACAAATCTGAACTTGTGTTTATTAAAACAAATATAAATTTGCATATAATAAATGATACTAATAATAATAATAACATTAAACAGATGCAAATTGTCATGAATAACCTGAAAAGCCTGTTCAATAACTGAATAAATGACTGAAATTTACATTTTCCTGTTTTATTTGAGAGGTTTCAGTGAATGTGTGTCATTTTTTATAATTAGGACAAACTGAATACAAAGATTTCTAAAGAATATGCTTTTATTTAAAATACAAAATGTCTACACTTTAAACAAAATTCAGCTCAGTGTGCTAACGGTAATCTTTGTGTTTTGTGATGCAGATACTCTGTTTGATATTAGCAGCTGTAGTGTGAACGCCTCGGATCCTCTGAAGCCCAAATGTCCCATGCTGAACGCCGATAACACTCCGGTGTTCCCAGAATGGCTGACCATCATGATGCTGTGTGTTTATCTGCTGTTCGCCAACATCCTTTTACTCAACCTGCTCATCGCCATCTTTAAGTGAGTCATCAACACACACACCTAACAGAGTGAGCAGACAAAAATGTTGCATCCCAAATGATACACTATGGGGCTTACCAATAACACCCTAATGAGTAGACTTGATTTCATTTCAAAAGAGTTTGTTGTTTATGTGTTGCAAACTAATGACATGGTTCTAAATATTCTTATATGTATGCATACAGATACACACTCACTGGCCACTTTATTAGGTACACCTGTCCAAATGCGTGTTAACGCAAATTTCTAATGAGCCAATCACATGGCAGCAACTCAATGCATTTAGGCATGTAGACATGGTCAAGACGATCTGCTGCAGTTCAAACCGAGCAACAGAATGGGGAAGAAAGGGGATTTAAGGGACTTTGAACATGGCATGGTTGTTGGTGCCAGACGGGCTGATCAGAGTATTTCAGAAATTGCTGATCTACTCGGATTTTCACGCACAACCATCTCTAGGGTTTACAGAAAAAGGTCAGAAATAGAGAAAATATTCAGTGAGCGGCAGTTCTGTGGGCGCAAATACTTTGTCGATTCTAGAGGTCACAGGAGAATGGCCAGACTGGTTCAAGCTGATAGAAAGGCAACAGTAACTCAAATAAGCACTCGCTACAACCGAGGTCTGCAGAAGAGCATCTCTGAACACACAACACGTCCAACCTTGAGGCGGATGGGCTACAGCAGCAGAAGACCACACCGGGTGCCGCTCCTGTCAGCTAAGAACAGGAAACTGAGGCTACAATTCACACAGACTCACCAAAACTGGACAATAGAAGATTGGAGAAACGTTGTCTGCTCTGATGAGTCTTCATTTCTGCTGCCACAATCGGATGTTCAGGTCAGAATTTGTCGTCAACATCATGAAAGCATGGATCCATCCTGCCTTCTATCAACAGTTCAGGCTGGTGGTGGTGGTGTAATGTTGTGGGGGATATTTTCTTGGCACACTTTGGGTTCATTAGTACCAATTGAGCACCGTGTCAACGCCACAGTCTACCTGAGTATTGTTGCTGACCATGTCCATCCCTTTATGAGCACAGTGTCCTCATCTTCTGATGGCTACTTCCAGCAGGATAACACGCCATGTCATAAAGCGTGAATCATCTCAGACTGGTTTCTTGAACATGACAATGAGTTCACTGTACTCAAATGGCCTCCACAGTCACCAGAGCTCAATCCAATAGAGCACCTTTGGGATGTGGTGGAACGGGAGATTCTAAATCTGCAGCAACTGCGTGATGCTGTCATGTCAATATGGAGCAAAATCTCAGGAATATTTCCAGTACCTTGTTGAATCTGTGCCATGAAGGATTAAAGCAGTTCTGAAAACAAAAGTGGGTCCAACCCAGTACTAGTAAGGTGTACCTAATAAAGTGGCCTATAAGTGTATATTACATTTAATGGGATTGTATTGCAAAAAAGCTTTTAGTTTTATAGTTTGAACTAATTACAATTACCTTAGAATGCTGTCTGTAGGCTCAGGTTTTGAAACAAAGCCCCTATTACTTTTATCACATCTCAGGTTTTATCTTGTTCCATTGTCAATATATGGTCAATATTATTTTATCTATCATTGTGCATCAAAGCTACACGTTTCAGGAGGTTCAGGACAACACAGACACCATCTGGAAGTTTCAGCGGTACGAGCTGATAAAGGAGTATCACAGCCGACCTGCTCTTCCTCCACCCTTCATCCTCCTAAGTCACCTCATCCTCTTCATCAGAGGAGTTTTCCTGCGTGACCTGCCGCAGAGACACAAGAACTTCCGTGAGCACTTCCACAAACACGCAATACAGCTAGGGATGCACTGATTTACATGTTTCATGTCAGGCAGCGCGGTGGCTCAGTGGTTAGCAACACCGCAAGAAGGTCGCTGGTTCTAGGCCCGGCTGGGTCAGTTAGCGTTTCTGTGTGGAGTTTGCATGTTCTCCCTGTGTTGGTGTGGGTTTTCTCCAGGTGCTCCGCTTACCCCCACAAGTCCAAACACATGCACTATAGGTGAATTGGATTAACTAAATTATCCGTAGTGTATGTGTGGATGTCCTGGTCCTCCAGGTTGGGGGTTAAGCGGTGGGCTAACAACCCACGTCCTAAAAATTAGATGTTAGGAAACACAATATTGTGCGGCTAAATATCAACTTTGATATAAATTGCCCTGGGAGTAAGTAAGAGTAAGTAAGTATCTCTGACCTCTGTTAACTTTTCAATTACACGCTTTGTACTAGAAAATGTTTGCAATGAATTTTGCCTGCAAATCCAGATAAGAAACCTGATTTCTTCCAATCAGTGCATCTCTAGCTCCAACACCACAACTGATAGATTTGTTACTTAACCTCAATCCCTGGTTTGAGTGCGTGACTTTTCTCCTACTATGCTGTTTGCATAGTATGGAAGTCAATGGGTGATGCCTACCAGCATTTTTCAAAATGTCTCTTTTTATGTTCAACAAAAGAAAACTCATCAATGTTTCATAAATAAATAAATTAAATAAATTACGTTTTGGGCAGTGAAGTATTACTTTAAGTGTATACTTACCATTGCTGTTATTATTATTATTATTATTATTATTATTATTATTATTATTATTATTAATATTATTATTATTATTGCTATTATTATTATTGTTATTATTATTATTAATAATATTATTATTATTATTGTTATTATTATTATTATTATTATTATTATTATTATTATTATTGTTGCTATCATTATTGTTGTTGCTATTATTATTATTATTGTTATTAGGGGGTCAAGCGCGAAGCGCTGAAACCCTATTGTATTTGTTAAGATTTTTATTATTATTTTTATTTTTTTTTCCTGCCCTAGTTTTTATTGGGCAGACCAAACCGTAAGGCCTAGAGAGCTGAAACTTGGCCAGATGGTAGTACCCCGGTACACTAGACCCTGGCCAAAGATCAGCTTAATCGGACCATAGGTGGCGCTATACCACAAAAAAACAACATTTTAGACATTTTTGGCCGCCATTTGTAAACCGTTTGTCGTAGAATCAAATAATTTACATATTTGAAATCCTTGGGTCTGTGCAAACAAAAGTGGAGCTCTCAAATGTTCTCTGGACACTGATTGTCAATAATTATTGAAAAAAAGTTGACATTTTTACTCTCGCGCGAAACAATACGCAAAAATGCTAATTGTAGTCATAACTTTTGAACGGAACGAGATATCATCACCAAACTTGGTACACACATGTGTAAGGTCAATTTGAGGTCACAGTGCAAAACCCGCGGATTTTGGCCACATGGTGGCGCTATAAAGCTTAAAAATATAAAAATTAATCTAACCTTACAACCATTAGTCCAATCAACTTGAAACTTGTCATGCAGTGTCTTTGACCAAGTTGTCATAACATACTATAAGGACATTAGCACATGTCAAAAAACATAGCCACCATTGGCCAATTAAAATTGAGCAGCCATTTAACAAGGTTAACGATGAGTGATCGGAACGAAACCCGCTGGGCATATTCGACTCATGCTTTTCAAGGTCTGTAAGAATTTTGAAAGAAATCGGCCACTAGGGGGCGATTTTACGTATTATTAGTGTGTAATAGGTTGTGTATTACACAACCTTTTGTGCAACCACACAAAATACATATCATATGATAGGCCTGCTCATACCGAACAGTTTAACACTAAAACCACTTCTGTCACTCACACCGTTCATTAAATATGTATCAATTAATGAAAAACTACTTTTGCGAGCTAGTCCCTGGTTTTTAGCTCAATAGCAACGAAACCAGTGTTGTATGAATCTCTGGACTGAGTAGATCAATAATTATCAAAAAAAAGTTGAACTTTCCATTTTAGATAGCTGTAACAGGCTCATTACCAAAAGGGGCGTGTCCACACAAACCTAAATAACTGTAAACCAATAAGAAAGAGCCAAAATATCACAGAAATTGGTGAGCACATGTGCCATATCAATGTGAAGAAATATGCAAAATTTTGTGAGGATTAAACCATAGGTGGCGCTATAATAGCAAAAATAAAGCAAAAATAAAGTACATGTGCTTCATTTACACACTATTTCACAAATACACTTATTCTACATATCATATGATAGGCCTGCTCATACTGAACAGTTTGACACTAAAACCACTGCTGTCACTCACACCGTTCATTAAAAACACATCAATATGTACAAAACCTACTTTTGCGAACTAGTCCCTGATTTTTAGCTCAATCTCAACAAAACCAGTGCTGTTAGAATCTCTGGACTGAGTAGATCAATAATTATCAAAATAATGTTAAACTTTCCATTTTAGATAGCTGTAACATGCTCATTTACAAAAGAGGCGTGTCTAAACAAACCTACATGCCTGTAAACCAATAAGAAAAACTCAAAACATCACAGAAATTGGTGAGCAGATGAGACATATCAATGTGAATAAACATGCAAGAATTTTGTGAAGATCGGGCTATAGGTGGCGCTATAATAGTGGAAATGGCCCTAAAAACATGCTGATTGGCTTAAAAATTCAGTGAATGTGCTTCATTTACACACTAACAATTTTAATCTAGGCTTATCACTGAAATGATTTACATGTTAATTTTTTTTGTCCGTCTTGGATGTTTAAAGGTCTCAAAAACACATATTTTCAATATTCTATCATCAGACTTTTAAAGGTCACCTACCATTTCTAACCACTAGATGTCACAACAAGACCACTTATTTATTGTTCATAACATTTGCATACCTTTGTTTTTTTTTTTTTACAATTTTGTTTATTTTAAAGTCAGGGAAATTGCATTTAGGATCATTTTGAATCACATTTTGACATGATGTAAACACTGTTATGCATTAAACATCTAATTTAGTCCCAGTTAACCTCTTCATAATAATTATAATTGGCAAAACTGGTTCTATAATTAAACACCTTGTTTTAAAACATGTAAAGAAAATCACAACTGTGTCCACTAGATGGCAGTAACAGACCACTTACAGTTTGTAGTTTGTTTTACTGCTCTGTAGCAAAGAATGTGATGTAATGTAATGCATTCAAATCCCAAATTGACATGGCATGAACACAGTTAATGCATTTAAGATCAAATTTACTCAAAGCTTGTAACACTTTTTACTCTGTAGATTTTTATTTATTTTATTAAAATACTAAATTTTCATTGTATATAGTTATAACATGCTCATTCGTAGAAGGAATATATATTTGAGCTCACCAAAATGGCTGTAATCACATAAATAAATTACACCATGGCCACTAGATGGCAGTAGGAGATCACTAACAGCTTATTTCACTGTTTTTTGTCATTGTTTTAGGGAAGAGCTAAAATAGCCATAACTCATGAATGGATTAAAATATCTTCACCAAACTTGTTAAACATATGCAAGAGGTCAATCTAAGGTTACAGCGTGAAACTCGTAGACATTGGCCAAATGGTGGCGCTATAAATTGTACTCTAACACTCTAATCATATATTTCATTGTCGAATAAACTACTTACAGGCGTCCTAACTGCTATATAACCCTACCTTGCTAAACTGCTTGACCCCCGTTAATTGCTGCTTGCAGCTATATTTATTATTATTGTTGTTGCTATTATTGTTATTATTATTGTTGTTGCTATTATTATTATTATTAATATTATTATTGTTATTATTATTGTTGCTATCATTATTGTTGTTGCTATTATTATTGCTATTGTAATTATTATTGCTATTATTAATAATATTATTTCTTTTATTATTATTATTGTTATTATTATTGCTATTATTATTATTATTATTATTATTGCTATTATTATTATTATTATTATTATTATTGCTATTATTATTATTATTATTATTGCTATTATTAATATTATTATTATTATTATTATTATTGCTATTATTATTATTATTATTATTATTACTATTATTAATATTATTATTTTTGGTATAAGTATTATTGCTCTTATTATTATTATCATTGCTATTATTATTATTATTATTATTATTATTATTATTGTTGTTGTTGTTGTTGTTGTTATTATTATTGCTATTATTTTTATTATTATTTTCATTGATATTATTATTATTACTGTTGTTATTATTATTATTATTATTATTACTGTTATTATTATTATTATTGCTATTATTATTATTATTATTATTATTATTATTGCTGCGATTATTATTATCATTATCATTATTATTATTACTGTTATTATTATTATTATTTTTTTAATATTGCTATTATTGCTATTATTATTACTGCAATTATTATTATTATTATTATTATTATTACTATTATTATTGTTGTTATTATTATTACTATTATTATTATTATTATTATTATTATTATTATTATTGGTAGTATTATTGCTATTATTATTATTATTTTTTTTTACTCTTATTAATATTATTATTGTTGTTATTATTATTTTTATTATTGCTTGTTTGTTTTCAGCGACTGGTTCTTTTTTAGATTTAGGCAATGAATAATGCATTACGTTAAATGCTTTACATATGAAAAATGCTTATTTAATTACGATATTGTTAGCACTACATAGTGTCATTTCCTTTTTTATCCTATACTTCAAATGTGCACCTAAGTCAGGATGCTACAAGCAGCAACCCTATTGTTTTCATGCATTGACAGTTTTGCATCTAGAGTCAGACTTCTTTCAGACTAATTTTCTTTTTTACTGCATGGTGACCGAAATCTCCACAGGACAGGAGCTGGAGCAGACGGAGGAAGAGGAGCTGTTATCATGGGAAGCCTACATGAAGGACAACTATCTGGCATCCACAAGACAGGACGAGAGCCAGAGCGTGGAGCATCGCATCCATGACACGGCAGAGAAGTAACTGAAATATAAAAACACAGATACACAGAACAGCTCATGTGTTTGATCAGAAGAGGAAATATTTAAACCTGCTCTAGATAAGAGGGAGGGGCATTACTGTTTTTTTCTTTGCATTTTAACTTTGTAAACTATAAAATCATGCGTCTCCTCACGGTTTGTGGGGTTGTTCGCTCCCCTCCTTCTCCCCTGCTCTACTGGCCACGCCCACTCCTGCCCTTTGATCGCAGAGCTCCACGCCCACTATGATGCATCTTTTGAAAAAATTCTGAGGTGGACCTGAACTGAAAGTGGGGGGTGTCATGACCCTTTAAAGCTGTAAAAAATAAAACTACAGTATATTCAAACATTAAAATAATGCTATAATAGTATGTAAATTAAATTAACAATCTACAGTTTAAACTATTTGGCATGTGAATATATATTTTTCTCTTTTTGTATTAGCAATATTTTCCAAATATAATATAGAACCATATACAATTAAATGGAAATACGTAATAATATCTTCCTTGTACAATATAAGAACAGATAAGGAACAAACCTTAGAGCAGGGGTCACCAACCCTATTCCTGGAGAGCTACCTTCCTGCAGAATTTAGTCCCAACCAAGTGTGCCGCAAGCCTGCGTTTGAGTGAGGGTCTCGGCCGTTAGATCGCCCCCTGGGGGCTGGCTGCAGTACAAGTCATAAAGCCCGCCTCCTCCGTGTTAATGAAGGAGACTTGAGCCCAAATAAAAAAAAAATATTACACTTGCAATAAAATGTCCCGAAAGATAGTTCTGGTCGATTAAGGCACTGGTTATTGAGCTGAAATAGGTGCAGATCTTCATTTTTGTAAACAGTTTGTTTTTAGCAGTAATTTAATGCTGGGCGTGTCATCGTGATTGACAGCTGTGATTGACAGTTTCTCAAAGCGCGGCGTCTGAGCTTCGGCAGGAGACTGAAGTAGACTGAAATGTTATTATTCGATTTCTGTGTTATTTTACCATGACAAAATGAGTTCAGCAGTAAACTATAGTTTCTGACATACATGATCCTGGTGGAACACTGTTTATTCGCTAAGTTCAGGGCTTTTTTCGGGCTTTATTAGTTTGCTGATACACGCCTAGCCACCCAGATAGCAAAACACAGTTCCGGCTAGATTCTCGCCTGCCGGAGACTTATCTCTTAGAGCTCAGACTGACTAATGTAACCTCTGCTGGACCTACTCCGGATGCCTGGACTCACTACCCAATTCCAGCCCGAGTCAATCGAGCCAGATGCGGTGGCCGAGCGAGCCGGCGCTGCCGCATGTGAGCTGGAATCAGCCCGCGACGCCGCGAGTAGGTTATGCGCTGCGGCCTGGAGCTGGCGCGATTGAATATATAAAACCCTCATATTTGTTAAAGTTTTTACATCCATTTGTGTTGATATGAAAGCAAACGCATGCTGAGAAGTTCGGGGGGCGTAGTTGATTTTACATAAAGCGTTTGATTGGAAGCTCGACTCTGCTCATTTTCGCGGCTCCTCCTCTGGCTCCATCAGACAATCCTTCTGCGCATGTCTGGCTCCAATTTCAGCAGTCTTTTGCGACAGTTTGTGCCCGTCAAGCGGGCGTTTTGCCCTCAAGGCGTTCAATGGGAAAAAGGGCTGTCGCGTCGTCCATATTTTTTACAGTCATTGGTCCCAACCCTGATCAAACACACCTGAACCAATTAATAGTACCTAAAGCAGCACTTGATAATTACAAACAGGTGTGTTTGGTCAGGGTTGCAACTGAAATGTGCAGGAAGGTAGTTCTCCAGGAACAGGGTTGGTGAGCCCTCCCTTAGAGAAACAATATTTGGTGGTTTTGTTTAATTACTTGTCTTATCATTGTCTATTATTTAAATTTGTTTAATGATCTGAAACATAAAAGTGTGACAGACATGCAAAATAATTTGATAAATCAGTAAGGGGGCAAGCACTTTTTCACACCACTATATAATTTCATTATAAAATATCAAATAGAGATTAGAGAATAAGCCTTTCAGAAAGAAGAGGAAAATAACAAAGACAAAAAACATGCCTCTTATAATACCTCATAATGTACATCCATGTGACAGTAATGACATTGCAGTTTATTCAGGCAGGTAAAGCGTCAGGATTTCAGGTTCATGTGAAGGTTAATCGTGTGTGTTTTTGCTCTCAGGGTTGGAGCGATGTCTGAACTGCTGGAGCGCGAGCAGGAGATGGTTTCTGCCACTATGGCCAAACGACTGGCCAGGCTTGAAGAGCAGGTGAACTTCTGCCTCAAACACTTAAAGAAACACTCCACGCCATTTTACAGCTCCCCCAATAAACAATACAGTTTTACCATGTTTAAATCCACTTAGCCGAGCACTTTTAGCTTACCTTAGCATAGACCATTGAATCAGATTAGACCATTAGCATCTCACTTTAAAATTGACTAAAACGTTTAGATTATTTTCTTATTTAAAGTTTGATATTTCTGTAGATACATTGTGTACTGAGACTGACAGGAAATAAAAAAGTTGCTGCAAAATTGCTCAAAAAGTTGCCCCATGTATCATCATCATTAGGGGAGTTGTAAAATGTGGAGTGTTCCTTTAAAAAGTAGCCCATTGAATACCATTACTTCAGGCATCATATTGAAGCAACTGTGAGTGTCAGATGGTAAATCTCTTGTCTCTTCTGGCAGGTCTCGGAGTCTGCCAAAGCTTTGCGATGGATTATTGATGCGCTGAAATCACAAGGCTGCAAATCCAAAGTGCAGCCTCCATTAATGAGTGAGCAGAGGTTTTTTGACATCAGTTTGATTTCTGCAACAGTATAACTTCATTTCTGGTCATGATTTAAACAGTTTATATCACATTACTTTAAAGAAATATTACAGGTACAAATTTATTTATTTATTTATTTATTTTTGTCATGACAACATAGACATTCTGTTTGGTGTTGTTGAGATATTCTCACCAGGGCTGCATTTGTTTGATCAGAAATATCCTGTAAAAATGCTGGGTTTCATACAATTTCTTTAAGTTGTATCTTGAACATAAAACTGTCAAGGTTTTAGGAAGGTAATGGAGCGAGGACTCAAATGCAGGACAAAAGCATTGGTTTATTAAAAAATAAAACAAAAAGACAATAAAAACTACCCAGAGGGGAAAAAACATTACCAAAACAAATAAATAAACAAACTTTACTGGGCAGGCCGGCAGGGATCAGAGAAAACTCGAGCCGAGCACAATATACAAGACAAGACAGGACTAGTGTCTGGACACTGCCACCAAAACAATAATTAACAAGACTGAAGTGGCAGAATCCTGACACTAGCCCCCACCACCCCCAAAAGGGAACATAGATACAAGACAGACAAGAAACATGACAAAAAACAATATTGGCAACATCAGACAACACAAGACAGGGAAGTAAACATACATGACATCAGGAAGAGAGGGAAGGAGTTGAGCCAAACAAAACCCTGCAATACAAACAAGAATGCAAGGACAAAGTCAGAGAAGGTCAGGGGGTTCAGGGACCCTGGCTGACAGGAAGGGTAAGGAGTCGGGCTGGGGCCAGCAGGGCAAGGATCAGGCTAGGGCTGGCAGGGCAAGGATCAGGCTAGGGCTGGCAGGGCAAGTATCCGGGCTGGGCCCGGCAGGGCTAGGAGCCTGGACAGCGCAGGCACTGAGCTACGCTCGGGGGCTGGAGTCATTACTGGCGGGCGCTCGGGGACTGGAGCCGACACTGGTGGGCACTCTGAGCTGAAGCCGACACTAAGTTGCACTCTGGGGCTGGAGCCGACACTGGTGGGCGCTCTGGGGCTGGAGCTGACACTGGTGGGCGCTCTGGGGCTGGAGCCGACACTAAGTTGCTCATTGGGGCTGGAGCCGACACTGGCGGGCACTCTGAGCTGGAGCCGACTCTGAGTTGCGCTTTGGGGCTGGAGCCATCACTGGTGGGCGCTTTGGGGCTGGAGCTGACACTGGTGGGCGCTCTGGGGCTGGAGCTGACACTGGTGGGCGCTCTGGGGCTGGAGCTGACACTGGTGGGCACTCTGAGCTGGAGCCGACTCTGAGTTGCGCTTTGGGGCTGGAGCCGACACTAAATTGTACTCTAGGGCTAAAGTCGACACTGAATTGCACTCTGGGGCAGGAGCTAACACTGAGTTGTGCTCTGGGGCTGGAGGCCTTCCTCTTCAGTGTCCGCTTTCGGGAGTGGGTCAACCCTTGGAGGTTGGGCAGTGACCGGGAGGTGGTGCTGTTGCTGGTGAAAGGGGTCCATTCCTCCTGCAGGATCTCCCTCTTCTTCCTGAGACAGTCAAATTCCACCACCTACCAATATGTTCACTACCCAAGTTCACCCAGCTCCTGCCAATCATATGGCTCATCCAATACAGCCAGAAAGGAGTGAATGAGGTTGGACTACCTCAAGGAGACCTTCAGTTAATACACAGAAGGGGCGATGGTTCTGTTGGTGTGGCAGTCCTCTAGCTAGGGCTTGGTCTTGGGCTCCTCATGCGCAAAACAAACCCATGGTCTGCTGAGGCCTCTTAAAGCTCCTTTCCACTGCACATGACGAACGACAAGCGACAGACCGAAAGTCTGTCATTCCTTTCCAGTGGAGAGCAGTCCGGGAGCTGCGTGGAGTTCCGATCATCTCCATATGCAGAAAATTCGGATCCGAATTGAGCTGCGGATCCGTTGAATATTTGAACTCCTGCAACTAGACCGTATGCGACCTGCCAACCGGATATGATGTGTTCCAGTGTTGTCCAAGCAGATCCGTGCGCGTGAGATGAGAATATAGGAGTTTATTTGGTTATTTATTGAATTATAAAAAGTCTATATTAAAAAAAACTTTTCTGTTCATAAATGTAAGTAAGAAAGTAATAAAAATATATTTTTTAATGTTGTCTCCACATTCCCTCCAAAATTTTAGCGGTCTATGAGTTTCTAGTATTCATTCATTCATTAAACCATGTAAACGCACAGAGAAAGGCTCTTGCTTTTGCCCTCCTTTATTGCGGACACCGTGCACAGGCCCGGATTGGCTAATCGGGAGAACCGGGAGAATTGTCGGTGGGCCGGTCCGTTTTTTGGCCGCGAGGGCAGGTGTCCCTAGCTGCTTGCACTCTCAGCAGTTGCACTTTTTTAAATTTATTTGTTTATTTGACCATAACCTCACTCTTTTCAATCATTATTCTGCCGCAGCTTCACTCTTTTTATTTATTTTCTCGCAGCCCCGTGAGCTAAATGCAGCCCGCAGGTTAATGATGATCATCATTAACCTGCGGGCTTCACCCCATTCCACCCCAAACAGCGGCACCTCAGTGAATATTAATTAATATTAATGAATATTACACCTGCTCAATGAAAATCAGATGATTTACTACATTAATAAATCTTAACTTTTAATCTTAACATAACTTGATCAGAAATCTAAAATGGGGAGATAAAGAGTAGGGTAAAAAAAAAAAAAGAGTAGACATCAGTGATAACATTGCAGAGCTTAACAGCGCCATCGTGGTCTAGTGGTTAGCATCGACTCAGCCGACCCGAGTTCGAACCTCACCAGAGTAAAATATGTTTTTTTTTCAGTGTTAAGACATAAAATACTGTTTGGGTTACTTATGTTGGAATACATATTTTTTTGTGTGTGATGACTGTTACAAAGGACTGGATATCTATAAAGAATTAATGTTCTCATATTTATGAAATTCTTCATAAATATTGTCAAATTCTTAAAAAATATAATTTGTTAAGTTTTGATAGTTTTTTAAAGTTTTCGTTTTTAAAAAACATGTTTAAGTGTATACATGGTCTTGCTCCTAAAGTAGTCTGTGAGTTAATAAATAAATTCAGTAGTGATGGGGCGAAGACTAGAGTGGCAGTAAGTGGGAATTGTTGAATCCGCAGATGCAGAACCGCTGTGGGTCAGTCATCCTTTTCAGTAAAAGGTTCACATCTATGGAATGCCATGCCTGTTCATTTAAAGTTACAATCAGAACTCCCAGTTTTTTCTGTAAAGCTGAAAGAATGGTTGAAATCTTTACAGCAATGTGAACATTAAGCATTATTCTTTCAGGTTGGTCCCATTTACATTTCTCTTTATCCATATGGACTTGCATCTTGTGTTTATGGCTCTGTAAATATTGTACATGTTTGCTGTATTGTGTTTTATTCTTGCCGGTTTTCTTTATTATTATTATTATTATTATTCTTTTTTATAATGTAAAGCCTAACCAGGGACGAGGGCTGCAAATTAGCTTTATGCTATATGCCCTATGTACACAACATCGGTTATCTTTGTATAACAATGTCAAGTGTATTGTCCCTGTAAAATAAACAAGCAAATAAAAATAAAATAAATAAAAAAAAATTCTAAAAGTTCTAAAGCAGCTGTGTCCTTGAAAAAGACGTGTTAGTGTCATTTGAAACTGAATTGGAAATGACATTATTTTAATATTGTCAGTCGTCGACTGAGGTGGTCCGGTCTAAGGCTTGAAGCTCCAGAGCTAAAAAGGAGTCCCACTCCGACCCTGACCGTGCGAATCAGCTTCTCTCCCGTGATGCACGACAACACTGAAAATACTGTGCGGCTGCCACAAGGGGGCGTATTCCGACAGTCGTGTCCAAATGTGTGCAGTGGAAAGGCGGCTTTAGGGCCAGTTCGTACCGTCAAGGTTTCAGGGGGGGAAAAGGAGCGAGAAAAGGAGGGGAAAAGTTGTCCCCCACAGCCCAAACACATACGCTACACTGTAAAAAATTGCTGTTAAAAAACGGTCAGATTCTACGGTAAAATAATGTTTTTTCACTAAAACAGTAATATTCTGTTAAAAACAGTGCTTTCTGGGTAACATTTTTGTTTTCGAGAAAGTAACCAACTGCAGAAAACTGTGAGCTAACAGAGTTCAGATTCGATGTTTTGAAGTCTGTGTTTGAAATCACACTTTGTGTCCTTGTTCACTATTTCATACACTAGTTAACTAATATAGTTCACCTTACAGTTTTAATGAACACTAATGAGTGAATTCAGACACTGATGAACACCTGCTGTTAATAATTACAATTACTGAAGAAAATAAACAAGAAACACAAACAGTGACTTGAGTTACAACATTAAATAAAATCAAATAAAATAAAACAGCTTCAGTCTCAGCAGAGGATCATTAAACAACTCCACAAACAACAGCAGACACACTTATTACTGACTGATTTGACTTCCATTCTATTCTCATTGAGATCTAACAGAAATTAAGGTGCTTTTTGTGTCACCGTAATGGAGTTAGGGGCTGGTTTAGTTGGGCTCTTCACCCTTGAACTTATTAATTTAGACTCTCCAATTACTATAATAAAGAGGTAACAAAATGCTTGTATTATAGCAATAAAGTTGGGAAGTCAATAAATAGAGAAATCTATTTGTCTGAAATTAGTTCTGATAAATGTTTTGTTATAAATCTGGAAGAAGGGCCTCATGCAATAGATTTTATGCTTAGTTGCAGGTATTACTTTAATTAATGAGAAGTGGAAACAGAAAAGATACCTCCGTAATTACTTAACAGTTAAGAAATAACATACAAAAACAGTTCAGTTATGACAAAGACCTCATAAATCTGACCTTGTATCTCAACAATGGTAACATCTCAAATGTTTCATGCTGCAATGCATGCTGGGAGTGGCACGGTACAAATATCCCAGCATGTATTGCGGTATAAATAAATGTTGTATAATGGTCTTACAGTTTTCTTTATTTGCGTTTGATTCTGCTTTTGTTTATGTTTAGACTTTCAGTTGCCTGTTTGTGAGTTAAACTGTTAATTTTGTTAGTTGTCACCATTATTGAGGTTCATACGCTGATTATTGATGTCTCTTTGAGTGTGATATACACCATAGAGCAGTGTTATTGTCCAAGATATTCTTAAAAACTTCCAGAAACCATTGCCATATATAGACATATAATGTAAAACAATAGATTTAACATTGAATAGGAGCAGTAAATTTTATTATACTAAATGAGAACAGACTCTACCATTTAATAGCAACATGAACATCACCAGATTTTATTTAGGTTTTTGGCTGGCTTGCCACAATAAATGAGCTTTTTAAACAAAGTTCTTAACAATTGCAGCAGCCAAGATATATAAATGTTAAAAATGACAGGGCTAAGAGCCCAACTAAAGCAAACTCTGTTCTCCATGATGGTGACGTAAAACTTTTAACTTTTTCTCAAGAAGAACTTAGTAGATGTTATACAAAAATACATGTATTAAGTAATAAGTGTAGCTGGTGATGATGTTTGTAGAGTTGAGTTAAATGATTTAATCATTTGTTGTTCTTCAGGTTATTTCATTATAAAGCTGTGACTAAAGTTTTGTATGTTCTGTTTTTGTTTTTCCCTTCAGTATTTCTTCATTTGTTCATTGTTAATCCTCAATTATCATTTAATTAGTCAGTTAATTAATGAATTTACTTCAGCTTTGCTCCATGTTTCTTGAACACTCAGTAGTGTGGACACTTCAATAAAAACTGAAGTATATGCTCTGGGGTTTAAAGGGTTAAAGGTGTGAGAGGTAAAAACACAGTGTAAAAATTTATTTTAACAGTAATATACTGTTAATTTACACTATGGAAATAGACTGTAAAATAACAGTATATTGCTGGCAACCACAGCTGCCAGTAGATTACTGTTAAATCAAGGAAAAAACTGTATTTTACTGTAAAACCTGAAGCTAATTTCTTCTGTGTGTTACCGTTGTGGAGGAGAGTAGAGCCAGTGTATGAGTTAAAGATGAACAATGAACTGCTGATGTTATTCTGTATGTTTCTTTATTTAAAAACATCAGCTGTTTAGTTGCTGATGCAGTCAGAATCTCTCTGGTAGTTCCAGATTTACATGTATGTGTGCTGTTGTGAAAAATAAGACATTAGAGTTAAACCAAACTTTTCTAATTAACTAAAATAAGTTATCATTATAAGTATGCTTCTAAGCATGTATAGCACATTACTTCATAAACTCATTCAGCAGTTGACCAAGTTGAGGCAGTTGCTTTCAGTGAGCAAAATGAGTTCAGTTGAGTATTGTGTAAATCAATGTAGTCCATGTATTTTTACAGCAACATACTGTAAAATAACAGTACATTGCTGGCAACTGCAGCTGCCAGTATTTTACTGTTTTTTAACGGGACAATTTTTAACAGTGTACATGTGAATTGGATGAACTAAATTTGCCGTAGTGTATAAGTGTGTGTGAATGTGGGAGTCTGGGGGTTTTTTCCCAGTACTGGGTTGCAGCAGGAAGGAGCAAAACATATGCCAGATTATTTGGCGGCTCATTCTGCTGTGGCGACCCCGGATGTATAAGGGACTAAGCCGAAAGAAAATGAATGAATGTTTTTAAAACATGGCCATTTTTTTGCTTGTGGAAAGTGTCTACATACTGTAAAGGTGTTCAGCTTCTGCCCATTTATCTTTACTTATATAGTGGATTAAATCAAGGTTGTCTCATACTGTCTCACTAATGTTTGACCAAAATTGTATAGTTTTTCTACTGGCACAATTACACACTTTTTACAATGTGGGGTGTGTCAGCTTAGCATAAGAATAGAGAGTAAAAAGCCGTAATATTTCACATTGTTCAACATTCCAGCAATTCAAGCAGGAGAGTAGAGTAAAAAGCTGGTGTAGTTCTAGTGAAATGGTTGTAAATGGAGACCTTTGTGTCCGTGCAGGAAGTAAAAGCTCTGATAGGGATGATGGAGACTCCAGCGGACAGGAGACGGATGATGAAGAGGCTCCTCATATGTTTGCTCGTCAGCTGCAATATCCTGACAGCACCGTCAGACGCTTTCCTGTGCCTGAGGAGAAGGTGTCCTGGGAGGTGATATATTTACAGCAAATTTAAAACATTAACCCTTGTGGATTGTTCAAATGTACTACCCTTTCATTATGTTGGGGGCTGTTTTTCCCCATTGACTTCCATTATAATCATATTTTTTGATTGCACAGCCAATACAGCATATAATCATGCATTCTTGCTGGTTTTCCCTCTTGGGAAACTTTTATTTTTTACTGTCGATTATCAGTTGGCAGCATTAATCCTTTACATAGACCTGTGCAAAACTCTGACTTTTATATGGAGCTCTGTGGAGTACACATTGTAGTGTGTATGTGCATAAATACACTTACTATATTTACTGTGCTCTGGAAGATGAGTTGCTTGCATATACCAATATAATTTTAAGCTCTTTTTGCACTGCAACTGATGATCAACAGTGAAAATGACAAATTGTATCTCTTCCCAACAGGATAAACCAGCAACAATCAAGAATGAATGATTATATGCTGTCATGGCTTTGCAATCAAAAAACGTGATTATAATGGATGTCAATGGGGCAAAAACAGCCTCCAACATAACCAAAGGGGAGTCAATTTGCCCAGAGTGTTTTGTTGAGGTTTTTTTTTCAATATTTTGCCAAAATAAGGTTTTTAACCAAAAACTAATTCCATTTGCTCAAACACAGAGAAAGGTGTGCCAAAATTAAAACTCAAATTCACTTTAGAGTGGATGAAACAACACAGGCTCATTGTGGAAACGTAGTCCCGCGGAGGTTTCTGGAGACCGCGGAATACATCCCGGCGTGTACGTACGGCTGCAGTTTTTGTTTTTGCGAATTCGCGAGAGGCCGCTGTTATGTGCTTTTTCGCACCTCAGACGCCTCTCGCGAGTGCAGTTCGTGCCCGCGCTATTCTCACGGTCCGACTGACCGGATGATTGACTGTGCGACCGGCCAATCCTTCTTCCCTGAACCCAACCAATTTTACCGGTCGACCCGCCCGCCCGCTCGCTTCCCTAAACCCGAGCAACAGTTTACAAAAGCCGTCCAAAAAAAGGAAACCCCTGATTTTTTTTTTGTACCGCGTTTTCGGATTTCACCGCGTTCTCACCCTGTCACGAAACTCGTTCACTTAATTTTTGGGATTCTGTTTTTATCTTACCTGATTGCTGGAACCGCTCTTCCCCGGACACGAAACCGGTCGCCGTGGTCGACTCCTCTCTGCATCTCGAGCCTGCCGACCTACACGGTGAGCTGAGTGGACAAACGGGTTTCAGCGGGGAAGCCCTCCACAAGGAGATAAGGCAAGCGCGAAAGGCAACAGCGTCACACCGCCCTGCAGCGTTCGCTTGAAAAAAATAAATGCAGCCGTACGTACCCCCCAAAACGTATTCTGCTGTCTCCAGAAACGTCTGCGGGACTACGCTTTCAACTTTCAGCTTTGCAGTTTTGGCCTGGGGTAAGGCAGTGGCGCAGTAGGTAGTGCTGTCGCCTCACAGCAAAAAGGTCGCTGGGTCGCTGGTTCGAACCTCGGCTTAGTTGGCGTTTCTGTGTGGAGTTTGCATGTTCTCCCTGCCTTCGCGTGGGTTACCTCCGGGTGCTCCGGTTTCCCCCACAGTCCAAAGACATGCGGTACAGGTGAATTGGGTAGGCTAAATTGTCCATAGTGTATGAGTGTGTGTGTGGATGTTTCCCAGAGATGGGTTGCGGCTGTATCCGCTGAGTAAAAACTTGCTGAATAAGTTGACGGTTCATTCCGCTGTGGTGACTCCAGATTAATAAAGGGACTAAGCAGACAAAAAAATGAATGAATGAAATTTTGGCCCTATCTTAAATTACAGTAGGTGGCCTTAATTACCATGTACTTAGATCAGAAAATAAGTAGAAAGTACTTATTAGCCGGGTTTCCTCTATCGTGCCTAAAGCGAACGAGCCAGGGCGAGCCAAGGCCAGTCGCGTTTCCACTGTCACTTTCGTGGCCTAATTGGGCCAAAGCGAGGGCTTTCCCGGAGCCAGCCGCCGGCCTTTTTCGGTTCGCCGAATACCTTGGGCCAAAGAGGGCGAGCTGGGGCTTTGGGGCGGAGTGAAAGGAGAGGAGTTTTCTCATCGCACGTGAGTACATGCGCCAAACAAATAAATAAGGGAAAGAAAACATCTAGCCTTATAGGCTGGGGTCTTTTTGCATATGATCACCCTTGTGTTTCCCTTTTAAATGTAAGGCTGCTGCATAAAATAATAAACTTTTAATTTATAATTGAAAATTCTTTGCTGCTTCCTCCTTGATGTTTCAATAATGCATAATAATCTTTACACTGTATTAAAGACACAGCATTAAAGAGAGTTTTTGTCAAGTTTAAAAGGTGATGCCTGTATATGTGTGTGTGAGACCAAGCAAAAGTGCGGTCCCTTCACACCTCTGTTGATGCGGCGAGCGGCTTTTTTTCGTTTTTTGGTGAAGATAATACACAATATGAATACAACGTAAAGACATAAAACTGTACAAATTACGTGTCCACGTTTGTAGACTCAAAACAACAGTGTCGTATCTTGATAAAATAGCCTAAGCTATATTGAAATCATTTAAAGAACTGAGTTATTAACTGAGAATTTCTGTGGTGTTATATTATGGATGTGTGCGCTCCCTGCGCTGGCGAGACCACTCGATGTTCGATGCCAACAGTCGGTCGGTAAGTAAATGAATATAATGAATAGAAACACAGGTCTATGTATATGTATAAACATATAATGTAATGCTGTACAGTAACGTGTCATTGGTTTGTTTGGGTTGTCTTCATTTTACTCGTTTCGTGATGATGTGATGGTGTACTATATCTGCCTGATTCCCGCTAAAGTGGGCGGGTTGTGTGACGTTCGATCCGGGGGACGTTCTAGGGCACGCGCTGCGAGCAACTAGACAGTGGAAACGCGACATGATTTCGACCTCACTGCTCAACCTCCCAGGCGACTAGCCCAGCCCGGCCCGATAAAAGCCCTGGCTCGCACTGGCCCGACAGTGGAAATACAGCTATTATGTATGTATTGCAGGACACTTGTGGTGCTCTTGAGGAGTAAATGGGTACGGTTAGGGGCAGGTTTAGTGGTATGGATAGCTTTAAGGTTGAGTTAAGTAAGGAATGTGTCAACAATGTAATTATAAATGTAATTACAGAAATTAATTATCTCAATGTAAAAACATTGTATGTACAGTAAATAATAAGTGCAGTGTAGTAAATGGTTAAATGTAAGTACTTAGTGATTAAGGCCACCGAATGTAAAGTGGAACCTGAGTTCTTCTTGCTGAACACAAAATAGGAAAAGCTGAAAACCTGTAAAGATTGACTTTCATAGTCGGAAAAACAACTTTTTTTTAATAATATCTTTCTTTTTTCCAAAAGTAGGAAGAAACTCAGACATGGTTGAAACAAGTAAAGGGAGAGTAAATAATGACAGAATTCTCATTTTTGTGTAAACTATGTCTTTAAGCAACAATCTGTTGTGTTATTTGTCATAGCTGACTCTTTTTTGTTGTTTTTTTTAGGTAAACTTCAGCCCTTATCAACCTCCAGTTTACAATCAACAGGACAGCAGCGAGTAAGTTTTATTAATCATATGGTCAATGATAATACAGTCTTATGCTAATATTATGCGGTCTGAAATATGTAATCTAAAACTCTGTTCTGAAGTTCATTCAAGTCATTTTATTACTTATTAATTTTTACAGTTGTATTGTGTATTTACAAGTAAAATGCATGAAAATATTGTTACATAATTAGAACTTGGATTTTTCTTTATGATATATATATATATATATATATATATATATATATATATATATATATATATATATATATATATATATATATATATATATATATATATATATATCATATATATATATATGGCGAAGCAGTGGCGCAGTAGGTAGTGCTGTCGCCTCACAGTAAGAAGGTCGCTGGTTCGAGTCTCGGCTCAGTTGGCGTTTCTGTGTGGAGTTTGCATGGTCTTTCTGCGTTCACGTGGGTTTCCTCTGGGTGCTCCGGTTTCCCCCACAGTCCAAAGACATGTGGTACAGGTTAATTGGGTAGGCTAAATTGTCCGTAGTGCATGAGTGTGTGTGTGTGGATGTTTCCCAGAGATGGGTTGTGGCTGGAAGGGCATCAGCTGCGTAAAAACTTGCTGGATAAGTTGGCGGTTCATTCCGTTGTGGCGACTCCGGATTAATAAAGGGACTAAGCCAACAAGAAAATGAATGAATGAATGAATATATATATATTATTTTGAAAATATTATGTTTTATCTTAGCTAGCTGTCAGAGCAGCATTTCCGTTTTGATTTTGATTTAGTTTAACTTAAAATTCACACAGAAAAAAAAATATATAAAAATTTAAAACACAAATGGGAACAAAAAGTAAAAATGAATTTAGTCTAACTTGGCTAGGTAAAATAAAAATAAACCAAAATTATATAGAAAAAGCATATATGGAGATAGCATTAACAGAGGTTTAATTATTAAACAACACAATGGCAAAACTTAAGTTTACTAATATAGCACATTTCATGCACAATTGTAATTTAAAGTGATTTACATAAACAAGAAGATTAAAAGGGTCGTCAATTAATCACACTACTATAAAAACAAAGAATTAAAATAGCTAAAACAGATTAAAATGTGTTCAAACTGGTTTAAAAGGAATAAAAAAAATAATAGAAAAAAAAATAGTTAAAACTTGAATAAAAATACTAGTGATACTAACTAACTGTTTAAATTATAAACTATATCTAAATTATAAAACTATAGCTTATCTTTTAGCATTTTCTTCGTAAAAATTTCGAGTATATAATAATAATTTAAAAATGAGAACATAAAGTATATCTTTATTCATTATTTTTAGTTGTGTTGTTACAAATGTGGAATTTTATGTAGAAAAGGTCATGTTGCTTGGTCCAAATAAATATTATCAAACCTGATTCAAATATAAAAACTTTGCGAAAGTACTTGAACATGCTTCAATAAGGTTTTCAGACAGATAGTTAAAAATAAAAAAATATTTACCTGTAGTTTTGTTGATATTTAAGACTTATTTTACTCCCAAAATACGTGAAATTTCTGCCATGAAACTTTCAGGCTAATAGGTCACCTAATCTGCTTCTGTGTCATTAGTTACATGGTCAGAAGATTGGTTGCTGTCCCCTTGGTAGCCAATAAGCTTGCTCCTCATCAGCTTAAATGATCCGTGTGGCACGATTTCGAAGACTCTCCTCCACCCCAGCTCCACCTATGTTTAGATCTGCTATGTGGGTTATATATATATATATTATGTTTGCAGCAGCAACTTGTTATATTCTCAGGGCCTACTCACACTATGCTATCCGATCCATGCCCAGGCTCGTTTCCCAGATCGTTTGAGAAGTGTGAGTGCACTGAATCAGGCTCAGGCACGGTTCACTTGGCCGGCCCTGGCCCAGATGGAAGAGGTGTGCCTGAGCGCGGTTCACTTGGGCTTTGGCGCGGTACGCTTGTAGTGTGAGTGCAAAATGTGCCAAAGCCCGAAACTGAAAGCCAAACGTGACTTTAAGGACTGTTTCATATGGATTTATTAATCATTCTTACTGTTCAGTGAACATAAACTGCCGTAGATTATTAAAGACTCAAACCCCTCACTGCACCACAGCTGCGCACCTTCAGCAGACCTCCTCATTCCTGCAACACGAGAGCTTTATGAATGTTTATGAGCGCTAAAAGTGGCGGATCTGTTCGGCAAAATATCTGACTGCGTGTCACCGCATCCCTAAGGACTGTTTGATGAAATATTTGACAGCATGTCACTGCATATCATACAACCTAAACTATATAACTAGAGAAATCTCCACTGTGCTGAGCGAGAGCGCTCACTGAACAGCGCAGCATCGATAACGTAAGCATGCCCAGGCCCGATTGTAGTGTGAGCGCGGGCCGTCGGGGGAGACGGGAGGGGGGACAAGCATGCTTTGGCCCCGTTCGAGGCAACTGTACATAGTGTAAGTACGGCCTCAGACTTCATGTCTGTGTATATACTGGCAGTAGCAGGTCTTGGTACTTGCTCTGTCATAATAATCAAAGCAGCAGCAGTGTAGCAGATCCATACCGCCAAGACCAAATACATCAACATTGCCCTATACAAATTCATTACCATACTAAATCCTGAGGGTGCTGATGACAGAAATGTTTTAGTTGTATAAACACTAAAAACAAATCTATTTTTATTATTTTTTTCTTTGTACAGATCTGACACTTCAGCCTTAGACAAGCACAGGTATGTAAAGCTGAATATATTTCCTTGTCATACATTTCAATAAACTGTTCCTACAGCTTATTCTCCAACTGCAGCTTACATTTCAGTAACTCAGTCCTGGAGGGTCGGTGTCCTGCATATTTTAGTTCCAACCCCAACTAAACACACCTGAACCAGCCAATCAAGCTCTTTGTATACTAGAATCTTCCAGGCAGGTGTGTTGAAGGAAGTTGGAGCTAAACTATGCAGGACACCGTCCCTCCCTGTCCGAGTTTGGGCACCCCTGTGTTAGAGTCTCATCTTATGTTTGAATTTAACAGGAATCCCGGTGGCAGGACTGGGATACGAGGAAAAGGGGCTCTGAATACCCTTGGTCCGAATCACATTCTCCACCCCATTTTCACCAGGTGTGGCTCTGAAATCCTGAAATCTGCTCTTCTTTCAGCATCACATGCAGGAATTCTAATCCTATTTCAAGTATGCAATGAAAAACACATAGTCCTACAGCATCGTTTATGAGATTATGGCAGATTAGATGTCCTCAGTTCATCCTGCTGTTTGTGTGAGAGGAATAATGGCTGTTTTTTTTAAAGGTGGCGTGATGCTGAACACAAAGTGCTGGAGTTTCTGGCCGTTTGGGAGGATGCAGAGAAGCGCTGGGCTCTTCTTGGGGTAAACAAATGCATGAAAATACAAATTTCAGAATCAATTGGTCATAATATTATATGGGTAAGGCAGCACGGTTAGCACTGTCGCCTTACAGCAAGAAGGTTGCTGGTTTGAGTATCAGGTGTTTCCCCCACAGTGCAAACAAATGCGTTATAGGTGGATTGAATGAGCTAAATTGACTGTAGTGTATGTGTGTGTGTAAATGTGAGAGCTTATGGTGTTTCCCAGTTCTGGGTTGCGGCTAGAAGGGCATCCGCTGTGTAAAACATATGCTGGAATAGTTGACGGTTCATTCCACTGTGGCGACCCCTGATATATAAGAGATTAAGCCGAAGGAAGATGAATAATTGAATGAATTAGCCCAAGGGTAAAATTGTAATTATTTTTCCAATTTTTTTCCAATTACTGTTTAACAGGGCAAAGTATTTCCTATTATATTTTTCTTCTGGAGAAAGTATTAATTCTTTTAATTTGATAATATAAAACTAATTGATTTTTTGTTTCAAGATTGAAACTAATCTTGTCCATTTGCTTACCAAAATTAACATAATTAATCCAGCCTTTGAATTGCGCTAAATATCTTGCAAAATAACTAGTAAAATATTATGTGCTGTCATCATTGCACAGACAAAAAATAATTTATTATTAGTTAATAAAACTATTGTTGAAAAATGTGTTGGAAAAAACTGTTAAACAACATTTGAAAAATAGTTTAAGTTTCACAGGAGAATTTCACATCAAGAAAATAATTGCATTTGATTTCGATCCAGTCTTAAAATGATCAAATATATATTTTTTGTATTAGCCATGTTTGAACTAGATATTTTATGCCTGTTGTTTTTTTATAGGGTCCAGCCCAACCCGATGAGCCTCTAGCGCAGGTGCTGGAGAGGATTCTGGGTAAAAAGTTAAATGAAAAGACCAAGACTCTTCTAAAAGCTGGAGAAGAGGTGAGCATGGCAAACGCAAAAGATTTGAAACATTAAAATTTGAATTTTAGATTACATTTACATATCATCTTATCTTGTGTTGTACTGAAAAATTAAGCATGCAAGTTCAGATATTTAGTTATAGAATTAACATTTTCAACCCCTCCTTATTGTACTCTAGGTGTTTTGAATGTACTACAAAACGTTACTGATTTATTTATTTTATTTTTTGATGAAAAAAATACATCCTTTACTGATAAAAAAAAGTTATGTGCTATGAGTATACTTTGTTTAAACAATAAACTTTCAGTAAACTTTTTATGTACTTATCTGAAATTTCTCAGAAATATGATGATGATGATGATGAAGCCTTTATTTGTCACATACACTTTTACATGTAGTGAAATTGGACCCCCTCGACCATACACAAACATCACACATTTCAGGGGAAGACGGGTCAGACGAGAAGTAGCTTTTAGAAAGAGAAAATAGGATACATTTGGTTAGAGGGAGGTGATAAAAAGCCCCTCTTAGACTGTCCTTAAAGTAGGGCAGTGTGAGATCAGGGGGAGAAAAGCCTCAGCAACCGAGCACATACACATAGACATAAACATAACACCGCAACAGGGGATGTGGATATAGTCCGATGAAGGCGGCAGCCATTTGGTCCTGTAGCCAGGGGGCACTGGCCACAGACCCCCCTAGCACATGAAGGAGGTGTCCTTGGATCAGGGAGCAGGAAGTCAGAGCATCTCGTTATCATGTTCTCCAGGGGAAATTGTTTGTCTCCAGCTGAGGCCGTCTGGCAGGAAAGTTACAGAATAGCCGAAAGAGAAGAAAAGGTTTTCAATATCCACCAATTTTGCAGAAATCTGATGTCCATCACTGGTTTCCAGGTCTGTCCAAATCACGTTGCAAAGCTGCTAGTTTCACTTCAGTGTTTTCCAATTCGGGGTCTATAACCACTGTTCGGTTTGTAACAACTCACCACTGTTTCAATCCAGCTGGCCAGCTTGGTGGGGTTTTGAGCCACACTGACCACTTTCATCAATCGTGATACCCCAGGGCTCCGTCTAAGCCCATCAGCAGAAACCCTGTTATCACCTGTTAAGTTCCGGATAGATAGATATCTTCAACATCCTCCTGCCACTTTTCCCACCCGTCCATCATGTACCTAACTGCAAACGGCCCCGCAGGACAGTTGGGTTCACCTGAACCCACACTTCTTGTTAAGAAGCTGCCGTCAATTGCGTTCAAAGACCAGGGGCCTCATGTACGCAGTCTTGCGTTGAATTCATACTAAAACATTGCATATGCACAGAGAGGCGGAGAGTGAGCGAAGCTACAGACACTGCTGGCATTTTGCCTGGACCTGCCTCAGACACACTTTACTTTGGGAGAACGCTTAATACTTTATCACCTGCGACTCGTTTGTGTTCTGACCACTTGTGCTTGGCTGTACACTATATCAATAAAGTGTTTAGTCTTTTAAAAACACTGCTGTAATACATTGAGCCACTAAACATTTTTCTTATGATGTTTTTCTACAGGAGGAAAATGAGAATTACTTACCAACACTTCAGATATAGTCTGTGTTAGTAAATGTAAGACTATTGATGACACTGGATGACAACGCTTTAGATGACTGTTCTAGAGCCCACAGCTAATCAATCTGTCAGTTTCTGCAGTGCATTACAGCTCTAAAGAACATTATAAATGATCTTAAATAAAAAAATACATCTATAGAGATGGTCTATAAGTATATAACTTTACTCACATGTGAAACTGAGGCCATGTGAATGGTTTGTGAGCACAATTAAGTGCACACAGCATCCCATATCATCTGATAATTGTAGGAAATAATCCCAAAAGGCGACTGACTGTGTAAAGCCACATAAAACAACACAGAAATATGATGAACATGTCGAAATCAGTGGCTAATCTGCCGGAGTCAGCTGAGGTGACGTGACGGTGACAGCGAGACCGAGCTGTCAATCAAGTGGCCACGCCCCTTAATTATGCAAACTTAATATAACCTAATATAAAGGAAACTGATGAGTTATAAAAAAATTCACCCCCTCACAGTTGTCATGAAGGATAATATTAGCTTTATGAACCATAATCGTTCTTTGTATCAGGCTGTAAACACCATTTTTTCTGCTGTTAAGTTGGTCATTCTAACAGTGGGCTCAATTGGAATTTGCTCTATTATGGAGCCAGGACTAGCGGATTTTCAATGAATTGCAGTTTCAGTTACTTCCGTATTGGCCTCCCGAGGGAGAGCGGGCCGCTTGGTCAAAACCAGATTTGTCACCTAAAATCATTCCATTTGTTGAAACACAGGACGTTGTAGCCGAATTAAGGCTCAAAATCACACTTAAAGCACACAAGGGTTAAAAGGTTGTATTACAAGTACATTATAAATGTGCATACAGTAAAAATGCACGCTGCTCATCAGGATGCGTTTGCTCTCTGCGCAGGTATATAAGGGTTATGTGGATGACAGCAGGAACACTGATAACGCCTGGGTGGAGACCAGCATCATCACACTTCACTGTGACAAAAACACACCGCTGATGGCAGATCTCAACCACATGGTGAGTAAAGAATACCACATCCTCTCGTAAGGCTCCCTTATGAAGCATTGGTAAACATACAAATTAGTGAGCCAGCGTGACGCCCCCAATATTATATATAAATAATAAATATAATAACTAATTCTTATTCTAAAATGATAACCCAATGTGCCTGTATTATATCAGGTATGCATTATTTTCTAATACTTCAACGGCCAGAAGTGAGTTATTGTGCTTCTCCTCTGGGCTCCACAGCTGCAGCCACTGTTCAGATGTTGTTTGTGTCCTCAAACTGCACCTGCGTGTAGCACTAGTTTCTCCCACATCTCCTCCAAAGCCTTCTGTTGTGTTTTGATGTGATTTCTCACTGTTGTAGCTGTGAAATAAATCATTCAGCATAATTATATCAAAGAGCATAGAATCACCAAGTGTCACATCCGTCAGTGACCACCTGAGGGCGCTGTAGTGCATCAGAAGGCACTACAGCGTCCCAGAAAGACTACAATTCCATACAAACCACGCGCATACACTGGAACACATACACTGACCTGTCATCACATCTGTTCTGTGTTACCGTTGATTATCTGGACTATATTTTCCATCATTCCACCGTTGTTTGTTATCGCGTCGTTTGTCTTCCTTGTCCAAGTATCCAGTAAGTCTAGTATTCCGAGTTTGTTATTCTGATCTTGTTCTTGAATTTTTGCCTTAGTCTAGTTCGTGTGTTATTTGTCTCGTCTGTTTTCTAGTTAAGTTTAGTTGTTTGAGTTTGTTATTCCTGAGCCTCATCTCTGATTTAGTTTCTGGTTTTGTTGTGTATTTGTTACTTTGTATTCTGATCACCTTGTTTGTTGCACTGTAAATAAATAATCAGCACTTGGATCCGCACCTTTTTGTTTCTTGTTTTGATCACGCTAAATCGTGACACCAAGAGGCGACACTCTAGTGCAATTTGGAAAACAGCCACTTGATGGCGCGGCGGGCATTTTGGAATGAAAACTTTAATAGAACAACAGCATATTATAAGTCTGTATAATAAACTATTAAAAGTGCTGATGATTGTGATAGTAAGTGTTGTATTGTCGCCTTTCAGGTTGTATCTCAGCTTTAATGCACTTTTTAAAATAAATAAATGAAAAACAAAGCAGCTGCTTGCCATCGCGACAGCAATAAGATCCAATGGACAGTTATTTAATGAAAACACTATGCACTCAGTCTCTTATCTTAAAGACAAATTTATGTTGTCGTCAAGTGATTTCTTTCGATACTTACAATTAAGAAGCTATATTACAAATCATAAATAAAAGGAAATATTCAAAAAAGTCCCAACTAATGTTGAACAGTATTTTATTGACATAAAAAAACAAAAAGGATTACATAAAAGACACATATCACAGATATATAATAGCCTAATTCTGGATTCAACAGATAACACCCTTCAAATTAAAGAAAAATGGGAATCTGAACTTAATGAAAAAATTAAGGATGATATTTGGGAAAACATATGTTCAGAAGCTCATAAGAGGATCAACAGCCATAACTGGAAAGAGTTTGACTGGAAAACAAAAATTTGGTTTTTTAGAACACCATTGATGGTCTCCAAATATACTAATCGTCCACAGTCAGAGGAATGCTGGAGGGGTTGCGGAAATGTGGGTAATCACGCACATATATTTTGGGAATGTCCGAAGATACTTGCATTTTGGCAAGGGGTAAAGATTGAGATAATGAAAATTATGCAGGTAGATCTACCTTTTACTCCCCTGTTTTTCTTGCTTGAAGGGATACCCCAGGATATATATAATAAAAACCAGAGATATATACTACATATACTTTTACTAAGTGCAAGAAAGACCATAACAATAGATTGGATGAAGCCACACCCTCCAACAATAGTACAGTGGATAGAAAAAGTTGATTGCATATATAGAATGGAGTATATGACTGCTCAACTTCAACTAAAACTGGATATTTTTAAACAAAGATGGGCACCTGTTACGTTGTACCTGAATAGGACATAGTATTTCTAGCTCCTTTGAAACTGAAAATATTGTATGTTTTTTTTTTTTGTAATTTTTTTATTTACATCTGCGGCTACTGTCTTTTTTTTATTTATTTATTTATTTTTATTTATTTATTTTTTTTTGTTAATGACCGCTGCTGTCACTGAATGTTCTGTTCTGTAAAACGTTTTAATGTATAAAAATAAAGTAAAAAAAAAATTAAAAAAAAAAAGATCCAATGGACAGCCGACCACTTTCACTCCACAATTGTGGAATCCGGGACTGTTGCTGGGTGCTGCTGTTGCAATGGAACGTTCTATTGAGTGTCGCCTCTTGGTCATTCTAAGCTCTTTAAATATATGGAGCTGTAATGCACCGCTCAAAACCTGCCGGAACTACTTTATCTGTGCGTTTATCTGAAAATAACGGCACACCTTACAATGCTCATCAGCTAATCAGAATCAAGCATGCATCACGATTGAAGGTGTCTTTGTTTTTGCTGCAGGTCGAGAGCTCGCTGTCGTCTCATCAGCCACTCCAGTGGCGAGAAGTGAGCAGTGACGCATGTAGGTGTTCATACCAACGAGAAGCTCTCCGGCAAATAGCACATCATCACAACACGTACTTCTGACCCTCAGGAAAACACACACACGCACACACACGTACTACACAACACTATACACTCCTGTGTGTGTCTTTAAAAGGAGTCAATACTGTGACACAAATAGAAATGCATGAAACATGACTGTTACCGAACATGTTTTTTTAGATGCTCAAATATATTGCAGTTTAATGCCAGTAATGATGGTGCCTTTAAAGGGGTCATAAACTACCTCAGTTTATTATTTTTTACTGTTCACTGAGGTGACTTATAATGTCAAGAGTCTTGCTTTGAAAACAAATGAAAAGTAATTGACTATTTTCTGTGCGGTTTGAGTGGGTGTAGCCAATTGTAAACTCCCACTACTCTGATTGGATAACGCTTTTGAATATTATAATAGATAATAGGAAGGGGAGTAGAAGTAGAAGTCAATCTTCTGTAAAGGCAGAGCTTATTCACACTATTATGCTGTTCACACCAGACGCGGAACGCGCGGATAAATTGTGCGTAAATTCGTGCGTAAATAGCCGCGTGAACATTTGAGTTTACTCGCTTCATTCGCGCGTCAAACCCCGCTTTATTCGCGTGTCAAATTCACTTCAGAACAGACGCGGATTCGCGTGATGGGCAGGGCTTCTGTCTGCCCGGTGACTCTAGCTTTATAGCTAAATGACTAACATGGATTTTATGAAGAAAATAACAGTGTTTATGTACTTTATTAAGACTGAAAAACAGCGTCGATACGTTTAGGGTCGTGTCTGAGTCCACTACATGCTTTCAGAGGTGCATCCAGCTCTGTGAGCTCATAAACTCCTCCAGAAACTGAACCTGGATGACGGAGGCTTTCAGTGGTGCTTCTGACTGAGCCAAGCCCAGTTTGATGAACTGTTGTCGGTGAAGGCTGGAGGATTTCCCTCGGAACACCGACAACAGGTTCTACGTCACAATCACGCCCCCACAAGAGCAAGCTTCTGATTGGTTAACGCTGCGCGAATGAACGCTGAAGTTCAGATTTTTGAACTCGAGAGATTCGCGCGAAACGCTCGTTAAGCTCGTCAAACGCACAAAACGGTCAATTTGCCCCGCGCCATTCGCGAAATTTACGACATTCGCGCCGCATGATGTCTTTTCGTGTGTTTGCATTGACTTAACATGTAAATCACTCGCGTCTGACGCGCGTTTCGTGTCTGGTGTGAATGCAGCATTACAACCCCAAATCAGAAAAAGTCGGGAGAGTTTAGAAAACTCAAATAAAATAAGAAAGTAGTGATTTTCTTTGATTCGTATTTCAGTACAGACAATATGAACACAAAATATTTCATGTTTTCTCTAGTCAACCTTATTTAATTTGTGAATATACATCCTTTCCTGTCATTCAGACCTGCAACACACTCCGAAAAAAGTTGGGACAGGAGCAGTGTAGGGCGAGTAATCAGGTAAATTCGTTAAATAATGAGATGTGATTTGAAACAAGTGATGGGATACAGGTACTTGACTGACCTGCCTGCAGTCCTGACCTGTCTCAAATAGAGAATATGACAACAAAGACCCTGTATTGTTGCTAGGGTTGGGTACTGAAACCAGGTGCCATTATGGCACTGCTACCTTTGTTACCGGCATGCACTGGACCAAATCAGCATATGAATTTCGGTGTCTAATTTCGGTGCCACTTGTGCTGCGACAAGAATGTAAGAAGCATCAAGGGGTGCATCAAAGGCATACATAAGTACATGTTGTGTCACACCCAGGGCTGGAGCAAGCTGAACTGGCGCTCGAAGCAAACGATGATCATTCCGCCCTCAAACTGAAAGAGAAAACGAGAGACGGAGGATGTGATTGCGCGTACGACAGTAAGGCGGGGGTGGGTGGATGTGGGAGGTTGTCCCGGACGAAAGTGAGTTGTGTTGTGGGCGCCGTGCTCTATATTCTGCCGCCTAAACCGGCCGCCTGGGTCACCTCTATGGACTCGGCAACCCTGGTCACACCATCTTTATATATTTAATTCTAAACAGCTTTGAGAGATACAAACACCGTCAGCGATGTCAGGCGTTTGTTTGCAAATCGCGCAGTACGGCGCATGCGGTGAGCGACTCCCTTCATCCACACGCATGATCGCATTCATCTTGCTTAAACTAAGCATTCTACAGTATGGCTGTATTTTACAAGCAAGGATTCTGACGCAGATGCTTTACAAAATTTGCGTGTTAGGGGGGAAACATGTCAAACATATAAAATGTGAGGGCTCATGGAACCAACTTGAAGGTGAGGAATGGACTGTCTTTGACAGCTTGTGACATCATCTGGCACTTTCAGTGAGCATGTTTACTTGGACACCAATACTCTGATTTTAATATGATTAAGACACTACTCAGATCAAGAGTCGACAACGTAAACAGTGATTTTTGATTATCTTAAAGGACCACAGACACAAACTGCAGAGGAAACATTTATAGGCTGGTGACGCAATGATGTTACTGGATCTACAGTATGTGCTATAACATGTAACTGGGAATCATGAATGTAATATTTAAAAAAGCAGCTCATGTACACACCTGAATCATATTATTGCCTTTCCACAGGTCAGTAGTAAGCTAATGTAATGTTTATAGCATAATGCAAATTTTGCATTCATGCTAACAAACAAATGAACAAAAGAAATATATTAATGCAATTCAAATATATAAAATATGAATTGAAATTTACTTTAAACTTATTAATATAAATTAATATTGCTTTATTATAATGATACAATTTTTTTATGTAAAATTTTTTGTGGCTAAAAAGGATCGGTTCAGGCACCGTTTTGGCACCGGTACCGTTTTAAAATTATCAATTTAGCACCGGTATCGAAATAACCCTAAACGATACCCAACCCTAACTGTAGCCCACCTTAAGACATGTTTGCAGGAGGAATTTGATAAAATGGCTCCTGAATCACTTCATCACTTGGTTTCTTCAGTCCCTAAACGTCTTTTAAGTGTTGTGAAAAGGAACGGCAACATTACAAAAGCTTTGTCTCATTTCAAAGGCTGCACCCTCCAAAGGACTATGACAAAGTGCGAGTCCTTCGAAGTCCATACAAGCTGAACAGAGGACAGATCTTGTCACCTAGCAACCACAACAGCTACCATTAATAAGTAGTAATAAAATTTGCTATAACTTGTTTATTAAGTGATTTTAAAACTTATATTAAGTGATTTGAAGGCAGAACAAGGTTTACAGAAGCTGGAAATATATTTCCTTTGATCCATACATGCAGGGCTTAATTTGTGCCGGAACATGCCGGATCTGGATAGCATCTGTATGCAGCCTTTATGATGCAAGCTGAGATTGCATAACTCAGTGATGCATCGTCAGACACAATGCACTCAATGGAGTGAGCGACGTCACTGTGACGGTTAGGGTTTGGGGTTGGGTTAGGTGAGCCCATTAAAAAGCATTGGATGCAGCTCCGATTGCACTGCACCGAGTCTGCAGCCAGACCCCTCTCCCGGCACCTCTGAAATCTGATCCTGCACCTCATTTTACTGATTTCCTTTTTCAATCGCCCTCCTCCTTCGTCCGCTGTTCACTTTCACTTTCTTCTGCGACTCACCAACCCTCTTCACTTTCCTCCGCGAGAACCCTTCTCTCTTCACTTTTGGTCGCAACAACCCCCTTGTGCGTAGCACCTCTACATCTATATCATGTGTTTAGATATCCAAGTAAAATCAAACCTAATTCATACATTGATGCGGAGTTTTCTTTTAAAAACATTTTGTCGTTACCAGCATACACAGTGAATCTTGGGACGTTCGAGGCCGCAAGGGATCCACCGGTTGTGTCTTTTATTACCTGAGAAATGAACGATGCATTTTAAGTCTGCGTTTGAAGGAGCCTTTGAATTTTTTTGAAATGAGACAGCCTTCGTTTCGGCACGATGATGCAGCACCCTTTGAATGCATCCTTCGAAGGATGCATCCTCTGAAATGACACACAGCTAAAGTGGTAAATGCTTTACTCTTCCAACTATTTTTTTAATGTGTTGCAAGAACCAAAATTAAAAAAACTAACAATAAAATCATGAGGAACACATTAAATAAGGTTTGTTGTATTTTCTGCAAAGTAAATTTGGATATCACTACTTTCTTTTTTATTTGCCCTTTCCATACTGTCCCAGGGTTGTACACACAGAGCAGAAAATTCCAGAAGCTGTTGTTTTATCAGACGGCTTTAATATAAGCTGACTTTCAGAGGAACCTCAAACTGTTGATCTCTCAAACCTATAGCAGACATCCCAAGTCTCCCGGAAGGTGCGGGAGTATCCCTGAAATGCATAGACACTCCCGGATGCCCGCAAATGAATGATAATCCCCCGGAAATCGTGCGTCTAATGCCCGGTCCTTACATACGTTGCACACCCCTCTCTCCACCGCATTCCTACTAGCTCTTCAGGTACGTCTCATGCAACTCACCCCCACCGCTCTTCAGGTATGTCATGTCGTGCGCGCAACTCCCTCCGCTCTGTTGCATCTCGCGCACACACGCTCCCCTTCTCAGATACAACGTTCACTACTCGACCAACAAAGTGCCCCCCCCCCCCACACTATCCTGCTACCTCCCGCAAATCAACTCTATATCCCCCGGAAATGACTTTTTCAAACTTGGGATATCTGCTATAGGATGATTTTATAGTACCGAGCTCTGACATGTCAAAAGATTTAGGGAATTTTGCTTTCTTGGTTCATGACCCTTTTAACAAAACACTCACGTTCTTGAAGGCTTCTGTACAATCCATAAGCCATATAGTTAGCTTCACACAGGGTACTTTGAATCTGTTTTATAGTTTATTTATTGGTTTCATTATCTGGGTCAATATGAACTTGAATTTGGCTGTTTGGCATTTAAAGGGGACCTATTATGCGTCTATTTACTAGATGTAAAATAAGTTTCTGGTGTCCCTAGAGTGTGTAGTGAAGTGTCAGCTCAAAACAGCACACAAATAATGTTTCCTATCTCTCTGAAACTGACCTTTTATGCTTTAATCCTAATTGTGGTGTTTTGGTGACTGTCACTTTAAATTCAAATGAGCTTGTGCTTTTTTCAAAAGAGGGCGGGGCTACAAATGACTGTCAGCATAGTGGCAGATTCAAAAACAAGAGTAACTTCCTATGCTAATGAGGGAGAGATGGTCAATAGTGGGTGGGGTTTCCCCCC